AACCAATACTATGCTCATAAAAAGTTTGTAAATTGTATGATTGGATATAATAAATTAATCCGATTGATCTGATTGCAAAATTATAATTCGTACTCGGAATCACAACTTGCGCATTCGCATACAATTCCCCATATATTTCAAAATACCACTGTGCGCGAGTTCCTACTCGGTTCTCTGTAGTTACGTACTCGCAGTAACACCAGGACATCCTGATTCACGTCCGCTTCATGCCATCGGTGATTGGTAATAGGGCCAACAATAAAAGTTTAAGGTATTTCGTGCTTTCTCTACCCTTATTCCGATGATTACCATAACCGAAAAAGTCACCCTAACCACTCTCACTACACCTGACTTTTTCAACAGACTTTTTGTCCATATGACTCTCTCAGGAATGTCGTAAACAAATGATAATCCAAACTCAATTAACCAACAGTCAGCTTTCCATGATAAAACATTGAAGGACGAATGCAATTTCCTTGATCTGATTGGCCCAAGAAAGGTTGTACTGAGCGTGGATTGGCTCTATATTCTGCAAACAGCCAATGACACGATTGATTTTCCACCCATTCCTGATTGAATTTCCACTCATTTGTGATATTCACAATGATAGCGCCAGGCTCAGGCGCCCAACTATACTGTACCAATAAGCAAGGTCTCGTTGTGTACCGGTACCACCACTGCTTCACGGCTCTGTTCCTACTACTACTTTACTGAATTTTCTGCTACTACGTTAGTTGTATCCGAACTTCCGAACAGACTGTGGGTATGCACATTATTGTCCACGTTATTTACGTTACCGTACTGTACTCGAATTGGATTACATTCACTCCTCTTGTCATGTGTGCATCGCTTCCACCTTCAAGGAGCATTACCTTGTATAAGTAGTGTCCAATCAAAGAGTGGGCGATACATCCCACATTCATATTGCCTAAATGTATATCAAAAGGCCACACTCCCATATAAGGAATATATTTCTCAACTGCAACTGTAAGGCGGCCACCGCTTCCTTCCATGGTTGTCATTCAGCAATCAGCCACCACGAACGCACTTCTCCGCTCTTCGTTCCGTCGCCGCACGCTCCTTGCTTCCTCTCTCCGTGTGCGAAGCATGTCGTCTACCTCAAACAATCCCCTTCTGGCTGACTGGTCCGTGCGACCGTTCTCCTTCCCGCCCTTCGAAGAGATCAAAGCGAGTCATTTCAAACCCGCGTTCGCGTCGAGCCAAGAGAAGCACCTCGAAGAACTCAAGCAAATCGCCAACAACCCCGAGGACCCTACCTTTGACAACACGATCAAGACCTTCGATCGTGCTGGTGCCCTGTTCCAAAGCGTCGCCGGCGTGTACTACAACCTCACCGCGTCATTTTGCCCTCCCGATCTCCAAGCCGTGCAAACTGAACTCGCGGGGCCATTGGCTGAGCATTACGCTAAGGTGACGACCTTCCCCGGTCTGTTCGAACGCATTCAGCACGTGCACAGCCATCGGGCGTCGGCCGGGTACACCCCCGAGCAACTGCGTCTCGTGGAGCGATTTTACCTGGACTTTGTCCGCAAAGGCGCGCTCTTTGACAAGGAAACGCAAGACAAATACAACGCGATCGTCAAGGAACTCGCGGAATTGACGACCAAGTTCCGTCAGCAAGTCACCACGGACGAAAGCGAAGTCACGGTGCCTGTGACTGCGGCCGAACTCGAAGGCGTTCCCGCCGACATTGTCGCCGCCGCGCGCCAAGCTGCCGCGGACCGCAACTTGGACGGTCATGTGATCACCCTCGGTCGGTCCCTTGTGGAACCGTTCCTTACCTTCTGTCCCAACCGCGACGCGCGTGAACGCGTGTGGAAGGCATGGACGTCGCGCGGCGAGCTCTCTCCCGAGCGCGACAACCTGAGCTTGGCCGTTCAGATCCTCAAGCTTCGGTCGCAACAAGCCAAGTTGCACGGGTACAAGTCGTTTGCTGACTACCAGACCGTGGACACGATGGCGCAGACCCCGGAGAAGGTTTTGGAGCTGCTCAACCGCGTGTGGACCCCGGCCAAGGCGGCGGCCAACAAGGAGCGCGATGTGTTGTCTGCGTACGCCGTGTCTATCGGCGAAAGCGCCGAGATCCGCGCGTCCGACTGGCGCTTCTACTCGGAAAAGGTCCGCGCTGCCAAGTACAACCTGGATGACTCGATCGTGAAGCCGTATTTCAGCCTCGAGCGCATGGTCGAAGCCGTGTTTGATGTAGCCCACCGGTTGTACGGGCTTCGATTCGAGCTGCGCCCAGATCTGAAGGCGTACCACCCGGACGTGCTCGTGTACCAAGTCACGAACGACAGCGGCGACGTCGTGGCGCTGTTTCTCCACGACAACTTTGCCCGCGCACACAAGAACAGCGGTGCATGGATGAGCGAGTTCCGGTCGCAGAGCCGCAACATCGACGACGTCGGCACGGCCGAGATCCCCATCGTGATCAACAACAACAACTTCACCAAGGGCCACCCCACGACGCTTCTCTCGTTTAACGACTGCGTGACGTTGTTCCACGAGTTTGGCCACGGGCTGCACGGCATGCTGTCCAACTCGACGTACCAGCGCCTCGCGAGCACGAGCGTGCTAAAGGACTTTGTCGAGCTGCCGTCCCAGCTCATGGAGCACTGGGTTCGCCAGCCCCAAGTGCTCGCAAAGCACGCGCGCCACTTTGAAACGAATGAGCCCATCCCGGCGGAGCTGCTGGCCAAGGTTATGGCCGCGCTCAAGTTCCAGCAGGGCTTTGCCACCGTTGAGTACACGGCGTGCGCGCTGGTCGACCAGGCGCTGCATGCGATCGAAGACGTGGACGGCCTTGACTTGACGGCGTTCGAAACAGCCACGTTGGACAAGCTCCAGATGCCCGCGGGTATCGTGATGCGCCACCGCATTCCCCACTTTAGCCACCTCTTTGCCTCGTCCGGGTACGCGTCGGGGTACTATGTGTACCTGTGGGCCGAAGTGTTGGATGCCGATGCGTTCGACGCGTTTGTTGAAGCCGGCGATATCTTTGACAAGGACACGGCCGACCGCGCCAAGAAGTTTATTTACTCGGCCGGCAACACCCGAGACCTCATGGAAGGCTACCGCCTCTTCCGTGGCCGCGACCCCAAGATCGAAGCCATGCTCATCAAGAAAGGACTGGTCTAGTTTTTTTACTACCTAATGTAACATGTGCTTTGCGACTATGGGCGAGGTGAGCAACGAGGCTGTAGGTAGTAGCTCGTGCTGTTCTCGCGTATAACTAATAACTAGTACGCGGACACTCTGTGACGTAGTACAGTGCATGAATACTAAGCTTACTTGCAACTACAGTAAGGGGTGTTCACTGCCTAGTCGTGGCTTGGCTTGCAACGGGTGAGGGGGGGGTGGTGGTAGCCGGGCGAGTGTGCAGGACATACCGCCACTTGCCTTGGACTTGGCATCGCCAGAGCAGAAAGAATAGGCAGGTCATGCCTCCGACACTAAGCCACGACCAGTCGTACAGGGACGAGTTGATGAGCACCACCGAGATCGGCAGCAACGCCATGCCTGCCAACCAGAGCCCGTCGTTAGTGTGCGCGCAGAAACCATGTCTGCCACGTACGTACCTGCGAGGAAAAGCTTGTACGAGTAGACCCAATCGACCCCGCATTCCTTCTGCCACCATCGATCGAACGGCGAGTCGATGTCTAGAAGTTCATTGGGCACGAGGGCTAGCTCGTGTTCGAGTTTTGTCGTAGCGTAGCTAAGGACGGCATGAGTAGGAACTATCAATGACGAGTAATACGCACTTGAGGGTGGCCATGGTGAGCATGAGGCAGCGTAACATGCACAACATCAAGCACAGGATGGAGATGGCACTGGTCGAGCCTTGGAAGAACACGAGCGTCGCGTTCGTGGTTTCCGGGGGATGGCTTTCCACGTACGCTTGGCGAGAGAAGATCGTAATCAGGAGCGAGACTTGCGAAAGCGCAGATAGTTGGTACGCACGGGAGTCCACGAGACGCCGCTCGTTTGCAAGCTTGTGAATGCGGCGGGTTCGAGCGATGTCTTCCCGCCGCCACTCCAATTGCCTCTGGATTTGTTCCTCACGGTGCTGGATCGCCTGCGTTCGGTAGTCCATATCCTCTAGGCGCCAAGATCTGGTATTCTTGACTTCATACATACCCATGAACCGGTGCACCGCCGCCGCCATGCCGCCGCCGCCACCATTGCCGGAATTGGTCTGAAACATGCAACGATGATTTGTCGAGTGTGTGAAGCAACATCTGAACTATAATATCATTGGGCGAAACTATTCCAAACATACATTTGATTGGATATAAATTAATTGCCCTGTCTACGATTGGAGTAACGTTAGTATTTCGAAGTATTAATCAATACTACATTGGTCCAAAATAGTTGTCATGTTAGACTTCAAAATGAAGTATTTTGTCCGAAACGAACTCGTTCTCGAATCTGATTGGTGTAAATGCAAGCTGAAGATCTCCTCTTTGATTGGATACTTCAAGCTGTGCAAAATTCACACTCTTGGCGAAGTTATCGAACTTGAAAAATGGCCTTCAAATTGGCAAAATATTCAATCACCCGCCAGAGAATCAAATCTTAACTTTAAACCTCCCCATCTCGCCCACTTGTTCATGTGGTTGTTGTATTGCCCTTGAAGCACTAACAAGGCTCTCTCGCTTCTATGATGTTGTATTTATGATCAAACATGCTCAAAAGATACCATACGCCATACGTGACCGTAGCACCTTCGGTAGACGTCTGTCGACGACGAAATCGCACCTGAGGCTAAACGATGCCTAGTTTTAGCCATTTGAACAAGCTACGGCACTGTATTCCGCGAACGGCGGCGGCCTTTACCTTCCGATTTGCTACTGTAGTTGTGGTTGATATCACTTGATCTTTTTAGTATAAATATGCTTTAATCATATTGAGATTTGTATAGCATATACTAAACATGTATACATGTGGCTAAATGATTTATATTAATTCTACAAATTACAAGTCAAACAAAACTGCACCTTCGAAAATACTTCGAAGTATGCAACACGACAGCTATTTTGGACCAGAGTAGTACACGATTAACGTTTTATTAGTACTGCTAGTAACGTGATGGATCTGTTACCTGTAAAAGCACTTCCTACATACTAGGGCATCCATGCCGCCGCCAAATTGGTCTGAAACATGCAAATGTCGACAACAGCTAAACTTAAATATGATTGGGTGAGAATATACATTTGATTGGCTAAAAAACAAATGCCCAGCAATTACATGTAATACTATTAATAGTAGTAACTTACAGTTAGTACTACTGTAAGCTTATTACAACTGTAACGTTCGTTACTATTAATGGTAGTTAGTACAGGTTAACGTTAGTATTAATCAATACACGAGTAGTATTAGTATTAGTAATAGTACTAAGTACGTCCTACTACGTACTAGTAGTAGTTTGGGTTGGTTTGTCGTCTACGTGGACGGGGTCACGATGTCTCGCGGGATGGCGCTAACTTGCACGGCGGGGACTTTCATCAAGTAGCGCCATTTGCTCAGGATCCGGAACTGCCAAATGAGGAGGCCGATGACCGCGACCACAGAGATGCTGATCGACGTGAGTTGCCATCGACTGTACTGGACCCACGACACGATCCCCAGCTCAGCCAAGAACAATGTCACGCCTAGGAAGACGCATGTTTGCAATCCCATCGAGACGATCGAAATGAATACCAAAGCGAAAGAGGCGGTAGCCCAGCATCCAGTCGGTTTCACATTTCTTGAGCCACCACGTGTAAAACGGAGATTCAAAGTCAATGTCGTCGTCTTGAAGGGCTCGGACGTCAAACTCGAGCTCGTGGGCCGAGTATCGAGTGACGGCGACCAACAACACAGTGAACGCCACGGAAGAAATCACCATGCAGCAGATCTACATACAGGACATACAGGGGTGACGCGATATACGCGTGTTGAGCAGCATGCGCACATACACAGAGTGCGGACGTGACGCCGTAGACCCAAAGCAGGTTCAGATCGATGGGGTCGGGCAAGCTCACGTTGATGATAGACACCAACGCAAACCCGCCGAGCAACGCGCCAAGAGACGACACGGCCGAGAGCTGCTCGGACCGCGTGTCGGCTTGACGGCGTTCGTTTTCTAACTTGGCCTGAATGAATTGTTAGCCATGAGAGGACGATGTGGTGATGAGGACGAGCCTGGATTTTGATGCGACGGATGTCTTGCCCGCGCCACTCTTGCTCGCGCTGGAGGTCATCTATTCGCCACTGGCACTCCTGGTCCCGGTGCTGGACGTCTTCTCGTCGCCACGTCGACGAGTTACGTTGGTCGTACGTCCCAATGAGACTCTCGATCATTGCCGACATGACGCTTCTTCGCCTGGTACACGAGAAGTTGATTTCTGGACACCAATGGCCAATCAAAGCGTGCTTTGGATCACTTGAGCCAATCAAACGCCGACTACTACGTAGTAACATTTTTCGTCTACTTGTATCGTTTAATTATATATATATTCGTCGAAGTATTTTTAAATCACATAGAGCTACAAGATCAAATTATTAAAATATTATATATCTTGAGTACTAGTATATTTTATTAAAGGTAACATTTGAAGGCGAGGTATTTCGAAGTACAGAAGTACTTCGAAGTATTACGGTACTTGCCTTGCTTTTGCTGTGCCGCCTCGCGATTCAAGATGGCCAGCGCTGTGATCGGGTCCTTGATCGGGACGTATGACTTGAAGATGGCGCAACAATGGAGGGATGAGGACATCAGCCATCGAGCACAGGAGAAGCAGTGGCGAGATGACGACATCAAGCGCGCGTACTCGTGGCGAAACGAAGATGTGGAGCGAGAAAAGCGATTAAACAAACTTGAGAACGAGCGCCGGATCACAGACGCGCGGAGCGAGCAGTTGTCGGCAGTGTCCAACTTGTCGGCGCTGCTAGGGGGGTTTGCTATGGTAGCGAATGTCGAGATCAGTCTCCCAGACGACGTGTCCAACATCGTGATGTTCTTCTACGGCACGACCAGTGCCGCCGTGATCCTGTGTATGCTGTGTTGCATGCTCATGTGCACGTTGCTGCTCCTTGCGATCACTCAGTACGTCTCTATCTTCTCCCACTGCGTCTAATTGCCGCTAGGTATGCTTCTCAAGAGCTGGAGACGGACCTGCGGCACCTCTCGTTCGACGAACTCGACGTCGAGTCCCCGTTCTACGTGTGGTGGCTCAAGCGCTGCGAACAGGACTGGTTGCTCGCGTACAAGTTCTTCCGCATGGGCATCTTTCTGTTCCTCTGCACCGTGTCCTGGGTCGGTTGGGTCCAGTTCGAGAAGACCGCCATCGCCGGGATCGGCATGACCGCCATCGCCGCGCTGTCGTTCATCTTTTGGCAAGTGCGCATCGAAAGCAAATGGCGCTACCTGCTCTACTTCCCCGAGACCAAGATCCCTCCAAGCATGGAGGGCCATGACGACGACACCGCGTACCTTTCCACGCGCACGCACTCGGTCACGAAGGACTTTTCCATCTTCCACACTCCAGCAACCACATCCATGCCGTCTGCCGCCGAAGACCGCGACGTTCCTTACGAAAGGTACTACTAGTAGACCCCTCTTGTCAGCCTTGACTCACCTTGCATGCTTCTAGAGCGCAAACTCCCAGATAGGTGGCGCACCACACCTCGATACGCGTGTATCAAGTACTATATCTAGTAGTACTAGCAATATTCATACTACTACGTGGTTACTATTAATAGTTGAACATCGACTACTTGTTATATGGCAACACGACAGAGGATGTTGTCAAATCGCTTCGAAACTGAATTAAAGAACCGCCTCAGCCAATCAAATCACGTCTGGTGGAATTTCTGCCAATCCGAACGTTTGATTCGAATTTGATCAAATGGATTCGAATGCCAATTGGCGAAATCCGTCACAAGTCTAAATTTGGTGAAATATGCACATTATTTACTTGTGTTTTTTCTGGGGAAGGCCCTGGAAGCCAAAGTACACGGCCACGCCAGTCTATTTATTCCATTGGTCACATGAACATTTATGTACTTCCCAAGTGAACATGCAGGTCGTACCAGATCCAACTTCGTGCGCACGACGGCGCCGGTATGGTCGAAGCGCGGAAGGCGTTTGGTTTCTTTGCCGCCCTCGAAGAGCACGAGAGACGGTAGCTGCTTTGTCGTGGTGGCGTTCATGTCGATGTTCAATTCCTTGGCAATGTCAGGGTATGCTTCCACGTCGAGCCGGCCAAATCGGACGGCGTCGGTGCCATGCCTGGTCAAAGGGAATGGGAAGGAGACATTCATCGCCGTACGTACGCTAGGGACAGGTCGGCAAACATGGCGTCGTGGTACAGACACTCGTCGCACCAGTCGGCATGCAAATACACTAGCCACGTCCCACTGCTTCCATTTCGAACATGCTCGTTGAAAAAGGCACCCGTCAACGTCGTCGACTTGTGTGGACCTGCGTACTTTGGGTACGGCACGACCAAGAAGATCACTACCATGAGAACGTGACATGCAATGACTGACTTGAAACGAACGTACGAACGGCGGCGATGGCGTAGCATGCAAATAACGTCGGGTCCAAAAGGTAGAAGAGCCCGCCAATCGAGCCTTTCGCATACAGAAAGGCCATGGCAATGACTCCGTCGACCGTTGCTTTCTTGCGGTAGTTGAAGAGGATGGACCCGACCAAGACGAACAGAATTTGTTGCTCCTACACTCATGGACATGTCAGAAGGAGTAGCCGATCGTGCGTGGTTCCTGACTGTACCCTTGTTAATCCAAGCCATTCCTCCTTCTCCGCCAGCTTCGCGCTAGTGCGCGTGATCCGGGCGACGCCATAGCTCGAGATCAAGAGCACGTTCAGCACGTAATGTGCATGGCCAAAGCGGCCGAAAGCGCCCATCATGGTGCCAAATGGTCAATGTGGATTGGCTACAATTACACTATTTCCACCAATAAAATACGAGGGTTGTGCTATTACTAATCATCCCCCATTTGCACCCCTCGTACCATTTCACCAACACGAGAACATTTGTCATGGACTCCATCGTCGGCGGAAGCATTCAACCGCTCGCCATTGGCGTGGGAGTAGTCGGCTTGATCGCCTTGATTGTCCTCGTGTCAGTGTCCTCGCACCAGCGGGAACAACTGCAGTACATGGCGAAGAAAGCATTCCGGTCCAAGCGAACAGAGACTGCATATGGAAATGGCAATGGCATCGACACGTCACCAGGGGCGCTTCCATCGTTTGCCAAGGCTGCAGCCGAGACAGGCAACGGTCGCATGCTGCAACGATGGGCCAGTTCCCATGGACCTGACATCAACTCCCGAAGTCCCGACAACTTGACCGCGTTGCATTACGCTGCTCGTGGCGGCCACACCGAATGCATGAGGTACATATCTTTTCGTATGATGCGATATTCACGACATGTACGGTACAGGATATTGCTGGAAGCAGGTGCCAACCCCAATGTGGAGGACGAACGCCATGTGACACCGTTGCACCTGGCGTCCGTGGGTGGGTTTGGACTGGGGGTTAAGCTCCTCCTGGACAACAAGGCCGATCCGTTCGTGGAAGATGCCGACCACAACACGGCCCTCTCGGCCGCTGAAGCCGGCGGGAATGTCGGGTGCGCCCGGTTGTTGCAGCGAGCCATGGCCAAGGCCGCCGTCGCAGACAGCAGCACCACTGGACCTTCGTTGACTCTCCGCGGTGTCCAAGGCGACAGCGCTGTCTAATTCTATCACTTCATGCGTACTTCTACATATCCTTTGTTCTCTTGAACGTTTCCCCAAATAAGAACTACAGGAACTCCCAAGCCTGGAAAATTGCAAGCGTACCAATCCACCACAGAACAACGTTTGCGACTTGCCGCAACAACACTCCACTAATGGTTCAATGCAGCCTCTGCACCTACTGCACCTACTCTTCGTCTCGACACACACACTGGCCCTTCTTCGCCCGCCGGCACCCCCGACAAAGCGTGCTGCTGCACCGGGTGCACGCGCTGGTTTTTCTTCGAAAGAGCCCAAACTTCTTCGAACATGCTTTACATGTGGCATGTCCACCGATGGACTCGAGGCTGGGCCGCTCCATGATGGTCGAGAGGTCGCTGTCCCGGTGGCTGCTACTCTCGCTCTCTGTGCTACTGGTGTAACTGCTTGGTTTGTGGCGTAGCGGAGCCATGGCCTGCAGAAGGGTTAGCATTCCCTCATCTGTACATCAAGAAAAACTGTACCGGTGGGGGGGCCTTGACGGGTTTGACTGGCGGGCTAAATGTGATATCGCAGTACTGCCGCCATAGCACAAGTACCAAGTGCAGGAGACCCAAGAAGGCCAACATTCGAGCCGCTGTTGGTAGACAATTCTCCATGCGGAATCGAAGCGAATACAAGAGCGACAACGCCCGGTCTGACCACGCTAAGCAGGACGGCGAGACTGGCGACGTCGCGTAGGAAGCAGCAGATCCGTTCAGAGAGGAAGGATACAGACGGAGGCGGTACGTGTACTCCCATCGTGCATCAACTTGGGTATCGTTCCATTCAAACGACGAAAGGGTCGGCACATGCATTTCCACCACGGGAGTCCATTTCCACTGCATGTTGTGATCTGGTCGGCGCTACATTTGACAACGTTAGACTGCATGCGTAGATAGGGGTACCCAAGTACCTCGATTGTGTACGTCAAATCGACATGTGAAGGGAATAGCGATGTCCATTCCACGCTAATGTGCTTGCACGAACGCGATGTCGTGAAGTCCCCTACCAGTCCTGTTAATCAATCAATCGTGCACAAGGTCGACATGTGCTGTACCTGACCGCGCAAAGATACCCGCACCAAACCACTCCATCACGTCCCAAGCTTGTGCCTGTTGCCATAGCACGACGCCGCGCATCACTCCACCAAGTACCTTCATGTCCGGCCCACGCAATGCGTAATGGGGGTGTGACAAGTGGCGTCCTGCTCCAAGTTGAAATTGATTATCCGGATACCAACGGCTTGTTTGGGTTGTGAAGATATAGGCATTTGTATGGGACCGTAACGGGCCAATAGCTAGTAGTACTAGAAAGGCGGCGCAGAATCAGGTGGATCTTGGGATGACAAAACGATGTCTCCAACGCCTGCAGTCGCAAATGCCAAAGACCCCGCGACGGCACTTGCTTAATCTGCCGTCGCGAGGCTTCTGGCTCTCCTGCCCGCTTACGTCTAGCTAGCCTTTGAAGCCCGGAGCTGTCCAGCAATAGAACCACGAAGTGTAACGCTCGCTGTAACACAGAAAGGTGAGTCATCCGGATAAAACGACCTAATCTGAAGTATTTCTCAAATGTCAAATATTTGAACAAGTCGGGGAACGTCCATGTCGCTGGAAGAAGGGTCGCCGGAGATCGAATCCACCACGTGTTTATACTCATAACGCAATGGACTCCCGCGGACGCCCCTGAGCCCAAAACTCGTGGTTATATATATATAGGTATAGCCTACATTTGCATTCGTAGTAGGTTAGGTTCAAATAAATAGCGACGTTTCACACAGCACTGATGATTGAAATTGTTTTGAATTATGGGAGTGGGCCTCAAAATAATATTTTTCGGGGCCCAATTGACACTCAATCCATATTAAATGCATGGGGGTGGGTAGGTTAAAATTGGTTTGGGTCACCCCAAAAGGAGAGGTGGGTTGGGTAGCACAAAGCGGCGCAGGGTCAATCAACTACGAAAACATGGCCACCACGCTCGAAATCAAGTCGTCCGTGGTGAAACCTCGCCCAAGTTCGCGCATGCTGAGCTTGCGGAACCTTCTGCATGTCCCTCGGTCCGAGTCCAAGCGGGGGTTCAATCCGTTCGTGTACCAGACCCCGACAATGTCCACATACGAGCGCGTCAAGACGGTGGTAATGTGCGTGTTGCTCGTTCCGGTCATTCGCGTGCTGTTGGTCCTAGTGCTGTTGATTCCCGTGGTGCTGCTTGCCACTCTTGGCACGCTCGGCCACTCGCATCAAGACAAGGACGGCCACCTCTTGCCCATGTCCCGATGGCGGCGATGCGTCGTATACCCCATCCGATGGTTCCTTCGCGCGATTCTGTTCGTGTTTGGGTTTTACTACATCAAGGTGTCGCATGCACCGAAATCCAGCGCCGCTCCCACTCAGTTGCTCGTCGCCAACCATATTGGGTTCATCGACGGCCTCTTCTTTGGCGCGTACTGCTTCCCGAGGTACTCGCCGCATGACAACATCCCTCATCCCACCTGGCTCGTAGCGTCGCCGTGCGTGGCGACCTGGGCAGCGCCCCCATCATCGGCCCCGTTCTTCGCGCGATGGACCCAGTCCTCATCGACCGCAAATCTGCGGCCGGTCGCAAGAAAGCATTCACAGACATCCACGACCACATGACGGACACGAGGTTTCCGCCGCTTTTGATCTTCCCCGAAGGCACAACGTCGAGCCAGGACTACTTGACCAAGTTCAAAAAGGGCGCGTTCGCCGCCGGCCTGCCCGTGCAGCCAGGTCTCTTCTCCATGTCGTCAGCGTCCTTGAATATATCGTTCGTTCTGCGTAGTGGTGCTCAAGTATCCGTTCCGACACTTTGACATCAGCTGGCCGCCGGGGGTGTCTGCCGGGTACCTCGTTCTCCGCATGCTGTGCCAAGTGCACATGCCGATGGACGTGTCGTTCCTGGCGCCGTACACGCCGTCGGACGCCGAGCGCGCGAACCCCGATCTGTTTGCCGAAAACGTGCGCCAGGTCATGGCCAAACCGATAAACGCCAAGTGCACGAACCACACGTTCGAAGACGTGCGACTGCTCTGCGAGGTGGGCGCGTACGCGTCCAAGAGCGTGGCGCCGGTGACAGACGTCAGCGAGATCTTCCAGCTCACGCACCTCACGGACGCCGCCGTCACGGACCTCGTCCGCCACTTTGCCGCGGCAGACACGAACGGCGACGGCAAGATCAACTTGCAGGAGCTCACGTCCCGGCTGGACGAAGAGCCGGCGTTCGTCGCGCGGTTGTTTGAGTTGCTCGACCAGGATGACGACGGCCAAGTGGACTTTCGGGAGCTGTGCATCGGACTCTCGACGCTCAACCAGGCGCAGACACCCGTGACCTTGGCGCACCTCTACCGCCTCGCGTTCCACTTGTACGATGCCGACGGAAATGGCCATTTGTCCGCAGCCGAGGTGACACACATGCTCCAGTCCACCCGCGCCCTGTCGGGGCTTCACGAAGACCCAGCCGCCGTCGACGCGCTGGTCCAGGTAGTATTAGCCCAGTAGAACCACGGGAAGGATGATGATTTCGATGCCTAACGTTGTGTGTACTTTCTAGGCGTTTGATGTGGACGGAGACGGATTGATTTCGCTGGACGAGTTTGCAAAGATGGCGCGGGCACACCCGCACGTGCTCACACAGGTCGTGGACCGATTGAGTGTGCTGCGGACGCTGGAACCAGTTGAAGATGGAGGGGGGGCAATTATTCGTTGAGATACAATCCCAGGGTATGAAGTGGCTGGCTGTACCAAGGGGGGGTCTGCGGCGGTTTAGTAGGGCAATGAAAGCTATGATGGCGAGGAGCACCGTGGTATTGTAACAACAGGACGCTCGACATTGTGAAGACCCAAGCAACCGCGATCACAATTGCTCTGAATATACTAAGTCTTGGAGATAATGTTATGAAGTCAAGATTCAAGTTATAACAATGTAGAATCAGCCACGACCCCATACTATTATTATTGCGTACAGTATTAATAATAGTTAGTATAAAAAACTACTACACCTTTTTGCGGTTAATTTCAGCTATTTTTCACTGTATTTCGCTTAGCTTGCAGTATATTTTACGAGACCACCGATATATTTCGGTTAACAAAAGTTATCTCCATTTACACTGTTAATTTCGTGGCGACCTCAAACTTTGGGTTTATATTTCACCAAGACATCAGTATACCTGTCGGCTCCGTCGTTGCAATGTTAGCGTGGGGTTGGTACATTTTTTGACACCTTTCGTTCGGCGTCTCAATGCCTTCTAATTCAACCGCCGAGATTATCAGAACGTATTATTATTGTTTGATGTCATAAAAATATTATCGAATTTTGGTGACATTTCGTCGATGTGAAAGATTTTGGCTTTGGTGCAAAATGAAGGAAGCTACCTCCTACAATATTCAACGTATTGATGTGCGATTAACACTAAGCCCACAGCATGCAGCATACTCTGGTGGATGCTGTGGGCTATTCCGTTTGAGATAATACTAAGATTTGGCGGAGGAGTAGCATCCTTCATTTTCTTGGGAGCCGTTTCGCCCAAACATACGGTAATTCAACCAACTATCGTTTACTCCGGAGTACATGTTAATTTCAGTTTTCGTCAATATATTGCACCCAGCAACCGATTTATTTGGCTAAAAATCCCTATCATACAGGCAGGACACGTGTACTGGTGGTACGTATATCTAGCTAACCTATGCCGTGGGTGATGCTTGCGACTTTTCGGCATGTTGGACTCCATGGCCATGAGTACACAATGACGACAAGTGACAACTTGCTTGAACAAGCGCCTTCGTCGAGAGGAGCCCAACGCACGGCGGATATGCGCACAAGCGACGATATGCCTACGTGGGGTATTATAGGAATTCCTACGAGGCACAGACATAACACAGCCACTTACAAGGACAGCGTCGGTGCAGTAGGGTGCGTGCGACAGGGGCTTACCTCGTGCTGTGCAAGACGTCGACGTTCGGCGGGGCTGGCGCCGTGCTAGATGCTCCTTTCTGAATGAAGCTTCGAAAAGTGGAAGCGCCCGAAAACGAAACCGTCGATCGAGATCATCGCTGGTCGAAATATATTGGATGCTCGGTGAAATATATTGACGAAAATTGAAATTAAACGATAGTTGGTTGAATTATACTGCCGGCTTGGCGAAATACATAAACCTGAAGTTTGACGTGTTTACGAAATTAAATGGAGAGAACCGAAATATATCGGTGGTCTCGTGAAATATACTGCAAGCTAAGCGAAGTACAGTGAAAAAAAGCTGAAATTAACCGCAAAAAGGTGTAGTTAGACGGCAATGGCCTCGGTTGCCGCGACGAGACAGAACCCGCTGTCGTCACATGCGACATCGTCGTCCTGGTTGGCGACAGGAAGCAGGCCGCGGCAATGCTGCAGGTACGCCGACATGGACACGGCCATGCCGGGGTGGCGGTGGCGCTTGGAAGGCCGACGGATGCGCATGAGTTTGCACTTTTGCGTTGGGTTGTAATGGCCTACATAAAGAGGGGTCGGTTTTCGGTCTCGGAATATGGAAAGCGGGTGTACTTTTGGAGAGGAGGCCATAGAACTGGCACGTGGCGTGGATGAGCAGGCGGTGGAAGGGAGACTCGAGCAGCGGCACCACAAGCACCGTTTCGTCGTGCTTGGCCGGCTTGGCTCGACCTCCCGCCGCCTTCGAGTCGCGCACCATCGGTGTCACGACGTCAATCGTGATGGGCGCCGCAAGCCAGTTGACCAACGTTGGAGAGAAATCCTCGGATGGCAACACTTGGTTCCACTGCCACACCACATCGATGAGAGATCCAGACAAGCATGTGACATTGGTGCAATGTGGTCAACCAACCTGCACGAAATGGACGACGACCTGCTCGACGGCGTGGACGTACTCTTGCATGGACACAAACGACGCCAGAAGGATGGACCGAGCGCGCTTGTCCACACGTGTGAACATGTCGTCCGCCTCTGCATGAACGTGATCAACGTGACCGCCAAATGGCAGGTACCTGTCCAGTCGACAGAGGGTTTGGCGCGATGGGTTCCGTTCTGCGAGGCATTCGAGCGCGCGTGGGTAGGCTCCTTGACGCTGCGAAAGGCTTCTGCCAACTCTTGGTTTTCAGGTCGAGCCAACTCTTCAAAGTTACTCTTCCATTCCACCGACACACTCATGTGTTCCATCAACTCGTCCAACGTCGCCGTCGCCGCGCGGTTGCCAAAGTGGTGATCGTTGAAATACCTGCCCAGCGTCATTCTCGTGTATGCGTTCGTGTGTCATAGTAAGACGTTGGAGTTTACCGATTCTGGCTGCGCTTGCCAACCGGTGGCGGTTTGTTGGCAATGTACGACGGCACCATTTTCTGCTGGGCGGAACCGATCATGTTTAGGGCAAGCTGCCGTTCTCGCGCAATGTTCATGTGCCCAGGATTCAACTTGGGCAATTTGATCGTTGTTCGGCCGAGCGGCGCCACATGGGGTTGTCCCAATCCAATCATGGGACCGATCGGGCCTTCCGATCCCGGTTCCGAGAAGCAATCCGACGACAAGTAGTCCTCATGTTCCACAAAGGAAAGGTCGCTTGCGATGCTGGATGGAGATAGAGGCTGTGTTGCCATGGTGCTGCTACAGTAGGCGAGGAAGAGTGCGCTCGTTCGTTACGGAGTGCCCCGCAGCGCGGAATTCGAAAATGACCAGAGCAATTTCTAGTGAAGGTGCACGCATTCCGTTTGTCTTGATATTTGTATTCACGAATCTTCAATCGAAAAACTCACAAGTCAGTTCTAGGATTTGTTATTTCGTTGAATACAAAAACCAAGTACAGGTTTGAAAATGCACAAAATACTTCAGTTTTTGTGTTATTGTTACAGTACAGTACTACTTGTATTAATAGTACTACTAGTACTTCGTTATTCATATCCTGTAGAAATTAATACACTGTTACAACTGTACTTTGTTGTGAAAATGTTCAATCCGGATAAGGTCAATGACACGGAATAAGAACTACGATTCGGAACTTCAGGTTTGTATATGGACCAGAAAATCCGGTTATACCGAATCTTGTCGCCATCTCAGCAACAATCATCATGCAAGCTGAAGCGATCGATGTGCAATCGACGGACTTGGAAGAGTTAAGTCGACTGGCAACTCAACAACGTAGGACGCTGCTTGGGAACCTTACCCAGCTGCGCAAGCACGACTATGCCTACCTGCGAAGCCTGCATGCTGATCCTCACAACAGCTACTTTGTACAGTCACGCGCAAGATTTCATGGTGATGACTCATGCTAGTTGTTTGTAGCTCAACATTGCGCGATTCCAAGAGAGCACCCTCAACTTGTCCAACGCGCTTGGACCTGAAAACCACCAGAAGCGGTGCGCTTTCTCATGTCGTGCTGTTCAATGTGGTTGACGTGAAGCGGTAGGTGCGAGCAGCTGTACTATTTGGGCCTAAGTTTGGGCCGGCTCCTCACCACGACCCATTCTTCGTCGCAACTCGCCATGGATGGCTGCCAGTTAATGGACGAACTCGACTTCTACTTTGCCGCCCCCAGCATCCAAAACATGGTACGCTTGTGATGTTCTCCCGTTTGTCGCTCAACGGGTCGTGCTAGAAACTCGTGACAGTGGCGACGAAGGTGCCGTTCTACGAGCGACCGCGGGAGCCCTCCGCGGACGACTCGGTCTTCCCCGAACCTTATCGCACGGTCGTGCGCAAATGGAACAACAAGCCCGTGTATCAACGCCTCGTCACGCCCCATCTCGTACGATGTCACATGTCACGTTCAACTCCCAACTTGTTTCTAGGCGTTTCCGCTCGACTACTGTCTCTTGGTCGTGTCCATCTGCGACGTGGTCACGCTCGTATACGCCAAGCTGCAAGAGGATCCTTGCCACCAACCCCACGTCTTTCAAGCGTTGCTTCGCTTGGATGACAAGCTCAAGGTACCCCTCGTATTCCATTGTCAGATACTAGATCTTTGCACGCAAGTTGAAGTACGTTGTAACGATGTCGCATTCACGGTAGAAAACAGTGTTGGACCACGTTAACAAGCACTTGAGTGCCGCCGCCACGGCCTCGATCAAGGACCAAATGCAATCGCTGCGTCCTCCCACCACTCAGCACCCACCCTCTCGTGCTCGTGGATAGTACCTACTACCGTTACTACTACTAGTACTAGTAGAAGTACACCCAGTACTACTACTACTAGTAGTACTAGTACACCTCCAATACTACTACTACTAGTAGGGTCCCCTAATCATGAACAGCTCTCCCATACACACACAATGAGGCTTTTCCTGTGGACAACCAGGTTTTAGTTGAATGATCAATTATTAGCCGACACAGTCTTTGGTTATACGTCGATACGACCTGACGACGTGGTCGTTGTCGTCGTCGCCGTGGTGTTGGTCAGACTGGTGCTGTAATTCGAGTGAATCTGGTGGTGGGATGGGCTTCTTGATGACAGCATGTCCGTGGCGTGGTAGTGGCGGCGCTGCTGCTGATGATGGTGCTGGGACTGCTGCTTGAGTTCCCGCAGGTACATGCAAATGTCCTGAATCCGAGGCCGGTCTTCGGGGTGGTAACTCAGGCATTGCACGGCCAGGTCCGCCAAGCACGGCGGGCACTCCTTTGTAAACGAGGGGCGGACGTCGCCGGCTACGACCAGCATGGCGAGTCGCGTGCGCACAACGTTGACATCGTGCAGGTCGTGGCACGAGTATATATAGTCCAAGTTGGAGTAGGGCACTTGGGCCGTGTCGAGTTCAGACATGACTACCCCCAACGAGTACACGTCTGCCTTTTCCGAGTAGTACACCTGTATGTACATAGAAACGGCAAGGTCAAGGGAGGGGCATGATATATATCATTTTGTGACGGTCGTCCGTACGTACCCCTTTGAGAACCTCCGGCGCAATCCACGCCACGGTGCCGACTTCAGCGGTCATAGTCATGTCGCATGTTTCCCGGGACACGCCAAAATCCGCCAATTTCGCTGTAAGGTCACCGTCCAGAAGCACGTTCTTGGCTTTCAAGTCGCGGTGAATGATGGGCGGGGACATGGAGTGCAGGTACACCAATCCGTCGACGATGTCACAGAGGAGGGACAGCTTGGACACGGGCGTCGGCGGTTCCAGCATGTCGGTCATGTCCTGGACCATGTCGGTGGTGCTCGCGAGGCTGTGACTGGCGACCACCGCCACTGCCCCAGGTCCATCCGTCTTCAGCCGATTCACGGTCAACTTCTTCAAGACTGCATCGTCATCGTCGTTCACACACCACGCGAGGTGGTTATTGCCGCGCGCGAGGAAGCTCCACAGGTCGCCGCGCTCCATGTACTCTGTCAGCGCACTCAGGTTTTGAAGCGTTGTCCACGAAAACCCGATGAACTGGACAATGTTCTTGTGCTGGAGCCGCGAACAGAGGCGGATCTCTTCCATAAAGTCCTCCACGCATTGGGCGTCTGCCGCCTTCTCTGGCAGCATCCGCTTCATCGCGACCGTGGTGGAGGTCGTGGTGCCGGACGAAGAAGCCGATGTGACGGTGGCCACATGTACCATGCCGTTCCCGCCGCGCGCGACGAGGTCGTGGCGGTGGATCGAGTGTGCGGGCACGAAGAACCGCTCGAGCGCGTCGTCGAACCGGATGTCGTGCACGAGCTTGTGGGCGTCGACGGCTCCGTAGTAGTGGCTGTCCACTTCGTCAAACCAGCGCTGATCCTTGGCGGCTTTGAGCGCGCGGCGGCGGCGGTGCCAGCAGCATGCCCCGGCCAGCACCAGCACGCACGCAGTGGCGACGGCCGTCGCGACGGCAGCAGGCGACAGCCCGGACGGCGACGCCGCAGCGAGCATGCACACTGGGTACGTGTTCCAGAGCATCCGGACCGAGGACGAGCAACTGACGGGCCACGCCGGGCCAAACGCTAGCAGCGGCGTGGTGGCATTGACGGTGGTAGACGACGCGGAACACGCCGAGTTGTTGAGGCCGGCGAGGAGTTCGAACTGGCTCGGGGTAGCGTACAGGGCTTGCAGTGGGTTTCCGGCTAGACACAGCGCCGAGAGCGACGGCGGAAAGTTGGCTGTCACGTTGGTCAGTTGATTGTGTTGCAAGTTTCTAGCCATGTGTATTGAGAGAACGTTCGAGGAAGAACGATTAATGTACAATGTCGTCAATGACGCAGGCCACGTGTCTGGCCAGTGGGCAATTTGGTTGCGCGCGGCGGATCTATCGATTTCTCATGAAGAAGGCGGCTAGAGAGTATGTACGCATGTACATGTACGAGAGCCCGGGTGTGTTGTTCCAGTGCACGTTGGAAAGACTGGTGAGGTTGTTGGCGTCCACTTCGAGGCGCTCAAGGGATGGATGGTTGGCCAGCGACGGCAGTTGCGCGAGGCGGTTCGAGTTCATCGACCTGGTCGAAACATGCCAATGATTAGCTACTACCACACCACCTCACTCAGGACATGGGTTTACAATGTGAGGAGCGCGGCGGCGGTGAGGTTGGACACGTTTACGAGCAGGTTTTGGTCCACGACACTACATACCAAAATGAGTCGCATGACAAGAGCAAAGTCATACAATGTTTTCAACGACTTGGGCAGGATCGTGTTGGAGATGTCGACGAGGGAATTATTCTGCAGGTTCCTACGATCGCCACATGAGTTGCATCGATGGTGGCGGCTACGGGCGTACAACGTCACGGCCTGACTCACTCCAAAGTGCGTGTTGATGCTCAAGTCGTTGGACATGGCAACGAAGCCCAAGTTTTGGTAGATGCTACCACGTCGTGATGGTGCCACAACCAATATATATATGTGCGGATGGACGTACTTGGTCGTGGCGTTCGCAGGCAGGTCTTCGAGGTACTCGATGGGCGGCCCATTCCTGCGGTCGACAATCACGGACGCGTCGAACAGAGTCTTGGAGAAGTTGACCGCGAAGAGCGTTCCGTTGGACCGCGTGCGGACGCACAGCGCATTGTACTCGTGCTCACCCGGCCCGTTCGGCGGGAACCCGAAGAACACGAGCTGGATGTAGTAGCCCCAGCCGCAGTTGGTCGTGAGGGTCCACAGCTCGTACGGCCTGGCGTCCAAGTCAACCATGGCTCTGGATTCGCGAAGCAGTGCTTTGTCGAAGGCCGTGAGGTCGTATGGCGGCAAAGTCGTCGTCACACGCTGTGCCATCATCGCGACCAGACACAGAAACACTACTAGTACACTGTGTGTCATGCCACCCACGACGCCGCCACCTCGCAGTACCGGTACAACTATCCTCATCGTCGGTCGAGCAAGCCAGTCTACCGGTAGTTGACCAATTCGTTACAACAAGAGGCGGCCACCATGTGGCGATATAGGCAGGCAAGTCCGATACAATGACAATTCCGGGTGCATATGGGCCAAATTGTGACGAAAACGGACCAGTTTTTCGAATCGGATGGCGCCTGTCCACGGAAATGTCAGCGAACCCACCAAATGAAATTGGTGAGGTATTGGGCAATACAACATTTATTTTAATGCGCTTGTTAGTTGGGCTATTTCTAAAATGAGAAAGTGTCGGAATAATCATTGGTGAGCGGTAGAGGTAGCTCCAGTTTCTTCCCGAAATGTCCCACCATGGGCGTTCAGTTGGTACTTGCGGCGCTGGACTCCCGCCCACTACTTAGACGACGACAACGGATGATGCTGCGACGACTCGTCTGGACGACCGCCTTTATGGGCACGACAGCGGCACAGAACGCTATAAGCGCCGACAAACCTGCGTGCGACGTCAACCCCGGCGCGCTGTTGACAAAACCGACGCTGTCGTCACGATGCGAACAGCTCTGCACGGCGGCGTCGCTCGACCTGCTCCAGCAGGCGGTGGCCAAGCCGCCTCCATACTGCCTTGTGGTAGACGGGAAGCTCTTTTCAGCACAAAACACGACGCAAGATGTGTTCACCCTCGTGGACGTGACGAAATTGGCGTCGTCCGTTTCGCACATCGAAGGCCTGCCGTCCATAGGCCTCTCCATGTACGTCGAGTCTTCTCTATGAAGATGTGTCTAATACAGTATCGCCATTACGGCATGTTCGACCCGCAGATATCTCAACAACCTCGGTGTCACGACCATGAACAAGTCCCTGGCATACCGCGCGACCAAAGGCACCGACATACGCGCCACGCTCCTGTACGCTTCTTCTTCGTTTCTTCAATATCGTCAACATGCATGTCTTTTGCAGAGACATTTCGAGCAACTTGCTCACAACACTCTCCGGCACGACGTTCCCAAGCCGCCTTATGACCCTGTACGTCCATCATCCGCTTCCTCGTGTCTTCTCCCCCTTGTCTCATGCAGCGCCGATAGCATCGCCGACAACAACCAGCTCACGGACGCGTCCAACATGACTGCCCCCGCGCTGTCCATTCTGTACGTCTCCATATTTTGTTTCCTCTCTGATGCTTTTCATCAGGCAACTCAAAGCCAACGAATTCACGGCCGTGCCCTCTCTCTCCATCAAGTCACTCGTGTCCCTCAATATGGACTCCAATGCGATCACGTCACTAACCTCTGCCGCCGCTGCCGGTCCGTGGCAAGGCATCCCCAACATCACGACCTTGTATGCACACATGGCGACCGACCCCCCTAACCCCCTTTCCCCTTTGTAGATCGTTCGCCCACAACCGCCTCACCGACCTCCCGTCGACGTGGCCGCCCTACCTCCAAACCTTGTGCGGCCTTCTTCGTCCTCCGCCTCCCTTCTTCCCCTCGTCATACTCACGCTCCCTGTGTAGAAACCTACAGCACAATGCACTCACCAAAGTCAATTTCACGGCGCTGCCCCCATCCCTGTCGTTCGTATGCTTGGGGGGAAACAACCTCACGCTCATCGCCGCGTCGTCCGCCGCCTTTGAAGTGCTCAAGAAACTGTCGCAGCCCCATGCTGACGCGGGGCACGCGTCCTCCACGTGCGACGACTCGGCGCCGTTCGCGTCCCCCAACCTCCCCACACCGCAGTGCCCGCCCCCCACAAAGCTCGAAACGCTCTGGGGCGTCTACCCCATCTGCGTCACACCCCCAACAACGTCGTCGTCCCTAGACGGATCCAAGTCGGGCGCGTCCGTCGTGGTCGTGTCCGTCGCGTTGGCATTGATCATGCTGCTTCTGCTCGCGATTTGCATCCAACGGCGCCGCGCGCGACTCTCCCCCAACTGGTATTGTCCATATACCCGAAATTTGTGTGCGGATTCTCCATATCTATCGATCGATTCGTTCGTTGTACTGAATAGTTTGGATGTAAAAAGTGGTTTGGTATCATACTAATTTCAGTTTCACACTAATTAGATGTTGATAGTTGTCTCCTGCAATCTGATTGGCTCAATTCTTCTGTAATACATTTGGTTGTGTCGAAAATTGATTCTCCATGTCGCTCCAGTTCAGAATAAACACACAACAATATTCTCACTAACACTTCATGAACAAATCTTCTCACGCCGTTTTCCTCTTATATATATATATATATATATATATATATTGTATTTTCATATATATATATATTGTATTTTCATATATATTGTAATTTCATACATATATATATATCGTAATTTCATATATATATATATATATATATATATTATTTTCATATATATATATATATTGTAATTTCATATATATATATATTGTAATTTCATATATATATATATATTGTATTTTCATATATATATATATATATTGTATTTTCATATATATATATTGTATTTTCATATATATATATTGTATTTTCATATATATATATCTTTTATTTTCATATATATATATATCTTTTATTTTCATATATATATATATCTTGTATTTTTATATATATATGTACTGGTATATGAACAGATAAACAACATTACATGGGTTGCCATGTTTAGTTGATGGTTTAGTTGATGTTTCGATGATTCGTCATGGCCTGAGGCTCTTGAATAGGTACGACGAAGTGGACCACAAGTATTATGGCGCTGTGGATGCGGCGCTCGTGGACAACGACGTCCGGTTCGACGACATGTACGCGGCATTCCAGATCCCAGCGCCGTCGATCGTGCGGCACCATGTGCTGGCGCGCGGGGGGTTTGGCATCGTGTACCTGGCAACGTTGCACCCGAGTCCGGCTTATCCGATTCTGTCGGCACCCGTGTCGGTCGCGATGAAGCGGATGCTGCCGGAAAAGGCGAGCGAATTGCACTCGGTGGAGGACTTTATGGAAGAGATTCGGCTCAGTGCCCGCCTCTACCACAAGAACATTGTCAAGTTCATTGGGTTTTCGTGGACGACGCTGCAAAACTTGAGTGCGCTCACAGAGTACATGGAGCACGGCGACCTGTGGAACTACATGCAGGCGACGCCTCTGTTCTCGTGGGGCGTGTCCAAGCAGGTACACGTCCGCATCAATCGCCCCCGTCGTCCCCCTCCTCCCCCCCCGCCGCCGCACGACCACCATCCGTCGTCTTCGTCGTCTGCTATGTTCTCCAAGTCGAGCTTTTCGCACTCGGTGCAGAGTCTTACCAGCCACCCCGCGTCGACGCCTTCGACTTCGGACGAAGCCTCGGGCGGCGTCGTCCTCCCCGTGTCCAAGTTCACGATGCTCTGCGACGTGGTGGAGGCGCTCGTGTATCTCCACTCGATGGACCCTGTGATTATCCACCGGGATCTCAAGACCAAAAATGTACTTTTGAATGGCGTGGGGGTTGCCAAGCTCACCGACTTTGGCGTGTCCCGCGAAACGTCGGAGGACACGATGACGGCCGAGATTGGCACCGTGGCGTGGATCGCGCCCGAGGTGCTCAAGGGGGTACTGTATGCGTGCTTGCTTGTCTCCTAGTTGTTGTTTGAACGCAACACAAAGTCTTAATTATTGCTTGGATGTATAGATTTACTACTCGGAGAAGGCAGACATATACTCGCTGGGGGTACTCATCTCGGAAATGGACACGGCCGAAGTGCCGTACTCCAACTTGGACCAGATCTTCCCAGAGTTCCGCGAACCCATGGACATCCACGCGGCCAAGACGCGCATTGCGATGCTGGTCGTGGCGGGGGACCTCCGTCCGTCGTTGACCCCCGCGTGTCCGCCGTGCATCGTCGACATTGCATCGCGCTGTCTCAGCTACGACCCACACCGCCGCCCGCATATCCACCAAGTGTGGGACTGGCTCAATCAAGTCAAGCACGCCATGCTCGCTGCCGCCGCTGGCGGTGTCTAATTTATTACTACGCTCGGTATATATATATATAAACTGCACTATCCCAATAGACGAAATACTGTAGCCCCCCCCAATTGTTGCCGTTTGTTTGGCCCATCAATCAACTAAGTACTGCATACTATTAATAGTGCATGACGTCGACGAAGACCAGTTGTATCCTACTAGTACTACAGTACTAGGTATATATATATATATATATATACCACGGAGATACAGGAACAGGCTGTAAATTTGACATTGCGATCCACTACTGAAGTACCGTTAACGTGTAAACGGACATTGCCGTGATGATCACAGAATTGCTGACTTCTTTTGTCGCAAATCGCTTCATGCATTTCCACATGTAACGTTCAAAACCATATAAAACAATTCACTACAAAGTTCTATATAAAAAAGTTGATACATATATCAACTTTTTTATATAGAACTTTGTAGTGAATTGTCCGCCCGCCATACATTGAGACTCGTATAAAATACCGTTCTAATACAAGGTGTCGGAGATCTGGCAAACCGGTATACACCACCGCTGTACTTGCATCCCAATATCCTCGTGTTCTCACGTATGAAGTCAACATTTTGAAGTAACGTTAGCATGTTGCATGAAGGACAGACTTAGTCGACATGCGATATAATCGCGAGTTGCATCCACTCCCAGTACTACAGTTTGTGCAAAGTGCCGTTGTAATTTGTAATTAATGATATTGATATTACGCTGTAAAGTTATAATCACTCAGCGGGCACTTAATGGCCTCGGCCGCGTACTAGATGGTTTTCATCTAGCGGACGTAACAGGGTTGTAATTTGTAATTAGTACTACTGTAGTATGTATTGTCCTTTAACCCAAAATTTGGACTTTTGTGCAGATCCGTGAAATCCATCGATCGATTCTTTGTACTGAAGTTTGCACTATGTATTAATATAATAGTACCAATCAATGTATATAAAAAGTTGTCTCACTAGTTTCTGGCACACACTGATTCAATGTTGGTGATGGTTTTCTGCAATCTGATTGGCTAAATCCTTCTGTCAATTCTTCGGTACATTTGGTTATTCTCCATGTCAACAATATATTATTACCTGCGTAATCATTAATGTTATATTAACTTCGGGGGTTGTTTGTCATCACACCAGAGGTTCTGGACGGGCTTTTGGCGGCGCCACTGGCGCGACTGTGTTCGCTCCCGTTGCTCCCAAAGCTAAAGCTGCTCGTTTCGCGCACCGACATGACCGAGTTCCGGCCCCACTGGTCGCCTCCACCCCCCACCGTCGACTCGCGGGGCTTCACGCCGTCTTTGACCGACGTCCGCGCCATTCTCGGCACGCCTTCCTTGACTTCGAGCGTGATGCGCATGCTCGTGCCGATAAACTCCTTGGTGTGTACGTGGACTTTGACGTCTTGTCGCTCGGCCAGTTTGGGAATCACGAGCTGCATGAACCCTTCCAGCATCATGGGCGTGACCGACTTGAGCTCGACGCCGAGGGGGAACCCGCCGTGCTCGACGTCGCCGCCTTCAAGCACGTTTTGTAGCCACCGACTCATATACTCGAGTTTTTTCGGGTTGCCTTGGGCCCAGTCTGTGAGCAAGCGCTTCCACGGCGTCGATCCGAGCGTGTACGGCAGCGGCGCCGCGTTGGTTTTGATTTCGTCCCAGTAGTCCTTGACCCGCCGAGCGCTGCCTCGCTTGGGGTTGGTTCCTTCCTTCGATCGCAGCCGGTGGAGGCGCGCGGCGCTGCGGTGGAGCAGCGTACTGGCCTCGTGTTTAGCGGCGGTCATGTCCACCGACGACGACGTCGCTGCCGGCGCCTTGGCATCCACAACGCCAATCTCCTTGACGGATGGCGCCCGAACGAGCCCCGTGTCCACCGGCAACTCAAACAAATGGCAGACAAACCCCCGCAGCTTTTCGTACTCTTCTTCGAGAAGCGACAAGTACGCGACCTGCGATGCCTCTTGGGACCTCTGCGACAAGTTCTTGACCTTGTCCTCGACCTCTTTGGCCTGGAGCGCCTCTCTCATCTTGCGGTTTTCTTCTTTCAAAGCGTTGATCTCGCTTTCTTGACGGGCCACGCGCTCCCGCAATGACTCGTTGTCCGCCGCGAGCGTCCCCAGCACCTGCGACGACTCGTCAAAGAGCCGCGTGGTCATGCTCGCGCGGTTGGTCGCGCTGTGCGGCGGACTGTACGCGGTGGTGCTGCTGCTGCTACTCGTACTGGTGGTGCTGGTCGTGCTGGTATTGGTGGTCGTCGCCATTACCGACTTGGCACCGGCAGCAGCCCCGCCGCCGCCCAATTGCGACTGCAGATGCAGCACCTTGGACCCCAATGCCCGCTGCTGCTGTTCCTGGGCCATCCGTTTCGCCAGCTTGCGACGGCGGTACATGGTTCGCCAGAACGATTGAATCGTCGAGATTGACGCCACTTCGCGGAGGTACTGCGTCCGTTGGCGATGCATGCGAGCCGCGGCTTGCAACTTCGTGGCGGCGCGGACTCGGCGCAGTTGGAGCACGTCGTGGCGGGCGCGGCGGCCGCGGACCACCGCCTGAAGCGCTACCACCCCCCGCCGTACCCGGCGGAACCGCGAACGCTGCACGAAGCCCCGCCCCCGCGCCTGGACGACCACAATTGCCGCGCGCTGCTTGACAAACCGGCGTCGGGCGAGGAACATCTTGACTGTGGTCTGGATGCGGATGGCAAACCGGCGCAGAGCCACGCCCCGACGCTTGTCCAGGTCGTCCAGAATGCTCTCGCGAAAGTACACCCGGCTGAGTCCCACTTGGTAGTCGACGATGTGCCCGTGGGGAAACAGATTCCCCATGAGATCGCTGCATTGGGCCTTGGGGTCGGCTACAAAGTCGACCTCGGCCAGCAACCGCCGCGCGAGGGCCGCCGGCGCCAAGATCGCATACCGCTTGATGCAGTCGACGTGGGGGAGGCGGCTCGGGTATGCGGACCGACTCACGCGAATCGCTTCAATCACCCCCGCGCACCGCAACTGGTCCACGATCGATTCATGATGGAATGCATGGGGCTATGATCCAAACACCCCCAACAACCATGAATTTCCACGATATAAATATATATATATATATATATATATACATTGGAACATGGACCAATCGTCGCCAATTCGTTTCATCACCGATACACTCACACACTCAAGTATATATATATATATATATATAGGGCTAGGATTTGTTCCACCACCAATATCGACACTTATAAATATATATAACTTTAAACATATATAAATAAATAAAATACACATTGATAATATATATTTGTTTTCGTACCGATTTGACCGAGTTGGGCTTGATGCACCGCACATAATGCACGTTTGTGTGAGAAATTTTGTCCATGAGTCTGGCGAGGGATTCCTTAAACTGAGTGCCCACCGTCACGGCGCGGGTGGCGGCGACGCCAGGGCCGCGTTTAGCATGATGATGCGTCGCAGACGACGACTGCCGATGCAGCGATCGGTGGCACGAAGTCATGTCAGTGGGGAACATGGTGCGGACGAGATGCACGGAGCTTTCGCCAAGTACTTTTTTGATGTCGGGCAAGAGGGCGTCGCGGTGCTTATCTAGAAATCCGTTCGTGTCGTACAGCACTTTGCCGGCATAGTGCAAGATGATAAACGCAGACGAGTGCAGCCGCGGGGTCTCGAAGCGCGCGTGGTTGTCCATCACGGCCGACAATTTGTGCGCGAAGGACGCGTCCGTGCCGGTGGCAAGGCTGCTTTCTTCGTTGAGGAGGCTGAGTACCCCCAGGCGGCCTTCGATCAGGTCGAGCACGTCCTGGTTGTCGGCAAATGTGACGTGGTGCCACGAAATACCCTCCTCTTCGTACTCGACTTGCACTGTCTTGAGCACATCCTGAACGAACTTTTGCTGCAGCTTTTCATTCGCATAGTTGATACACAGCTGCTCGAACGAGTTGTGCACGAACGCTTCGAACCCAAAGATGTCGAGGATCCCGATGAAATGCGATGCGTGGCCGACGCCGATCGCGGCATTGATCTGGTCCACGAGCCACGTAAACAAGGACGAGTACAGCGACTTGGCCACGGCGTCGCGGCAGTCGCGCGCCTGATCGACGGTCATCGGCTTGGAGATGACTTCGCGCCCGACAATCACGCTGCGGAATGTCAGCACCTTCTCGAGGTGGGCCACCGGCAGTCCGAGCAGGTCCGCCGCGGTCGCGAGCACGGCCGCGTCCGCCACCTGCGACGAGTCGACGTCCCCCTCGACCATTTCAAAATCCGACTCGCCAAGGTGCAAAATCGCCGCCAGCACACGCAGCAAGTCGCTTTGCATGGCGTCGGCAATGCCGACGATCGTCAGTCCGTTCTGTGTGTCGGCCCACGAGTGCTCGAGCTTGACTTTGTCGGCGGGGTCTTGCTGGACGTACCGATACCGCCGCGATGCGTCGAGATGCAAGTGCGGGAGCGTCGACGCTTCGGCCAACACTTGGTACAAAATGTGAAACGTGCGCTCACCAGGGGCTTGGTGGGTCACGCGACTCTTCTCAAGAAGGTACGTGTGTGCGCGCGCGCCCATGAGATGGCCGCGGACGTCGAACTGGAGCTCGGTGAACTTGCCGAAGCGACTGCTGTTGTCGTTGCGCGCGGTGGCGGCATTCCCGAACGATTCGAGCAGCGGGTTCGATTGGATGATGCGTTGGATGATTGACATGTCGGACGTGGACGCCAACGTCGCGACGTGGTTCATCATGATCTTGGTCGTTTCGGTCTTGCCCGCGCCCGACTCGCCGCTCACGAGGATCGACTGGTTGATTGTGTGCGTGCGCATGTGGAAGAACGACTCCATTGACACCGCGTACACGTGCGGCGCCTTGTTCTCGCGGGACCCGTCCATGTAGAGTTGCATCGTCTCGGGGCTGTACAGACGGAGCCACTGGTACGGGTTGACGGCGATGCAGATCTTGCCCGTATACGTGTCTGGAAAGGACGTACATCATACATGCAGATGAGCGAGCGATGCAACGAGGAAAGGTGCGTACATGGAAGGAGGTTGAAGAAACGCTGCCGGAGGTTGTACAGGATCGCGCCTTCGTGCAAATGGTCCACGGAGATCATGTCCTCGAACCCGTGCGTCTTGGTCATGACCTTGTTCTGGAGGGGCAGGCTGATGGACGTGTTCGCGGTCGACGATTTGACCGTTCGGGCTTGAATCACGTTGATCACGTCTGTCTTGGACAAGTCTACCGACACGACCTTGCCCACAACCGATGCACCCAACGACATGTTCGCTACAGGCGCGCCGCCAGTCTCGACATCCTCGACCTTGACGGTGACCACAGATCCTTCGATGCCCTTCACAGACGCAGGAAGCCACACGTGCTCCTTGTCTGGGATGAAGACCTACATATGCAGAACGCTCCATCATCATACCCTGTTTTCATCGTCATGACTACCTTCGCTCCTTCCATCTTGGTTTGAACTGACTGCCTTGACAACAACAATCCTGTGACCAACCTGACACACCATGGAGGCCCGAATTATATCCAATCAACGACGCGATTTCGAGTTCAAGCTATATGATTGGTTGAAATTCGAATACTGTACCTGCAGGATGCGGAAGAGATCCGCTTCCTCGGGAATGTGCATGGGACATGGAGAAAGGAGTGCAAGAAACACCCTACTTTAGTCATATAACTTAAACCATCCCATCGCTCCTTCCGATTCTCTCCATATCTTCGGATCGACGCCTAACTCGCAACTGGTAGTCCGGCGGCTGGTTGACCACCTTCATGCTGCTCGGATTTCTTCGTATGCAAGCGATGCTTCGGCATTACGACGATGCGTAACGTGCAGTCCACGACGGTCTTGGAGAACACATGCACGTTGAGATCGGGTCGGTGCTCTTGGAGCGCCGGCACCAAGATCCTGGAAAACCCCTCAAAGATCTCCTTGGACAAGAACGAGAGCTCGACCCCCGCTGGGAACTGCGCAGGCGCCGCCGCTGGTCCGATGCTTCCGCCAAGTAGCATGTATCGGATCCACGATGACAGGTATTTGAATTTGTTGGGGTTGCCATTCGCGTAGGCATCGAGAAGACTCTTCCATGGCTCGTCGTACATAGAGATATTCTGGGATTTGATAGGCACATCGGAATTGGGATGGGGGTGCCACTGCCGATGGAAGCGGTAAAGACCGTGGTAGGAATCCACGACGTCCACGTCATCTTCCGACACTTCGTTCATGCCATTGTCCACCATTCGAAGCATAGAGTCATACGCGTCTTCCATCAAGATGATCTGCATCTCGCGACGGTCGAAGTCGAATGTCTCGTCGGACGCCGTCGGTTCTTCAAGCACTACCGCTGGGTGCCGATAGACCATGCGTTGGCGGTACAATGCGCGCATCTCCTTCCGCTTCAGACGAGTCTTTTCCATGAGAAGCTCCTCAATCTCCAACTCCTGTGCATCGAGACGTTCTTGAAGCCGCAAGTTCTCGTCGTAGAGGGACCGCGCCACCGTCGCTCCCTCCAACACCATTTCGCAAGCGAAGCGCTTGTTTGATTGGCAGGTGTCGTGTTTTACATGGACACCAATGCGTTAATCACGTTTTATTAATAACACGACCAATACTATTAATAGTGAATTAATTTAATTCCTTTTACATTATGCAAGTGATCTCAAAATATTAAAATAATAGTTTCAGGGTTTTACATACCAGATCTTATGTAGCCAATCAAAACATTTACCCAGATACGTTTATGATTAGGCGTTTCAGTTTTTGAAACACAACGAGGCAGAGAGCACAGATGTCACAGCTGGAATGCGTTGGTCTCATGTCGCTTCACCACATGCCTAGCACCACCGTGGGCCAAGTAAAGTAGCGAATTACGTGTGTATGGGTGTAATTTGTGCTGATGGGCCAGCAAGGAGCGATCGACACAATGCTATACACCACTCGTGTAACACGTAGCATAACGTTACTGAAAACCCCTTGGAACAACCTTGATGCAACTCCAATTAATTACGTGTGCAAACTCGATTTCTAGCCACCAGCTAAGACAAGCGTAGCAGCATTCAGCGAAACGCGACTGCTGGTTTTTTGCGCTTGCCTCCTACAACTTGCTTGGAGTTGCCACTTCCCGTGCTCTTGGCGGTGTCCTTGACTCGCGCACGCATTTGAAGCAGCACCTTTTCGATGGCGTGGACTTGCGATATTGAGCACTGCACGCGGGCCACGTCCGTCTCTGCCATCCGTTTCACCAACATCCCAAACGCGTCGTCCGTGGGCAAGTGTCGGCTGGTCGGTCCACTTGGGACTTCGGGGGTGCTGCCGCCACCGTCCGAGAGCCCGATCGTGACTGCTTCCGCCGCCAAGGCCGCCACCGTGGCATCTGTCGCCTTCTTGGCCGCGGCGGCCTCGACTTGCGCCAGGACGGCTTCTTGCTCAGCCAGCACGACCTTCTTTTCGTCCGCGGCGTCGTCGTTCGACTCGTCGCCGGAGGCGGCCCCCGACTTGTGATGTTGGTGGGGAATCCCTCGAACTGCCCGCCGCTTCCGGACGCGGTCCATCAGCCGCGCATGTTCAAGCGACTGCTCACAGTCCAATTCTTCGGCCAACGTCGCCAGCATCTGCTTGTGCGTTTGCTGCAGCGTCGTGAGGTGCGCCACGTGCGCGGCCGCTCGCTGCTTGGCAGCTATGGCCCGACGTCGCGCCACCATCCGCGTGAGGCGGACGACTGCCAGCAGTTCCGCGCGGTGATCGTGGCTCAACTCGACCTCGTCCTCGGGATCGATGGGGGTCTCGTCGTCCTCGAGCTCGAGCATCGGAGGTGACGTACCCCCCTCCAGCGACTGTGTCCACTTGCGCAACACGGCGCGGACTTGTCGCTGCCGGCGATCCTTCCGAAGGGTGTCCATCTCCACCGCGTGCGCCTCCTCCAGGGCCCGCATCCGCTCTGCATGCTGCCTCGTAAGTGCTTGCGACTCTTTGGCGACGGCCACCGCCACCGCCGCACCCACCGCGTCGGCATTTGACGGCAAATGAGCTTGGGCGTGACCTAGTGCCAGCCACTGATGCAGCGTCGGCGGCAGGCGCGTTTCGATGGCCACGAGGCGCTCGACGGCACTCAGCTTGGCCCAGAGACCGTCGTGGATGCGACCGGAGTGCAGCGTGGGATGGAGAAGCACCGTCGACGATGCGTCGCTGTCGCGGACACAGCACATGGCCCGCAGCAGCGTGTCTTCTTGGTGTTTGGCCTCGTCGGCGATGGCAGCGGCTAGGCGCGCTTGGCCGGCGGTGAACTGGGTCAACAACTCGTCCAAGTCGGCGTGGAGCTGAGGGAGGTAGTGGCGGAGCTCAGAGTGGGGGTTCTTGAGCACGACAAGCCGACTGCGGCGTTCGAGCTCGAGCTCCTCGCGCCGGCTGGCTTTGGCATCGAAAAACGATTGCAACAGCCGGACGTGGCCCACCGCGTACTCGAGTTCGCACACGCGAGTGGTGGCTAGCTGCACCGCCGCCACTGCATTGTTGGCATCGACTTGGTCGTGGAAGTCCAACACGTCCAGCACGTCGTGGTCCACTTGGGCGCGCGCGGCCACGAACTGCAGCTCCAGGTCGTCCTTGTCCATCGAAGCCGTCGACCGAGGCGAAGACAAACCTGAAGGACCTGCCGTGGACGTTGTGGATGTGTGGAGGTGGTGGCCCCGCCGTTTCAACGCCTCACGACTCGCGTCTTCGAAGCGGGCGATGGACCGACGCAGCACTTGGACGTCGTTCTTGTACACTGTCGTGAGCATGTGCACTTGGGTGTACAACTTGGACGACGCAGCGCCATCTCCTGCATCAATGCCGCAGTCCAGTTGCCCCACAAACGTCTGCACGAGAGCTCGTCGGGCCGCCACGTACGCCTCACATGCGTGGATGGCGCTGACTCGGAAGTGCATCTCCACGAGGTGGTGCACGGACGTTTCAAAGAGGATGGCGGCCAGCGCGCATGGAGGTGGCGGCGGCGACGATACCGCGGCCACGCATTGCGCCAACATGGCACGCAACTCTGCGTCGCCCGTGTGGTTGCTGGAACTCTCTGTGGAGTCGGCGAGTTGGATGTCGCTTAGCGACACGTAGTGGGGATCGACAGGGGTGACCTGCGCGGCATGGTCCCCGCTTGCCGACAGCGACGTAGTTGTGGGCTGGGGGTGGCCATGGAAGAAGAGCTGGAGCGCGCTGTCTGTGCGAGCGCGTCGCAGAGCAATCGATGGATGCGCCTTTGCCATGCAGAATGGAAATGTGGATAGTTATTCATGGAGCTAAGTTTAGCCAAGCGCAAGGTATAGTTTGTTGCTATTTCTGGAACGGCCAACGTGTGCCTGTTCTTCAATAACGAGATACTAGTATATATATATATATATATATATATGTACTACTGGTAGTATCTCGTTCTATATATATATATATATGAATGGGAAGAGTTGGGATTTATTTATTTATTGCGTGGGTTGGCCGTAGAGTTCCAAGATGCGGTTCACGTCGCGCTTGCAGCCCAAAAAGATGGGCGATCGTTCGTGGATCGACGTCTAATACAAAAAAATATGCAAATATGATTCCAACTTGACAAAGTCACGTACGGGAATCAAGTCCAATACACGCTGGGTGCCCGTGGTGGAAATCCCGCCCGCCTGTTCCACGATGAACGACATTGGGTTGGCTTCATACAGCAAGCGCAACTTGCCCGACTTGCTCTATGCACATTGTAAGATGTATTTACTTGCATTTTCAATCAAATAAGGTATATATATATATATACCTTCTTGTCCGCCGGGTAAAAGAAGATGCCTCCGTACAGCAACGTGCGGTGGACGTCCGACACCATACTGCCGACATACCGCGCCGAGTACCTATAACGCATAACGTTAAACATGACCTTGATACATGAACACGCGAACGTACGGCTTGGCGGCGGTCTTGCACTCGTGTACGAATTGCGTGGTTTGCGCATCCCACAACGACAAGTTGCCTTCGTTGCACGAGTAAATCTAGCCATAGTAACATGGTAACTACGTGATAAACAAGGTGACGGAGATGCGTACCGTCTTGGGGTTGGAAGGGATCTTGATGTCAGGATGCGACAGAATGAACGACCCGATCGTTGGGTCCAACGTGAACCCAACGACGCCGTTGCCCCAAGTTAACACCAATTGCGTCGAACTCCCGTACATGCAGTAGCCGGCCGCGACCAACGACTTGCCAGGTTGCAAGATGTCGCTCAAGCTAAGTATATTCATACGCATTAGCCGCGGAGATGGACATAATATCAGGGAGGGGCACGTACCCGCCGGTGGAAGCGCTCGTCGCAGTGGCAGCGTTCTTTTCGTAGATGGCAAAGATGGTCCCCGTCGAGATGTTGCAATCAATGTTCGACGACCCATCGAGGGGATCGAAGGCGATGCAGAACTTGGCTACGAAGGTCCATGATGAGACAACGGTTCGAGTGGATAATGACGAGACATACTGTCGCTGGCCGTGTTGACCCAGATCGGTTCTTCGTTTTCTTCGGACACCATGACTTCGATCTTGGTCGAGTTTTTGAGGGAGTTGATGAAGATGTCGTTGGCCAAGATGTCGAGCTTCTTCACGTCATCGCCAGTGGAGTTCTGGGAGCCATCCAAGCCATACAACCCAGTCAAACCTGTGGAGTGATTAATCTCGTGCGCTGCGTTGGTGTCTGGACGATATCACGTACCGGCCCGACGCACGGCACTAGAGATGACCTTGCACGCCAACTCGATCGAGTTGAAGAGGATGCACAGGTCGTTGTTCTTCTGGATGGACTTGTCCGCAAGCACATAGCGGCTGAGGGTAATCGGGTTTGAGTGATCCACTTGCATGATGGCGAGGAAGTTTGAAAATGGCCGAAGGATTTCCTTTGCAACAACACTTGTTGCAGAAGGGGTCAGGGTTCAAATCGTCCAATCAACGCGCACATCGCAGCCAATCAAATCGCTTAAAATCCAAGCCACAGTTATTTAGGGCTTCCTTGTTCAAATACCTTAAATACGTACATACAACAATCAAGTATTGGGTGGTGAATGCCATAGGTAATCTAGGGCCATTACCGCCGGCCGTTCGAAACGGTTGTGGCGATTGGCCAATTTACTGGGCGTGGAGATCAAAGTACTTTGGAACGGCCGGTGGGATGTGGCTTACCACATGTACATATGGGTGCGAATTAGTGTGGGATCGAATGTGACACGACAGAGTTGCAGCGTCAACACAAACATGCACAACGCACCTAAGCTTAAATACATGTATATCATTGCAATGATCCATTCAATGTATATAGTATTGTCAAGTAGTACTACGTAGTAGTAGATTCGAATGAGCAGCATCAAATCGGCAGACAATCGATGGACCAATCAAAACCCAGATCAATATTGAAGTAGCCAATCAAATCCACTCTTCGACTAATGCAACATCAAATTAGTGTGTGACGTCGACGAATTTTATGTACAAAAGTCAATACAAAGAGTTGGATTTGGCGAATCAGCGAATTAGTGTGTGCCTTTAATTAGTATGAGGTCGGACGATTCTTACATACAACAGTCAGTACAAATCGATAGAATCGATCGATAGATTTTCGCAAATCAGCGCAAAAGTCCAAATTTGGGGTAAAAAGATAACACTATTAATAGTAGTATACGGTAGTCGGTAGGGCTTTTGACGATCCAAATCTTGCTTTTGCCGCCTCGATTGCTACTTGGTTGTATCTGTGCCAATCAAGTCGCTGTCTTTTGAATGATTGAGCCAATCAAATTAATCGTGACATTTTACACCAAAATACAAAAATATTTCATTAAGCGGATACCTCCGGATATTTTATCCGGAGGATTCACGTTTTCAACAACGAGGTGTGGACGGGATGGCGGCGTCCAAGATGGAAGCGCTGAAGCGGTATATGGGCGGCGGTGCTCCCGGTAAGTCAATGGATTCGTCAGAAACGATGTACTGATGATATATTCTAGAGGAAAAGCTCAAGAAGAAGCGTAAGAAGAAGAAGACGGACACAGGACTTGGCATGTATGTCGTGGACGACGACGACGATGCTTGGAACGATGGTTTGTCGAAACAAGGGAAAGGGAAGGATCTATGGCAAGACGAGCGCACCGAATATGACGAAGAACAACCCACTGTCGTGGGGGACGGCGCCGAGGACTACGACCCTGAATCCCAGCCTATTGTGGCGAACGCAGAAGAGTTCTTTGAGCGGGAACGGACCGAGGAGTTGGAGAAGCAGTGGCTGGCCGCCGAAACGAAGCCATCGGTAGACGCATCACCACCACGCAAAGCACGACATCAGGATGCATCACCACCACGCAAATCACGACAGCAGGACGCGTCATCTCCACCGCGAAAGTCACGCCGGCAAGATGTTAAGGACCCTTCAGAAGCGTCGTCTCCTTCCAGACAAAAGGAGGATTTGTCTCCGCCACGAAAGGTCCGTCATGAAGAAAACTCGCCCCCGCGACGGCGCAAGAAAGTAGCTAGTGGTGATAGACCACAAGATCTATCTCAAGAGGAGAATTCCTCTCCCCCTCGTCGCCCAAGGGACGATACCTCCCCGCCTCGCCGATCCCATCGGGAAATTTTCTCGCCGCCCCGCCGGTCTCATCGGGATACTTCCTCGCCGCCTCGACGTCGGTCTCGCTTTGACAATGCGTCACCTCCACGACGGGAGAAACAGCGGGACGATGGCTCTCAGCGATCCACTCGAGACCATGCCGCGTCTCCGCCTCGCAGATCTCGACGAACTGACGACAGTTCGCCGCCGCGCCGTTCTCAGCGGGAAAATTCCCCTCCTTCCAGCCGAAGTCGCCGGGTCGATGCTTCCCCACCACGTCGATCCCATCAAGACAAGTCCCCTCGTCGATCTGGTCGGGATACGTCGTCGCCCCGTCGCCGATCTCGATTTGACGTCGCGCCGTCGTCGCGTAAGGAATCTTCCTCGCCCCCCCGACGACGACCCCACGAGGAAATTTCCCCGCCCCGTCCGCGGTCGTCCACATCAACATCCAAATTCGACCCACGCCGTCGTGACGCGCCGACGTCACCCAAAAGTGGTCGCCGTGACGGCAACGCGTCATCCCCACGTCGAAACCCATCCAACGACGACCAACTTGCCGTGGGCGGGGTGTTCACTGGAAAAGAGTTCAAAGCCCAACAAGATCAACTCCGAGCGACCCAGCAAGCCGCGTTTCAAGACGAAGCCCTGATGGGCAAACAGGCAGAAACGATCTACCGTGACAAGCGAGGTAGATACAGTTACCTATGTCTTTGTGTAAGTTCTAAACCAACTGTGCATGTAGGCCGGAAGTTGGACATGTTGATGGAGATGCAGCGGCAGCAGGAGATCCAGGATGGCAAGCGTAAGCGCGAAGCCAAAGAAGAGTTTGAGTGGGGCACGGGGAAAGTCCGCAAAGAGGAACTCAGGTCCCACCAGCAAGAGCTCGACGCGATGCGGGCCAAGGTACATACTATGACTCTTTGGAATGATGGGATTTGATGCGGGGATTCTATATTGCTCTGATTCTTTGCCAAATCTATCGATATATCGATTCTTTGACGTTTGTATGTACAGATTGTCCAGTGTCACACTAATTTCAATCACACACTAATTCGATGTTCAATTGGTCGATAATTTGATTGGCCACTTGATGAGTGTTCTCGGTTTTGATTGGTCGTATATCGATTGGCTGCCGATTTTGGTCATTCGATTGTGAATATCTCACTCCAATTTCGAATGGACTTGACAATATAATTGGATAGTACATGTAGCGGTCTACTATATGTATGGGATTTGATGGGGGGATTCTATATATGTAGCCATTTGCACGACATAACGACGACGCCGAGCTCGAAAGTCTGCGCAAGGCCAAACCAAGGGCGTTCGACCCGATGGAAAGCTCGCTGTTCAAGGACGACGTGGACGACACAGCCAAGAAGGGGCCCAAGAAGAACCAAAAGCCAACGTACGCTGGCCCCCCCGCGCCCCCAAACCGATTCAACATCCCCCCGGGGTATCGATGGGATGGCGTTGTGCGAGGAAACAACTGGGAAGAGAAGGCGCTGCTTCAAGTGAACGCACGCAAAGCACACAAGCAGGACATGTACCAGTGGGCGACTGCCGATATGTAATACAAACATGGAAGAAACGTGGCCCGCATGCAACATGTGGACATTTGCAAATATGACTTCGAAGTATTCTGGATTCGATACTACGAATTTTCAGACCCCGTCGAATCGAATATCTCGCTGCCCTATATCGAATACTCACGAATCGACGCTATTGGCTAATCCAAATTTGAGTGGATTTGATTGGCTCTTTCAGAAAGGACAAGTATATTCAACCAATCAGAACCCGAGCGCGATTCAATATCGATTAGACAAACAACCACGACCGAGAATTCACAATACTATCAATACAAATTGTTACTATTAATACAAGTATTAGTGAATCGATGATATTTATATTTATAGTTTGAATTCGTTCGTTTTATTCGGATACTGTCCGTTTGGGCGAGACGAATGCAAAGAAATTTTCCAGTGAGCCGATTTTGAGCGAAACTCTACTTTACATACAAAAGAGTAATATTATAATAATGTAGAATATTATTATTGTTCTAATTTCTCAATAGTTTTAATACATGGTACCTCTCATGTAATAATGCTATACATTATTTAATGATTATTTTATATTCTAAGACTCAAGTATAATATACTTCGACTTACCTGTTTTAAAATTGTGTTTCCATTAAGTACGTTCGTACCATTAGACTGCACGTTAAACTCTTGACATGCTGGGTTTTTCGATGCAATGAGCAAACCAACACACAAAATGTTTAAGTCGCGAGTGAAAAAGGAGAAACCAGCGCGGAAGCGTGCCATAGAGGACGGCGACGTGGACGATGGTGACGCGGAACTTTCGCTTGAGGAGCTGAGGGAGCTGAAGGAAGACCAGAAGTTCCGGGAACGAAAGAGGCTGCAAAGCGATGGTCGCAAGACGACCACCGCGGCGACGGAAGCGACGACCTCCGCCACGTCCGACTCATCCCTGTCGACGTTGGATGGACAGTTCATGACCCAGTCTGCCGACTTACCCGTCGATCCATTTGAAGCGATCAAGTAACCTCACATCGACATGATGTATCCTCATGTATGCGTGTGTTCTAGGAACAAGTACATTGAAGCCAAACTCAAAGAAAAGTATGCCCCAACGACGACAACTGACTCGCCAATCATATCAAAAGAGAGGAGCGAAGAGTTGGAGCTTTACTCTATCCCCGAGCATTTGCGCCACCAGCCGACAGACCATTCAGTCCGTGCTCGTCCTATAGATACGAGGCTGACATTGCAGTACCATAGGCTGAGCGTGGTAACATTCTGTCCAAGGGCTCTGGCATCCCTGAAATTGAACTGGGTGCAGTTGATCCTGCAAAAGCATTGGAAGCGACAAAGGAGGCTCTAAAGGGGCGTGCCATTCACGAGAGTCACCACCATTCGTCCAGCACGGGGCTGCCTGTTAACATGAGCGTGAACTATACGCAGCACAAAGTAGATCATTTGACGAAGCCCAAAGGTGGGCGACTACTACTATGCATCATCACGGACGAGTCTGAACCAATCGCTCGTAGAGGGCATATCGAACGACCAGCAGCTGCAGAAAGACTGAGACCATCGATCGTGGCCTCCTCCTCCTCACCGACTGTGTACACCCCCCGACCACCCATTTCGATGGCGGTATAGACTTGTTGGCTAATAAAGCAATGCCAACATGTCATGGTCATAATTGTGCATTCGAGAACGATCTTGTGGCGGCAGAATGTTTCGTGGTGAAAGTTCTTGTGGACACACCCACGCCACAGTGGGCTGTTTGCAACGAGTTGACATCCCACGGGGTCGACGACACGAAATTAAGTTTGACAGGTTTCTGATTGCACTACGAATTTGTATGCTTCCGGATACATTTGGAACAAGGACGGAAGACATGACTAAGGTTGCAGTGGAATGGAAAAAGAACAAGCAACCAGGAGATCTCGTACTCCTTGGGCGGCACAGTGTCACTCCTCCTTTTGCTATGCGCTCCTCCTGGTCATCCATCGTCACAATTGCATCTGCCAGATCTTCCTTGTGAGGTATACAACACTGATGAACGTCTGATGAGGATGAATGGCCGTGTTGTTGCCTTGGTTTCTGCATGGATTGAGCGAGATGGACGTGGGAAGCGCGTCTGTCGATGCCTCCTGTGTAACGTCCCTGCTGCATCCACGGGATATCGAAGGATATGTACAAAGAGATTCGAACATTGATTGTCGTTCTCCAACCAACTTGGCTGGCTCAACGTATCCTCACTGCAGCACGCGACCCTTGTAGGTGAATGAGTGGAAGTACAACGCAATCCTCCAGTTCGACGCTTCTGGTTGCCACAAAAGACGCTGCCATGAGTGCTGCCAAACCTCAATCTTCGTTTGCCTTAGCCGCGCAACCATATGTATGTGGCGGCTCGGCAGCCATCGTCGCCGCCGTGGCGATTCACCCGATTGACTTGGTCAAGGTACATCTTCAACTGGCAGGCCAGACGGGAAGCAATGCCACGGCCGTGTCGGTCGCCAAGTCGGTGATTGCCAAGCAAGGGGTGCACGGTTTGTACGCTGGACTGTCGGCTGCCGTCGCACGGCAAATGGTCTACGGCACAACTCGTCTGGGCATGCATCGTGCGCTTTCCGACTCGTTGCAAGCCTCGCGCGTGAAGCAAGGCGCCACAGACGGGCTGCCATTGTGGATGAAGAGTTCCGTGGCCATTTTCACTGGCGCGGTGGCGGCTACATTGGGCTGCCCCATGGACGTGGCGCTGGTGCGCATGCAGGCAGATACATTGGCTGCGGCAGGTGACAAGCGCGGGTACAAGAACGTCGTGGATGCCATTCTTCGCATTGCGTCCACCGAAGGCGTGACCACGCTGTGGCGCGGCAGTGTGCCACTGATTGCTCGTGGAGCGGCCATGAACTTCGGGATGATGGCGTCGTACGACCAAGCCAAGGAAGTCCTCAAGCCGATTTTGGGCGGAGGGTTTGTGACGAACCTAGGGGCGAGTGCGTTCTCGGGCTTTGCATGTGCATTCACGTCGCTGCCGTTCGACTTGGTCAAGTCGCGCTTGATGAACATGAAGAAGGACCCAGTGACAGGCGCGTTCCCGTATAAAGGTGTGGGGGACTGCTTTACCCAGATTGTGCAGAAGGAAGGCTTTGGCAAACTGTGGCGAGGCTATTGGACGTACTACGGTCGCTGTGCGCCCAACGCGATGATTGTACTGCTGGTCATCGAGCAAATCAACTTGGTGTACAAGAAAGCGTTTCTCGAATAACAAGTTGGTTAATAACACTAGGCTGGTTTGTTATGTACGTTTCGTGTCGATCTGCATCGAGTATAACGTTATACACTCTTTCTCAGCTACGACCTTCCCTGGAAGTGTCGACCCATGGTTCATGGACACGTCGTCATGTTGATTACTATTGAATGGTCCGACGCCATCCACGAAATCGACTTCATCACGTTGTCTCACAGATACATACTATTGCGCATCGACGTTCGGATACTGGTGCTCCGGCGCCAATCACTTCAAGGTGTCTAAATCGAATGTTCTAAGCATGAAATGTACTCAGGTTTTCAAGACTATATAAAGATTCAGATGAAAGAGTAGGTTGAAATAGATATACTATAATGAATATGCATTCAACGTCCCTAGGTGCCTCTTAAAAAATCGGTCCTTTACATGCTTCTTTATCCGGCGCTGGCAAAAACACGCCACATCGGCGAACCTGTGGAAACGAATACAATGAGCAAGATCTTTCACGCGTTTGGAGGGCCTTCCACCGACAGTATGTCATTTCCAAACTTCCTTCTTGGTGACCGTCACACATCACACCATGGCCTTCACTTCCGTCTCGCGTCGCATGTTCTCTTCCCAAGCCCGTAAATTCTTTGTCGGGGGGAACTGGAAGTGTAATGGGTCGGTCTCCCAAGCCAACGCGCTTGTCGACTCGCTCAACACGGCCACGATCCCGTCGAATGTTGAAGTCGTGGTAGCGCCGCCCGCGCTCCACGTCGCGTCTGTGGCGTCGCGTCTCCGCAAGGACGTGGGCGTCAGTGGCCAAGATGTGTGGCACCATGGTGCTGGCGCGTACACCGGCGAAGTGTCTGCTGAACTCCTTAAGGACGCCGGTGCCGGCTACAGTATCGTCGGGCATTCCGAGCGTCGCGAAAAGGGCGAGTCCAACGAAGAAGTGGCGCGCAAGGCCGCGTATGCGTTGTCCAAGGGTCTGTCTGTGATTGCCTGCATTGGCGAAACCAAGACCCAACGTGATGCCAACCAAACCCTACAAGTCGTCACGGACCAACTGGCCGCGTACGCCGCGCACGTCAAGGACTGGTCCAAGGTCATCGTGGCGTATGAGCCCGTGTGGGCCATTGGCACGGGGCTCACCGCCAGCCCGGCGCAGGCCCAAGACGTGCACGCCGGCATCCGCAACTGGCTCAAGACCAACGTGAGCGCCGCCGTCGCCAACTCCACCCGCATCATCTACGGGGGCAGTGTCACTGCTGGCAACGCCACCGAGTTGTCTGGCCAATCCGACATTGACGGGTTCCTCGTCGGTGGCGCGTCGCTCAAGCCCGACTTTTTGCACATCATCAACGCCCAAAGCGGTGGCGCGTCGCACGTCGGCGGCCCCGTGAACGTGGCCATCAACGGATTCGGTCGCATCGGCCGCCTCGTCCTCCGCGCCGCGGAAACCAACCCCCTCATCAATGTGGTGGCCATCAACGACCCGTTCATCCCCACCGAGTACATGGAGTACATGCTCAAGCACGACACAGTGCACGGCCTCTTCAACGCGGACGTCGGCCACGACGGCGACTACATCCACGTCAACGGCAAGAAGATTCGCGTGTTTGGCGAGAAGGACCCAGCCAACATCAAGTGGGGTACCGCCGACGCCGAGTACGTCGTCGAGTCCACCGGCGTCTTTACGACCAAGGACAAGGCCGGCGCGCATCTCCAGAACGGCGCGCGCAAGGTGGTCATCTCGGCGCCGTCTGCCGACGCGCCCATGTTCGTCGTGGGGGTCAACCACAACCTGTACAGCAAGAACATGGACATTGTTTCGAACGCGTCGTGCACGACCAACTGCTTGGCGCCGCTGGCCCAAGTCGTGAACCAAAAGTTTGGCATCCTCGAAGGACTCATGACCACGGTGCACGCTGTCACAGCATCCCAGTTGACGGTCGACGGACCCTCCAAGAAGGACTGGCGCGGCGGGCGCGCCGCCTGCTTCAACATCATCCCCAGCTCCACCGGAGCCGCCAAGGCCGTGGGCAAAGTGATCCCGGAACTCAACGGCAAGTTGACCGGCATGAGTTTCCGCGTGCCCACGGCCAACGTGTCGGTGGTGGACTTGACTGTCCGCCTCAAGAACAAGGCGTCGTACGAAGAGATCAAGGCCGCCATCAAGTACGCCAGTGAAAACGAACTCGCGGGTATCTTGGGCTACACGGACAAGGCGGTGGTGTCGAGCGACTTCATCGGCGACGCGCGGTCGTCCATCTTTGACGCGGACGCCGGCATTGCGCTCACGGATGACTTTGTCAAGCTCGTGTCTTGGTACGACAATGAGTGGGGGTACTCGAACCGTGTCCTCGACCTCATTTCGCACATGGTGCACACTGAACGGAAATAAATGCGTTGAGAATAGTAATAAATCGAACGAATTATGGTGTGTGTTGTTACTGGTATAACGTTATTCGTTTGATTGGGGTGACGAAGTTTTAATCGACAGAAATCGTATGGCATCTCTTCATACATCAGCCAATCCCACTGTACTACTAGTAAGTAATACACGTTATTCCTATTATTAATAATAATGATATTAATAATAATAATAACGTTAGCGTTATATGGTGCTCGTCATCTATAAACTAACAACTTTTCACAAAATTTTCTGACTTCTATTTCGTATGCATTGCTCAAAATTTCAGCAAATTGAGACGTACTTCTACTACATACTGGTAGTAGAATCGACAGATCTCAATGTGGTGAAGAAATTCTACGTCTCAGTTTCAAATTTGGTGATGAATTGGTCCAGAAGTAGATATTTAACCTAGCGGTATTTTACATGGGCACTTGGATATGTGGCCATAGGTGGCCGATGAGATGTATCTTGATTTTTGTAAGCGACTCTTATCGTATACTATAGTATAATATCAGTGATAAAACGGATGAAATCGGTATTTGGGATTTGGGTTTAACTTCATAAACTATACGTTAAATAGTAAAACCTCCAAACTTAGATTTGGCCAGTTGGAAGTTTTTAGATGACGTGCACCATATCCACCACATTCACAGTCAGCTCACAATCCAAATACAATGGAGAAAGACGATTCGTATGAGGAGTGAAACACCACTTCCTCAGTAGGCACAGCATGATGTCAAGTAAGGTTATGTAACTTGACAAGGATCGTGCACTGAAATACAGAGCTTACGCTCACTGGAGTCGCAGCCTCGAATCAATTGAATTCGTGGATTCGCTATAAACTTCCAAAATTCGGGCGGTTTGTCTACTAATCAGTATTGAATCACGTTGGAGAGTGATTGGCTGACTATACTTGTCCTTTCTGTAAGAGCCAATCAAATCCACTCAATATTGGATTAGCCAATAGCGTCGATTCGTGATTCGATTTGGCGGCGAGATTCGATTCGATGGGGGTTGGAAATTTGTAATTGGTCAAGAGGTCTATTAGTGTGATTACTATTTAAAGGTTAACCCTATCCGCGTCGCCATCCACCAACGAAAATGTGCGTTCCAACATTATCCGGACAAAATCAGCGAACTCCATCAACGCCGAACGACCGGTCACATTTGGCATCGTTCAAGCTCGAGATGGAGCCTCCACGCAAAGACCTCATGACGAGGATGAAGTCGTGGAAGGTGGGAAAGCTAGAAGGACGCCGTGTGGCTGCCGCAAAGCGAATCCAAGGCTTTTACCGCAAGCACTTACTGCGGTGCCAAGCACGAGTCGGTTCGTCCAAGAAATTCAAAGTCACCAACGACACGTTGGCATTGACCTCGGCCCTCCTGGCTGCGTCATTCTTTTCGGCGACTCCCCTTCACGCTCGAGAAAAGCAGCACTTCATCACTCTTGAGGACAGCAATCCGTCCGCAAAAGTAGACATCCTCGCTAACACAGCCGTCCAGCACATGCCCCCGCTGTCGTCGGCCATGCAAGAACTGCTCCTACTCCGCGGCAGCCCATACGAGATGGAGTTGCCCACGAAGGACAAAGGCCGCTTGTTGCATGACGACTTTGTCAACATGATGAGCGAAGCGTGGTTGTTATGCTCGACGGAGGAGCGTCTGTCCATTCACAAGCAGCCCCCCAAGCGCGCGGCGTTCTACTTGCGCGCCCTCGGGCCATTGTTCTCGGACCTGTTCTTCATTTTTCGCGGCGGGCCCATCCTTCCTCACATCCGACAGGTACTAGCCACCGCCACCACCTCTCAATCCTTGCCCATTAAACTATCCGTCGTCGTCCATCTAGATGAACGCTGGGTCGCCCAGCACCAAGCACTTGGCCGCTATCACCGATCATATTCAGTCTCTGTACCCTACCCACCCCACCTGGAGCGACTCACTGGACGGTTTGACAGCAAAAGTCCGCAAGGTCTTTTGGCTCCTGCGGTCAGAAATGTCCATGTCGGCGATTCAATCGCTCGGGTGGCTGCTCTCCAAGCTGTGGCGCGTGCTGTTTGACGGGGTCTTTATTGACATGGCGTCTGTGGATGCCATCCAAGCCCTTGTCGCGTCCGTCGGGCCCAACGTCAGCCTCGTGCTAGCCCCCACGCACAAGTCCCATCTCGACTACCTCCTCGTGAGTTATGTTTGCTTTGCGTACGGCCTGCCTCTGCCCCGTATCGCAGCAGGCATCAACCTCAACCTTCCGCTTGTGGGATCGTACCTTCGAGCCAATGGCAGCTTCTTCATTCGACGGAGTTACCACGGCGACGGGTTGTACAAGGAGGTATGTACCCCCTCCACTTCGTTCCTTACCATAACTGTTGGGATCTTTCCCCATTTGGGGATGTCTGTCGTCGTAGATATTAACGTCGTACGTTCACGAGTTGCTGCAAGATGGGTCCCCCATCGAAGTGTTTGTCGAAGGCGGGCGCTCTCGCCATGGCCGAGTGGTATATATAAGGAAACTTCCCATATCCTTGCTCATCAAACACGTGTAGATGAAGCCCAAAGTGGGATTTTTCCACATGATGGCGTCGTTTTTAGCTTGTCGTCCCACGCAAGACATCCTCGTGGTGCCTCTCTCCATCGACTACGATCGCGTGCTCGAAGTGCCCGACTACGCCGGCCAACTGCTCGGCCAACCCAAGCAAAAAGAATCGATTTGGAGCCTCGTCAAGTCTCTCGCGTCGTTGGGTCGATGTGGCAACGCATACATTCGCTTGGGTAGTCCGCTGCCGATGCAGCACCACATCGAGCACTTTGGCCTGGACGCCTTCGCGGCGCGGGTGGCGCGGGGCATGCAGGCGGCATCGACCGTCACGGCGTCGGCGCTCGTGGCCGCCGTCCTCCTCTGGAAGCGCCACCACATCGTCCTGACCCGGGACCAGCTCGAGGACGACGTCGCGTGGCTCGTGGCACTTGTGCGCAGCCGCGGCGCCGTCGTCGCGCCCTTCGAGTCCACGGCGGACCTCGTCGCCCACGCGGTATCGGTGCTTCAAGTCCCCACCTCGAGCGACGGACGCCTGGTGCATCCCCCTCTCGCGGAGGACGACGCCGTCCGCGTCCTGACGCTGGCGTTCTACCGCAACCACCTGCTACACGTGTTCTTACCCCGCGCAACGTTGGCCAGCGTCGTGTCGAGTCGGCTCGAGCATGGCGCGAGCCTGAGCGTGTCCGCCATCGTCGCCGACGCCCGCAAGCTGTGGGCGTACTGTGCCCGCCTATGCCCCCATGCGTCCGTGGACTGGACCCACGAAGTCGTCGGGCTGTGCAAGGAGTTGCCGTTTGTCCATGAGCATCCGGATCGACCCCTGGGCATCGAAGTGCACCGGTGGCAGGCGTCGCCGCACGTTGGTTTCCTCACGTCGTTGCTGAATCCGTTCCTAAGTGCGCTGGACGCGGTCGCCTCGGCGGTCTCGTTGCCGACGGAGCCACTGACAGAACTAGACGTCGTGCGCCGGGTGAGGAGCTACCCGACAGAGTTTGCCGAAGCCAGGTCCGCTGAGAGTGTCAAGCAGGCGTTGGCGACGCTGGTCGAGTACGGCGCCGTGACTCGAAGTACTGACGACCACAGAATGCACACGTATGTTGCTGCGACCAGCGAAGTTGGGACGACTCGCGTGATGATTCGGCACTTGCAACGGCGTCGAAGAAAGGTGTGGGAAAGGAAGGGCTGTCCTGCCCACGCCCCGCTGAACCACTTGCAAGTGGCCAACCTGTGGCTTGGCCAGAGTAGACGACGAATCAAGTGTTAAATATTTTACTAAGTGGAGGGAATCAACGACGACGAGTACAGTATGGTATATGCTGGTATGGTTTCTATCTATGCCGCCGTTGGATTAGCATGTACGTGTATGGATGGGCAAAACGTAATAGACAGTGACAACGGTACTACCCACTGCGACGGCGGCACATGACAGCAGCAGTAGTACCTTCAAGACCACTACAAATAACCTTGCGATGGGTGTGATGTACTACTAGTAGTACCAAGGACATTGGACTCACCAATCTGGGGCAGTTGATCCACTTCCCAAGGCACGGCAGGTCCGCCGCGGCAACGGCCATGCGCGCAGTAAATCGTGAGGGCTCTCGCTCGAACATGAAACGTGATCGGGTACACCTTGAGAAACGTGTCGCCTAATACCCATGTATGGGCTACCGCACTTGGTTGCAATTGGACCAGAAAAGACTTGGGCGAGAGCTGCCACGTGTAATCGGACCGTTGCAAGGAAAAGGGGCGACGGTGGAGCACGAGGCGTAGCGTTGGCAAGTGCTTCATAGCGGTGTGGGGGCAGGCTTCATAGCGGTGTGGGGGCAGACGAAATACGCGTCGGACGGGGCCATGGTGCAGCCATGGGGTGCCAAGTAGGTAGCTGCAAACTGATCAAACACGCTTGGTGGCATGGAGAGGAAGGTCGTGCCAGAGTCGACGATGGCTTTGCAAGGCCAAAGAGCCCCGCAGACCGACCAAGGTTGGCCGTCCACCACCATGTCGTCCATCGAGACAGTCCAATGCGCGGCTTCGATCAAGGGCAACGTGACCCCGATCAAGCCATGCGACGCAATTCGGCTGTGGTCTACGCCGTTCAGGATAAGTTTAGACCCGGCCGAGTTGACGCCAGAGCTTAGCGTCAGGCTAAACGAGTCCAGGTGATGCATGGGAAAGGAGGCATTGCTGTGATTAACGAACGGAGATATGCGGGGAAAGGCAAGACCAAGGATGCCTTGGCTGCCGTCCGTCAGAAGAGCGCTCTTGCCAATACTGTAGCTGACTTGTGGGATCGCCAACGACCCCAGTTGAAACGCACCGCGGTGGGCGTCGAGACAGACGCGACCGCTGCCGTACACCAGCTCCGTCGACGACGTGTTGCTGCATGCACCGACGGGAGGGGAGCAATGGCTTGGGCTATCGACGAACTCACAACCCACCCACAAGTCAGCAGACCCAGTGTCGACTTGTACGTGGAAGATGTCGTCGTTGAGGCGAATGGGGACCAGGTATTGCGTGCCGAGCCGATTTGTCAAGGCCAATGTGTTGTCCTGTACACCTCTCAGCGACGGCAGTGTCGTCGGTGGCGGTGTACGCCGCAGCAAAGGAAGTTCCACCGCACCTTCATGCGCATAATATCCAGATACTCGTGGCAGGAGCAGCCAAACGATCCACGACATACACATAAGAAGGATCTACTGACAACGCTGGTCGCATTCTTCTGGCAGAGGCCATGAAATGACCTTTGGGAAACTATCCGGATAACATCTGATTGAGGTACAATACACCTAGAAATACACCATAACGTTACTGGGAATATATCGTACTGTACTCATGCTTTTTACAGCCGAAGTAGCCAATGAAATTATCGAATAAACCTTTTGACCAATCAAATTGCCGGTATTTTGCCATCTTTGATACTTAGAGCATCTCCAATGGTAGTAAATTCTAACGTGGTTAAAGTAAAACTTCGTTTTTACGGTTCCTAATTTGGCACTATCCGGATTTGTTTTTAATTAACAGTAAATTATGCCCCGCAGAATTTCTATTCTCGCGTGAAATAGCAACAAACCCTCCGGATAGTGCAAGAGTTTCTATTCTATATCCGTAACTTCAAATTGAAATAGAAGTAAAAACACCGTTGGAGATGCTCTTACTAATGAGTAGTAATGAGTTCAAAAGGGATTCCACCGTCCAGTGTTCGCCGCTACACCTTCGTACTATCTACGGAAAATACCACATTTAGCTTGAACACACACTAGCATGTCACTATGAGATTGAAATAAACAAACGCCCTGTACAATATATATATATATATATGTTTACTTCAAACTCAAGCGTGGAGTCAAGGCAACGGCCGTTCGACAACTCCTGCGTACGTAGTGGGTTCCGTTTCAGGTCGCTGGCGGCGGGCGAGTCGTCGGCGGTGGATGAGGTACCCGAGACTGCCAATGACAGTGATGCCGACCACACATCCGCCGCCAATCATCAGCCCCAGTGCCCACGTCGGCTTCTTTCGATCAAAATCTAGGAGGTTGGGGCCGCCGGCACAGACGCCGCCATTTTTGCAGTAGAACGTCACGGCTTGGTCTGTGACGTGGTACGTAGTGTAGTACACTTTGAGGAACGTGTCGCCGAGGATCCATCGGTCGGCGAGGCTACCCCTGGCCGGGTTCCTCTGGATCTGCACGGCGATTTCCGTCTCGGAGTGCACCCACGAGTAGTCCCACGGGTTAAGCACGAACGACGCAGTTTCGCCCAGTCCGAGTGTAAGTTTAGGCAGCGCAGTGTCCTTGGGGCAAATGTAGTACTGCAGCTGAATGTTGAAGGCGCAGCCTTGCGGGGTGCCAGGTTTGAGGTAGGCGATTGCAAACTAGCGTCATGCACGTCGATTTATATTTGTTCGATGCCGACGAGTAGGGAATTGACGATGATGGAAGAAGGTATGCATACCTGTTTAAAGAGGAGCGATGGCATGGAGAGGAAGGTCGTGCCGGAGTCGACGATCGCCAAGCACGATCCAGACATGGAACACGGCTGCGAAAAGTTACGGTGGGGGTCGTTCTCGACGTCGAGTGACCGGAGTTGGATAGTCCAGTGACTTGTTTCATTGAGGGGGATCTTGTACCCCACGAGTTTGTCTTTTGCAATGCGCTGGCTGTCCTCGCCGTTCAAGATGAGCGTGGATCCAGCCTCACCTTCGGAGGACGTGAGGAACATGCTGAAACGATCGAGGAATTGGATTGGGTACTGCTTGGTTGAGTTGGCGGCCACCACCCCTGCTCGCTGCTTGGAGAACACAGAGATGGACGGAAACGACAGGCCGAGGATGCCTTGGTTGCCATCCACCAATACATTGGACTTGATGCCAACTCCGTAGATCGCATTGGGCACCACCAACGAGCCGAGACCGAACTTTCCGTTGCTTTGTTCGACGCATACAGACCCCGATCCGTACTGGATTGTTCGTGAAGTGGCAGGGCAAGTGCCGTTCGAGCACTTGGACGGTGATATGGCGTCACAGGCAAACCACAGATCCGACGATCCCGTGTCAACCAACACGTTGAACTTCTTGCCATCCATTGTCACCGGCGCAAAGTACTGCGTAGACTTCTTGTTCACGAGGTTCACGGAGCTCACGTCGTTGGACAACGAGCGGCGAAACAATGGCAGATCGATGCGAGAATGTGCATGAACGAAGGAGGAGCATCCCATCAACAGCCCAAGGCAGAGTACCAAGGTACCATCGTGCCAGGTCATCGGGTTGGATGTCCAAGTCTGAACGCAACACACAGTCAATTGTGATTGGCCACTGGGGTTTGACATGCTTTCGGTTCCGGATACGAAGCTTTATAGCCAATCCAATTGCAGTATATGACTATTTGTCATAGTCATGACACCTACTAACTGTAAGTACTAGTACTTCGAAGTAATCCTAATACTTCGAAGTATTTACAGTAATACTCGAAGGAGCGGCAAATAATGTACTTCGAAGTACGATAATACCATAACGACTTGGACACGCACTTAAGTGGATATTTACGCATTAAATGCGAATAGCTGTAAAGTGTACCACAGGCCTTGTCCGGGTGCATTTAGCGGCACGGCCAACCTGCCGCTTTTCCCGACGAGAGGAATCGATTGGACATTTGGTGAAGTGCATGATTGGGGCTCACTCCTCGCCAGGCACCCCCTGCACAAAATTATACACGCGACCTCGCAATTTTAGGGCGGATGGTCGTTTGCTATTGTAAAGCTGATCGTTCTTATGCGGGTGGATACAATACACAAGTATGTCCGAACATATACTTGTGTATTCGGACAAAATAAGTTTCCGTTAAGTCGAATACAAATGTCAAGTATGTCCGACTGAAATTGTAATCGGCAAAGTGACTCATATGAACCCATATTCATAGATAGCAAACATGTCCATGTTCAGCCTGCTGCCATCAAGAGCGAAAAAGCACGTCTCACTGTGCCATTATGTTTATATGGATCCAAAGTTGACATGCAAAAGGTATCAGGAAATTGGTGCCGATGACGCATCGAGAAGTGCATGTTACACCGCTCTGAATTGGTTCATTACCATTTCTCCTTGAACGTGAACGGTACAGGTTGACCTGTCGTGAATAGACATCCTAAGTTACTGTGACATAGATCAAGAGCTACCTCAGTGACGACAAGGAATCCTGTCAGCCAGGCTGAATAAGACTCCAACCACCTATCATCTGATCCTTCCAATGAATGTTGGCTTCATTTTCACGGATAAAAAGTGTAGGTACACGGTTCGTACACCCCACAACACTCCATCAGCGAATCCAGGCCATACATTCGTGCGTGAAACTGAACCCAAGTGCCTGTGACACGACCAACCACCCTACTAAAAAGTACTACCGAGTACTGTACCTATCGATACATTCGTGTCGACAGATCCAGCGTTTCACCACCACCACAGCGATACACGCCAGCTAGCATGCTTATTTCCGTCAAGGAACTGTCCATTGGGCAGTGTACATCTATACCTTCATGTACTCTCAGTGCACGCGAGGGTTGGCATTTCTTGCAAGACATGCATGCCTCACAACATGCAGCCCCGTGGCTACTGGTTAAGCTTCCCAAACCACTGTCACCACCGTCTTCCGTACTTCGCGGTGACGATATGTATCATCGTCCGCCATAATGAATGCTTTGCGCAAGCTCATTCAAAGTTCCCTCCAAAATCTCTCGATTCAAATTCTGGGTGACACCATTCACGCGCTGCACCTGCTTCATCTCATGCAGCTCGTTCGATCTGGTTTGCATCAGAACGCAATATCCGATAGGAAAGGGCATGCGTAGAGCTACCATGTTGATATCACGACACAGGGGACGTCATTAAGCTCGTCGAAACGACCGAAGGCTTCTTGGGCGCATGGATGTATGGCCAGTTCACGCGGCCGCCGCGTTGGCGCTGCAAACCAACCGAATAAGCGGGAAGGTAAGTTAAGCTTGATCTTTGTATACGTGGTCGTCCGGCAATCGTACACCTTGTGGCTGGTCGGAAGTCCCCGCCTTGAAAACAATAATATAAAACGACCCGTAATTGTTTAATCTGGTTGTCGAATTCTTGAAAGGTGAATAATATTATACAACTACACTATGCACTATGCTGTATTTTTATTCGGAGCGACGGGGGTCGTAATAAAATGACGTTCGGTTTGAATTTCCCGTTAAAATTCTCGCCTCGACAGATCAAAGTATTAAAATTCTTGGCCGAAACGCGGTGACCAGCGGCAAACCTCGAGTGATGGACCCCCAGCAGCAGCAGCAGGCGGGGTCATCCTTCGACCACGGAGGACGTCAGAACAGCTACAACTCCATACCTGCGTCCAACAACATCATGAGTTCATTTCCCAGCCAGGATCCCATCATGGAGCCAAACACGATCAATCAACTGCGCCCTTCGTCGTTCAACTGGAATACCCCGTCCGAGACGTCGCTTCCATCGATGCAGAGCTTGGACTTGAGCAACCCCCACGCGGCGGCAGCTTCGTCGATCCATCAGCAGATGCCTGGGATGGGTCAAAGCCTGCATATCCAGACGCAGTTTCCGCAGATGCAGCAAATGTCGATGCCATACGGGACGAACGCCAACAACCCCATGTCGATGGGCATGGTGATGAACAACCACGTTGGTGGAATGGGTCAGCAGCAACACAACATGGCCGGGCAGCACCATCACCAGCAAAGCGGGCTACCCCTGCGAAGTCCCATGCCGCTTGGTGGCGGTTCCACGGATCACCTGATCCCGCACTTGTACCAGCACCACCAGCAACAACACCATCAGCAGCACCACTTGCAATCTCAGGGGTACGCATCCCCGATGACGCAGCAACACGCGTACGGTGCCCAGGACCCGATGAAGTTGAACAGCATCATGTCCACCCCGGCCGCCGCGGCCGCCCCGCCGCAGTCGACCCTTCCGTCGCGCATCACCCCCGTCACGACCACGTCTCCTGGGTTCCCATCCACGTACGAGTTTGAAGTCGTCCTTCAAAAGGGCGAGCACGGACTGTGCATGAACATGGGCATCAAGATGGGCAGCGTATCGGTGCTCGGGTTCCGGCAGCCGCTGCCGGGCGTTGTGGGGCCCGCCGAGGCCTGCGGCATGATCCAAGTCGGCGACGACCTCGTGTGCGTCGACGGCATCATGCTGCAGTGCGCCGACGACTTCAAGAAGGTCGTGCCGCACCTCAAGAGCGACCTGCCTGCGAAACTCCGCTTCCGCCGATCCCCGCAGCCGCCCCAGCCACCGCCGCCCCAACAACAACAACAATCATCCCAACAGCAACAGCAGCAGCAGTCAGTGTATCAGCCGCTCCCTGCGATCCCCCCGTTGACCGGCACGGGGTCGTCGGGCAAGGTGTACCAGATTGGCGAGCTGTTTATGGGCGTGCGGTACCTCGGCCCCAACCAGTGGGCAGCTGAAGTCAAGACCCATCAAGGGGATACGCAACTGCAGCGCCTGGGCGAGTTCACGACCGAGTACTTGGCTGCCCAAACGTACAACACGTACCTGATGCAAACGTACGGCCAGCAAGCGTTGAAGTACATGCATCCGGCTACGCGACAGGCCAGCCACCCGTATCAGCAGCAGCAGCACCACATGATGCACATGCAACAGCAACAACAGCAGCAACACTTGATGCACCATCATCATCATCAACAGCAGCAGCAGCATCACATGCAGCAACAGCAGCAGCAAATGAAGCCGACGCGCCCGCGTGGTCCAGTTCTCCACGCCATGTTCACGGTGGAACAGAAGGAGCAACTTCGAGCGCAGATCATGGTCTTCAAGTTTAGCACGAGTGGCAGCGGCATCCCGACGGACCTGCTCCGGGTGGCGGTCCGCGGCGCCGGCGGGTCGCTCGAGTTCAACACGGCGCCCAAGGAACGATCGCGCAAGAAAACGTTCAACGACTCGGCGCCCAAGAGCAAGCGCATGAAGTACGGCAGCGGACGCGGCGGCAGAGGGGGCAGAGGCAGCCGCGGACGGGGACGAGGCGCCGTGTCAGACGAAGAAGACGACGGAGAGTTCAAAGACGGCGACGACGAAGGCGACGACACCGTCGTGGGCGACAAGCCAGAACCGGTACGATTCACTGGTGTTTATACCGTACAATATGGATACTAAGTATAGTGTGTGATTGGCCAAATTGAATGGATTCGTTGAATAGTTATTTGTACGTACAATGTTGTGTTGGTGGGATTGTTTGGAATCACACTATTTGACGTAACGCACGACTCTTGGATTTTGTGACTTTGTACGCAAGATTTGTATGGAAAACGTTGTCGTGGTCACACTATTTTTGAGATCACACACTAATTATGGTGGATGCTACGGACTCGTTGTTTAATATGTCAATCAACGTTGTGTGGCTTGGAAGCATATCACACACTATTTGAAGTCAAAGTGAGATTGATGTTGGTTGGAATGGTCTGCTACCATCAATATAACCACGACCAAAATCGACAGGTTGTCACACTATTTTTGAAATCACACACTAATTATGGTGGATGCTACGGACTCGTTGTATAATATGTCAATCGACGTTGTGTGGCTTGGAAGCATATCACACACACACTATTTGAAGTCAAAGTGAGATTGATGTTGGTCGGAATGGTCCACCATAAGTACTTTTATAACCACGACCAAACTCTGCATGTATGAATCAACCGTGCTTAGGAAAACGTGCGTCGATCGAGTCGGAACCAAGGCAAGGAGAAGAAACGGTACAGCGAAGTGGCCGAGATCGACGGCGACGAGGAAAAGCCCAAGGAATCATCTCCCCAGCAACAGCAAGCCAAGGGGCCGCAGATGGACAAGATCATCGCGGTGCGCTTCGTCGAGCCAGATATGGGCATGGAGTTCCTGATGAAGTGGAAGCATTTCTCGTACTTGCACGTAACGTGGTTATCCACGCTCGACATTGAGCGCCATGGCAAGGGCGCCGTGATGCGGATGCGCCGGTACATGCAAAAGCACGTGCGGGATGTCGAAGTGGCGCGCATGAACCCAAGCGATCGGTCCGAGGACACGACGCAGTACTTTTCTCCGGCATATGTCGAGGTGGACCGAATCCTAGACATGGCGTCGGCGGAGGAGGTGGTCGTGCCGAATGAACTCAAGCGAGGGATCAAGTACCTGATCAAGTGGAGGGACCTGAGCTACGCAGAGTGCTCGTGGGAGTGGGCAGACCAAGTCACGGATGACCGCAAGATCGCCACGTTTCAGCGGTATAACCACCCGCCGCTGCTGGAGAATGCCCCACGTGCCATGTTTGAAGACGTCCGCCCGCATGTACGTACTAGGGACTTTTTCCCAATGTTTGGTCGTTGGGGAAGTTGAGATTTGGGATTCATAGGCCTCGGCATGGGCAAAGTACCAAGACTCGCCCACGTACAACGACAACAACACGTTGCGGTCGTACCAGTTGGAAGGATTGAATTGGATGGTGTTTTGCTGGTACAATCGCCGCAACTGCATCTTGGCCGACGAAATGGGTACGATGACATAGCTAGATAGATTTATGGACGACTCAACAATATGTATAAATGTACAGGACTGGGCAAAACAGTGCAAGCCACAGCCATCTTGGAGCATCTCCGCCAGCACGAACACATCCGAGGGCCGTTCCTGGTTGTGGCGCCACTCGCGACGCTTGGCAACTGGAAGCGCGAGATTGAGAGCTGGACGTCCATGAACTGCGTCGTGTATCATGACTCGGAGGGCGGCGCCGAGACCCGCGCGTTCATCCGCCAGCACGAGTTTACGTACAAGAATCAGCCCGATTATTACAAGCGCAGCAACGTGTACAAGGTAAAACCCAGGGTTCATCTACCATCATCGCATGTTGATTGGCTGACGACATTGCGTTTCGACCACCTGATTGGCCGAGGAAACGGCGTTTCTACCATCCGATTGGTGGATGAAACGGCGTTTCTGCTATCGGATTGGTTGATGAAACGGCGTTTCTACCTCCTGATTGGCTGACGAAAAGTCATTTCTACCATCCGATTGGTGGATGATCCGGCGTTTCTACCATCCAATTGGCTGACGAAACGGCGTTTCTACCTCCTGATTGGTTGATGAAACGGCGTTTCTACCATCTGATTGGCTGACGAATCTTGCTTTCTACCACCTGATTGGCTAACGATTTTGCCCATTCTGGGCCGTTGACGTTATATGTGTTTACGGTTGATCTTGACGATGGGAAAATGTATGGTTGTGTGTAGTTTAACGTGCTGGTGACGTCGTACCAGACGTTGATGGCGGACGCGGAGCTGCTGCAGGAGATCCACTGGCGATACGTGGTGATCGACGAAGCGCACAAGCTCAAGAACCGCGACGCCAAGCTGCTGGCGTCCCTGCGCACGTTCAAGTGGGACTCATGCCTGCTCATGACGGGCACGCCGCTCCAGAACGGGGTGTTTGAGCTGTGGTGCCTGCTCAACTTTATCGAACCAGACAAGTTCCCGTCGCAGCAGCACTTTTACGACCAGTACGGCGACCTCAGCAGCGCCGAGCAGGTGGCGAGTCTGCACGAGCAGCTGCGGCCGTTCATGCTGCGTCGAGTCAAGGAAGATGTTGAGAAGAGCATCCCGCCCAAGGAAGAAACGATCATTGACGTGGAGCTCACGACCATGCAAAAGAAATACTATCGGTACGGCTGTCGATATATATATATTTATATATATATATCTATATGGACAACTTGTGTGGATGATCTGACATTGCCAACACTACCTATCTATATATATATATATATATGGACAACTTTTGTAGATGATCTGACATTGCCAACACTATCAAATATATATATATCGATCGATCAATTCGTTTTCGTGGTTTTGCAAGTGTTGTTTGGGTGTAAGAATGGTTGATTGCTAGCACACTAATTTAGGTCTATCTCCTCACACTAATTCGCTGTTGACGACGATGACAGCTGATTGAATACACGTCTGTCGAGTGTTTCTATACGTGTTGTGATATGAGATCGAATCCACAACTACTCCGTTTGGGGTCGTTATGTCGAGGGAAATCACTCTATAACGATATGTAGGGCCATCTTTGAACGCAACCGATCGTTCTTAAACCAAGGGAGCAGCGTGGCCGTGGCCAACTTGATGAACGTCGAGATGGAACTGCGCAAGTGCTGCAACCATCCGTTTCTGATCCGCGGCGTCGAGCAAAAGGAACTGGCCGCCGTGTACGACGAAGCCGACCGCAGCCGCGTCTTGATTCAAGCGAGCGGCAAGCTGGTGCTGCTCGAGAAGATGCTGGTCAAGTTCAAGGCCGAGGGCAAGAAAGTGCTCGTGTTTTCGCAGTTCAAGATCATGCTCGATATCCTCGAAGACCTCTTCCACGCGCGCCAGTACTCGTTTGAACGCCTAGATGGATCGCTGCTCGGCAACGCCCGCCAAGCCGCCATCGACCGCTTCAACGACCCCAAATCGGTACGTCCAGGCCAACATATATATGTTCTTATATCGAGGGGGTGATGGTGATATATTTGTGATAGGACACGTTTGTGTTTTTGCTAAGTACGCGCGCGGGTGGCGTGGGTATTAACTTGATCGCAGCATCAATTGTGGTGCTTTATGACAGCGATTGGAACCCCCAGAACGACCTGCAAGCGATCGCGCGGTGCCATCGCATTGGCCAGACCCAAGCCGTGCGCATCTTCCGGTACATCTAGCGGCTACTGAATGAATGTGTCTTTTGATATATGGGATGAGTGGATATATATATATAAATCATGGTGTATATATAAGTAGTTATATATATATATATATATATAAATCATGGTGTATATATAATAATAATATTGCTGCCTTCACATCTAGAGAATTGTGTGACGAATGTCGTGTTTAGTTGTTTTGAATTGTTTTTGTTTAACCTGTTTATTTATTTGTTGGCTTTTGCAGAATATCTATATTTCTCGATATATATCGTCTACTACATTTCGTTTGGGCATTGCGATATATATATATATATATATGGGTGGTAGGACGCTCTTGGTCTTTTTTGGTCTTATGGAGGGGTATTTACTGGATTTATGATACTATATATGACCTTGTTTGGTAGCCTCGTGACAAAGAAGACTTATGAAGCGCAAATGTTTGAAATTGCGAGCAAAAAGCTGGGGATGCACCACGCCGTGTTTGAAACGGGCGGCGTGCGCAAGGACTTCGACGGGAACGACGACAGCAACATGATGTCGCTCATGTCGTTGGACAAGGACAAGGTCGAGATGATGATCCGATATGGGGCGTACGCCATCATGAACTCGGACGAAGAAGACCCGGAGAACGCCAAGATCAACGAGCTCGACATTGACCAGCTGCTGAGTTCTAGTCGCACGATCCGGTACGACCCCACGGGCGCAAAGACAGAAGAGTCGTCGGGCGCGGCGCTGTCGTTCTCCAAGGCATCGTTCACGGCCGAGACGTCGGACGCCACCATTGACTTTGAAGACGCGCAGTTCTGGGACAAGGTGCTCGGGCCCAAGACGATCCAGCTGCTCACAACGCAGGTGGAGAATGGGTCGCTGCTGCAAGCCACGTTGCCAGACATCAAGGCGTTCCTGACGTCATTGCGGGAACTTGCGCGGCAACTGGTGAAACACCGCCAAAAAGGCGAAAAGAACCCCGAGGCTGACCAGATTCTGTCCATTTTGATTGAACTCAAGGTGCGCGGACCTGTAAACAAGCAAGTCAACGTCAAGACGATCGCAACCGACTGGCTCGAAGTGATTGAACGCCCCAAGCGCCGACGGAACCAGGAAGTTGAGAGCGAGCTCATGTACCATCCGTTCCTAGACGACACGGGCGGCGACGGCATCGGCGGCATCGGCGGTATGGGTTCCAAGAAGGGCAAGAAGAAGCAAAAGACATCGGGACTCAAGTTCCGGTCGTCGGCCGATCCCACCAGCGCCATCCTCGTGACCATCGCAACGACCGAAAGCGGCAACTTTCGAGTTGTGCGCGTACACAGCGATAAGAAGGAAGTGAACCGCCATGTGCATGTGGATGCGGACGAAGCCGACAACGCATCGGATGAGGACGCGCTCTTCTCGGACGAGGACGAGTATGACGACAAGCCGCAATACTCTCGAAGCAAGGACAATCACCACCTGGTCAAGAAGAAACAGACGGCCAAGGGTCCATCGCGGCGATCGAACATGCCCAAGCCGCTGGAAACCGTCGATGGCGTGCCCGTGGATGAGCTGTGGTGCCGCGTGTGCTACAGCGACCAAGGCTTTGACGATGACCCGATCGTACAGTGCGAAAAGTGCAAGTGTTCGGTGCACAAGGTACAACAGTACTTGATGATCATATTGCCATCTATAGATAGATAGATATGTATGATGGAAAACGATGCATTCTTCTGACGATATATATATATATGTATTGATGAGCTTGCTTCCCTGTCATGTCTAGTTTTGCTATGGCATTGTTAAAGTGCCAGAAGGCGACTTGCCGTGGTACTGCGACCTGTGCGAAGCCCATTTGACCGCCGAGACGGTGCCTCAGGTATATATATATATATTTATACCTACTATAGTATATATATATGGCTGAAACCTGCCTTGTAGAAGTGCTTGATGTGTCCATTGGAGATCAAAGAAACTGCGTTCAAGGAGACTGTCGACAAGGAATGGGTGCACGTCGTGTGTGCGCTGTGGTCCCGCGGCGTCGAGTTCGAAGACATTGAGCGCATGAAGGGGCTCAAGAACGTGCTGGCGACGATGGACGGCATGGAGGACGCGGCCAAGACGGCGCCGTGCGCGCTGTGCGCCGACGCGTCGGGCAGCAAAGTCAAGTGCTGCCGCAACGGATGCGACGTGCACTTCCACGCGCTGTGTGGCCGGCAAACGTTTGGCGTGTACGACATGTACATGAACGACGCGGGGAACCTCCGGTCGTTTTGTAAAGAGCACCGCCCCAAGTTTCGTCCGCGATTGCAAAATAGTTAGTGTACCCCATATAAAACCCAATGACGCCACCCTTTCTTTGTATATACCCCACACACACACATATATATATAGCCGTGTTGTCCAGTACCAACGACGCTAGACTTGTAGCATGCATTGTCCATGGTAGTATTAAATAAAGGAGTACTGTAGCTAGTCAGCCCCCGAGCCCCCGCACCTTTTCCATCTGGGCATCGAATTGGCCCAACCATGTATGATCGAGAAATCGGTTGTCCTTTCGACCGGCCCCTTTGGCAGGTGGCCCCGCCAGGATGCGGTCGATGTCGCACACAAACACGAGGCCGTGAAGGGGACGACACGTGTCGTTCACGAACGCTTCGACCACATCCGACGGTATTTTGGGCACAGTGAGCCCCCCTACACAACATGTCCATGAGAGGAGGAAGGGGGTGGTACATTCCAGTCATGCCGATAGCTTTTGCGAGCGCAGTGGCCGACACTGTGCCCGTGCCGTCGGCATTGAGAAGGCGGGTGACGTGCAGAATTTGATCCTTGTGGGGAAGAAGCGAGGCCGGGACGACGGACGACGACGGCGGATGATGGCGACAGAGAGAAGCCGAACCAACAACGTCGTGCTTGAGAACATGGGGCAATTCCTGCCGCAACTGGTCGCGCCGGGCGGCTGTCCTTCGATGGACCCGCACGAGGCTTTCAAACTCGTCGACGTCAATGACGCCATTCTGGTTGGTGTCGAGATGCCTCATGAACATCTCCATCTACATGGGGGTCGTTAGAAGAGGGAGGGAGGGGAGGCAGTGGTGTGAGATACCTCGGCGGGGGGAAGGCGGATGTCCATTTGCCTTAACACTTCCTCCATGCCCCCAGGCGTTATGTGCCCACATTGGTCAAAGTCGCAGTACCGAAACAGGTCGATTACGCGCATGCGCTTCCGTCGAAGGTACTTGTCAATGCGCTTGACAATGGCGCGCAAGACGACAGTTTGGTGGGTGCGGTCGTCGGAGAGGGGGTACGACGTTTCAAACAGAGTCGCGTCGGGCTGCAGTTTCGAAATCGACGTTGCGTCTTTCACTTTGGGGGGACTGGCGCGTTGGTTGGGCGAGATGATGGCAGCGATGGACGACTTCCTTGTGCCCATGGACGCACATTTTTTGGTTGGTTTGGTCAAGTGGCTATTGGTAGTACTGTCTCGAGACGAAGGGTCGGTTGGTTTGGGCTGCTTCAATCGCTTGGTCCATTTCAAAGCACCGCCGGGCACTGCGATTTTGGGCAGCGTGGGTGGAGCCAATCCCATGGGATTGCTGTTACTGTGTTGCCTACATCCATGATCCATATGAGCTGCTGAGAAACAAAAGGCAATGTCACTAACAAGGAACTGGGGCTTGGTACGACCGCAACCCCCCCGTTTGGGTCAACCAGAGCGAGCAACTTTGTTCGCCATGCTGGCTCGCCCTTTGTGGTAGTAGCTGCTTCCTTGCTACTCGAGAGCCTGGGGGACGGGGTTCTCTTTGGGGGAAACGTCTCCATTGGGTCCAGGGTATCTCCAAGTGTCGCCTCGTTCAATCGGCGGCGTGTTCCCCTAGTGGCCAGACCATCTCGTTTCACCAATGTACTTTGCATTTCGCCTGAGGTGGATTCATTCAAAGGGGGTTGATGGCTTTTTGACTCCAACTGCTCCATCGAAGTGTCCTCTATACATGGAATGTTGGGATGGTGGGGAATGACCAATATATTCACCTCGTTGTTGCCGCGATGGCAACTCGCGCTCCAGGTCTTCGAATAGATTGGTTGGCACCATGTTAATTGCAACAGATGCTTTCGGAAGGGGCACAGTGGTCGTTGCCAGTGGCGCTGGCGCGACCTTGACGCTTACATTTGCAGCGGCTTCAAGGTCTCGGCTACGTCGCATCACGTCGAGCATCTCTTCCTCGTCTGTCAAAGGAGCCATGTGATCGACCGCCATGGCTAATCAACGTAGACGTACCCAGCTCTTCTTCGTCGCCGTCCTGGGCGTAGTAAACGACGTACACGCCGTTGGAAGCGCTTCGCACGACGCCTTTGAATGTTCCAAACCCCTCAAACAGTTTTAGGAACTCGGTGCCTGGGACCGGGGTCTGGTCGTGCGTCGTCAATGCTTGACCACGACTGGCTTTGTTGGAAAGAAAGAGGCGAACTGCTGCTTGCACCTTGGTTAGCCCCCGACGAAACTTCATGGCCATGGTATACAGATGATTTTCCCCCTTTCGCAAAACCTCTGCTGCAGCCAACGTCTTGGCGGCGTCGGCGTTGTCAAGGAGATGGACGCTGACCAACTGGTCGAGGAATTCATGCGTTCGGTCCACTTCGAGACCGGCAAGGGCCTGCAAATGGTGTGTGGATAAGCCATGTACTGTGTATGGTGAGCGAAGGTAAACCTGCACGGGGCTAACGAACAACAGCACCGAGACACAGTCGGCTCCAACGGCTCGCAATGTGAACGTGACAAACGCTAACGCTCGCACGAGAAAACCTGCCTGAAATCCTGTGAATTTACAAATACGTGGAAGGGACACGAGGTACCTTTTGGTCACGCGTGACGAGATTGCCCAGATTGAGCTGTAGTGGCGTGAAAATGTTTGTGTGTCCAAACGCTTCCGAGCACAATTTGTGAAGGAAGGGGAAGGGGGGCCGCACAAGCACCTTTTTGGTGACGAGGACAGAGAATTTAGCAGCTCCTGTGAGCTTTTGATATAGCCCGATGACCGACTCGCTCTCTTCGGAGAGAGGCTCCGTGGACATTGCAGCGGCACCAGTCCTCGTCTGGGTATTTATAGCGTGCTGCCGTTTCGACAGAAAGGCAGTGTTCATATAGCACCATATAGCAACCTAAGACACACTCAGGCACATGAAAGGATTCAGATGCGCCACGTCCATCCGCCATTCAGTGGCATCTCGTCATCGTAACGTTATGGACAGCATCCTCGTTTAGCTACTACGCAAGTTGTTGGTCCGTGAGCTGGCAAAAGGTCGATAGACAGCTCGGAATTGTGAAATATATATGCCACGGAGTTATCCGGATGAAACGCTTTGCTATCCGGTGAGTTGAAAATAGGAGCTGAAAAGGTTGTGCTGTGGAGTTTACGTTAGTTGAAAGATCGGCAGCGATATGACAACTCTGCAGCAGCCAGACGGACCTCGATATGCAAGCGTGAGCGAGCAGCTCTTGGAAATGAGCCTGAATAAGTCGACGTCGGGGAAGCTAGACCGACATGCACTGGAGAAGCGACTCATGGAGCTGCAAGGGGACGTGTCTCGACTCGTGTCCAAGTTGTCCACTCGGGCCAAAGACGACTCAGCTTCCCATGTACCCTATCCACGTGCACCCAATCTCTTCGTTCACCAAGCACTCATGTAGCACTCGTCAATGTCCAAACTGTCGAGTCGACTCAAAGACGTTCCGGCCACTGTAGTACGTTCGAGCACCGATCGGCCACTTCTTGTCATGATCGGCCACTTCTTGTCATCATCCTGCATCCATGAACATTTGACATTAGGACGTTCAAAGAAGCGTCCGTACCGCAACCGTCCCCACAAAGCTCGTCAAATCTCGTTCGCTTACGAGCACTTTTAAGCCAAAGACGACCCAGAAGCAACAACCACATGCGACGAAACCATCCAAGTCGACGATCCCTGGCAGCCGCATGGGCAACCTCATTCGACTCCAAAGCGATTTGCATGCTGCCAACATTGCCAACGACCAACTTCGCTTCGATTTGGACCAGGTACGACTACTTGTCCTTCTTGTTCTTCGTGTCACTTTTGATCCCGATCGTCGCCGTAGCTGCGGCGAACTGTCGACGCCCATACCGCCAAACTTCGCGACTACGCAACGTTGCAGACGTCGTTCCATCAGCTCAAAGCGCACTGCGCATCGCTTCAGCAGTCGCTCGACCTGTCGGAAACCATTCGCCACCGGCAAAAGAAAATCATCGCCGATTTAAAGGCCCACGGGATGACCCCTACTACTACTACTACTAGCACTCTTCATTCAGACAACAGCAACAATGAGCAACTGAACGACGAAGATGAGCCGATGCAGGGGGGGTGGCCCCAGTACACTAGCATGGCGCGATCCCCAGCAAATGGACGCCTGCCGCCGCCGCCGCCGATTCCATTGGTGACGAGCCACCGCGTCAAGAAGAAGGCGGCGAAGAAAGCGCGAAATCAAACGGTCAATCACCATGTCACATGCTCCCAAGGTATACGTCGTGCAACCAATAGCAACAACAACAACAGCAGCTTCTTGGCTCCTACCCAAGCCAGCCAGCAGCGTCTTGCCGACACAAAGCAGTTCAAACAGCTGCAAAAGAGGCAGCGATAACATGGTTGAATCCGATGGATTTCTATTCTGATGTTACTTTTTTGAGGCGTCGACCGATGCGCTTCACTTCCGCGACCATCACATCAGGCAGGTTTCCATGGTACTTGATGGCAACTCGGATCGTTTTCGATAAAAACTGAGCGTCCGTCTCAGCTCGCACCAGTTGGTTCTTCAGCGCTTGGATTTCGGCCAAAAGTACATGTGTGGTGGACGAGTCATCGGGTGGTCGGGGGGGGAGGATGTCGACGGTGGCGGCGTGCCGTGCGGACGAGATCAAGTCCCTCGCTCTCGTGAGTTGGTGCTCGTTCTGCAGCGTCCAAATCACATGATGTAGCTCGTCCTCTTTGGCTTTCCGCTCGCGCTGGTCTGAGGCTGTTTGTCGCTCCAGCGCATGAATCTGCGCCTGAAGGTCGAGTTCTTTCTGCTGCAGTTGGTCTCGAAGGCGGCCGACGGTTGCTTCCGCCGCATCCCTCTCGTTATGCAGATGCTACCGTAGATGGGATCCAGAAAATCGGGGGACATGGGTGCGTACAATACCTCTTGGAGCGTCTGTAGGTGTTGGGTATGCGTCCCTTCGACCTGCTTGAGTTCGTCCTGAGCTTGCCGTAGTCGAATCTCCACATCCAAGTAGTACTTGCGCCATTGTTTGTGCTGCTTGAACAGTTTGATCAACTTGGATGGACTTCGAGCGGCGACGGCATCTCGTGAGCTCTTGAGCAGATCATGCAGCACGCATTCCACTACAGACCCATCCATTTACTCAATGACGACATTGTAGCGACGGTGTAAGGAAATTTGTAGGTTAACCTGCAGAGGCACATGCATGGCACACGATGAACACTTCGACTGCGTCATAGAGATATGCCATCTGCACCACACCCCACACGACGCCTACGGAAGTGAAACATATCCCGAAGTGAATAAGTCCATGTGAATGGTCAAGGCAAGGCGTACCGTCGTCGCTCACGATGGGCACACACACCATTTGAATACGATCCACCACGGACGATGTCGCAGATGCCATGATCGAATTCACGACGTACTAGGTGGACATGGCTTAGTTGTTGTTATTGATTCGATAAGAGTGGTTTAGCGCTTACTTGATCCACGAGGGGATGAAACCGAGTGTCCTGTGCGACAGCGGGTGTGCGACAGGTGGCGCCCGAGCCCACGACAAAGCCGGCGATGCCCACATGGACTGGCGCCGTGACCATTTGGGTGCTTTTCTTTACGATGGACCACAGTTCTTGCTTGACGGGGTCCACCAAGTACAACATGCCTACACACATTCAAAACTCTAGACTATAGAAGCATACTACCACTGGTGTCGGCCAAGCAGGGCGACGCCACGGCGTCAAAGAGCTGCTCCAGCGTCTTCGCTTGACTCAACGCCCTCCACGTAGCTCGCAGAGGTAGCACCATGTGTTCCCGCTGAGCTAGCACCGCCTCTTGTTCGTCAAGCAGCAGCTGATGGGCTTGGTCCAGTTGCCCGACAGTGTACTGCAGCTTGGCGCGCCAGGCGTGCTGAATGGCCGCTAATTTCCACCTCTGGAACCCCCATGTTGTCTTGCGCACGTGCACCCAGCGCAGCCGCCACACTATCAGCGACAGTCCCCACTTGGCTCGCAAGTCGGCAGCACATTTCTACACATGACGGCCAATACATGACTGTAACTATACATTCATAGTGTTGGTCGTCGTACTTGGGTAGACGCCAACACATTGCATTGCTTGATGTGTTGGGCGTCGAGTGTGACATGGACTAGCCAGTGGCGCCACGCGAGGGCCAGCTCCCGCGTGTACTTGTGTTTGGCATGTTGCACTACTGTTGTGACAGCCGCCTATGAGAAACACCAAGCACAAGGCAAACATGGTCACCATACACGGTACTGCATGATATAGGGAGGACGAACCTTTAGTTGCAGGCGGGATGCTGTACGGACCCGCCACCGTTCGACAGCTTGATCCAGCCGTCGCCGCTTGAACTTGAGCTCTAGACGCAGCCGGCGCCGAAATGCGACAAGGTGTGCTTTCCACGATGAAAACAGCGTTTCCAATTGCGCTCGTTGTTTGATTTCGAGCCATTCAAATGCTCGCTCGCGGGTGACGCGGCGTCGACGGACCAACGCTGTCCACATGCTCCACGCCTTTCGCAAGTTGAGTTGCAATGTCATGGCTTGACGTGTACTGGTTAACACCGTCGTGAGCTTTTCTTCAACCACATGGTGGTGATGGTATTTCACATCTCGCGATATTTCCACAGCCAGCAGGTGCGTTTGGAGGTCTTGCAGAGCTCGCTCTTTCCCCGCCAACTCCGCGCACACTTGCTGCACTTGCTCTTCCATGGCCATGGCACGGCGGCCAACCTCGCCGCGCTCGCGCTCCCATTCATCTCGATCTTTGGCCATTTGACTCTCCAACGTGTGCTTTGTCCACTTCGCCAGACCCAGTTGCCACCTCGTCCAACTGTGTCGCAGAACCCGCCGCGTGAACTGGACGAGCACTTTGCGATACTGTCTGTCCTGGTCGATACGGCACCGCCAACGTCGCCACATACTGCGACAGATCCACCGCCTGCACAAGACATCATGGGACCGTTTGGTTCGTTGTCGAGCGACGAACTGGTGCCACGTGTCAAGCGAACGCCGCACAGTTGACGCTGTCCGCGATCTGAGATACAGTAGCACGCGCGTGGCTTTGTTGCGAATCGCTTCGTCTTGTGCTTTCAACAGGTGGATATGGCTGCACCATTTTAGCCAGGTCCGTCGTGTTCTGGCACCTTCTAGCGCCATCGACACGGCCACAAGCCGGTCGCATGCTCGGCGTTGGTGCTGCTGGAACCCCCGCCACGTTTTCCAAACGTATCGAGCGGATGTGGTGGCTAAAGCCTGGGCAATCCACTGACACTTTTGCTGCAAACGTTTGGTTTGGTGTACGTATAGCACCCACGCCCGCCACGCCTGTCGGTGGCTCCACGTACGATGGAGCGCCGTTGCCGCGACCGCTCGACCCGCCTTGGCATGGCGTCGGATGATAAAGGCCTTCCACATGTCAAGCACCATTGCCTGGTGGAGGCGCTGCATCCGCCGCACAATCAACCGCACGTTTCCCTTGGTTTGCTTGAAGATGGCGGTCACGCGCTTCCATTCGGAAAACGATGTGCGGATGGTTGATTGAAACATGTGCATGCATTTCGACGCTTGCAATTGGAGCTTAAGCTGTTTAGTGGTGTCGCAAAGAGAGGCCGTAGTCGCTTGAGATGACGCCACGTGGCTGGTCAGCGACTCTATCGCAGTTTTGGCGGCCAGCAGCTCTTGTTGTGTGACGCGGTACGCTTCGTGCATTCTTTGTGTTTCCAGTTGGGCACTGACCAGCCGATGCTGTCGCCATTGTACCCATGCCGACTGGACACAGTGTCGCAGACACAAACCTACCAACAGGTCGCACGCGAACCGGTCGCGGCGCTGCACCCATGCGTTCTTTCGCCACACTTCAAACACCTGCCCCACAGCAAAGTGCTGAAACCTCGTCGCACATCGTTTGAGCAGCTCCCGCTGCCGCCGGATCGACGACACGTTGTCGCGCCACCACACCAGTACTTGGCGGCACACGATGTGGTTCCACTTTCGCTGGACAGTGTTAGTCGCGTGGTCGAGCGCTTCGATGCGGAACTGCGCGCGCTTGGCCGATGCGATCGCGTCCGCCACGTCCTTCCACCGCCGCAAGCCGACTTGGTACCTGCATGTCGATAGATTGATGCAAAATACATGTAACGAGCCACACAACATGTAATATATTCACATCAAGTCGAAGAAGCGTCCACAAGACTTTCCAGCTTTGTGTACGGGAGATATGTATATGGTATGTAGTTGGCATGTCTTACCAGTGCTTGGAGAGGTGCGCCACCGCTCGTGTCCACAGCATCCTCGCTTGCTTTCGCTCACTGGCCGTGCGATGCCATTGCCGCCACACAAACTCGTACGTTTTGCGTACCATGGAGACCCCAAACAGTTGCAACATCGTCGCCAGCTTGCGCCGGTCGGCAGCGTTGGCCGCCCACGCGCGAAAGGCGGTCGTGACCAGGGTACTCGCATGAATGTGATGCCATTTCGCGCAGAGTTGCTTGCGCGCTTGATGCATGCGGTGAAACTGCTTCCATCGATCATACACGAGCGCGACGTGGTTGGCTTGCAGCACGGCCATGACGTGGCTCACTTTGGCCTTGGTGGCTTTGGTCATGCTTACAAACGCTTTCCACCGGTTCAAACAGTACACGGTCGTGCGCTGTAGAAGGCACTCTAGCGCGTGGGCGCCGACTTTCGCTTGCATTTGGTCGTGAGCGATGGACATTTCAAGCAACTTGTCCCTATGCAACCGTGTCTCAGCGTCCCACGCAGCCGCCATGCGCCGAACCACGTCGTCTAGCCGATAGATAGCCGACCGAGCATCTTCCTAGGACATAAGGTACTCGTGTTTTTACTGTATGTACGGTGCTGGTTTAGCATACCTCGAGCATGTGATGTCGATGGTGCTGCATCGATTGCAAGTCGAAACTGTGTTGCCATTGCGCCTGGCTTTCCATGAGCATCATTTCCAAAGCTTGGCCTCGCAGCAGTTCGAGCTCGGCGTGGCCGTGCCACTCGGCCGCCGCGCCCTCCAATGCATCTCGAAGCGCCTCTGTCCGTTCCAAATCAACTTGCACTTGATGGAGCTTTTGCGACCACTCTGTCGCAGAAATAGCCATAGCTCGTTGATGCGATTCCTCGGTGATCTGCATGGTCACCTCCATCGCATCCGCTTCCGAGCGATGTTGAGCCTGTTGGTGCTGTATGTGTTCTTGCAGCAACCGAATCGAACGGTTCAATTCGTCCACTGTTTGCTCAAACCGGGCATGCATCGCTATAAGGTGCCCGTTGGCCGCCCACCGCGACACAGCGCGACGTAGCCAACGGTGTCGCAGCCTTCCCACGATCTCAGCTAGCGCCGACCGGCGGTGAATCTGGACCACACATTGCTCAAACCACATCCGCCACACTGAATGCGCCCATACGTGGAAACGGTCGAGTCGCCGGCGGGCTTGGAATGCCAGTGACACGGTTCGTTTTCGTTGCAGTGTCGCATATCGCTTCCACCGCGCGAGCACATGACCCAACCGGTGCATGCGCGACTGGCTTAGTGCCGTGTCGACCACCCATTTGAGGCGCAGATCCCGCTGCACGAGACCCATCACCGTGGCTTCCCACGCCTTGAACGAGCGTTGCTGGATATGCAAACCAACCATACCCGCCAATGCATGCAGTGCCGACGCCCCTCGCGCCTTACGCTCGACAGAACGAGCCACAGACTCCCGCCAGAGCCGCCAGTGCCGTTGCATCGACGTTGCGGCTTGAAGTTGACGGCGATGTGTCAGTTTGCGACGGCGGGTGGCCGCGCGGCGGGTCTGTGAAGCCCACCACGCAAACGTTTCTCGCTGGATGCGACCGTGCCGCCGCTTTTGCATGTGCTGCATGGGCGTGGCAGCATGTCGGGTTTGGAGAGACTGCCGCCACTGCCTGACGAGTGCCCGCAGTTTCTGCGCTTGGACATGGGCCACGAGCGCGCGCACGTGCCGCCGATGGACGTCTCGAAGTTTCCAGGCGTGGAAGATGAGACCTTGGAGTCGACGGGAAGTGCCTCGTTCGTATATCACTGCGAGCCGGGTCGTCCATTCATTCAGCATCTGGTTCTGGTTCGAGGCGGCCGTCGCATGCTCGATTTCCAAATCGCGCACGGTTTGTTCCCATGACCGCTGGGCTGCCAACGACACTGAAAGGTTTTGCTTTAAACCTTCTAGTTCGGCCACGACATTGGCCTTTTCCGCTTCGACAACGTCACATTTCAACAGAATCATCTCGATCAGGAGCGTTCGAGACGCTTGGACCCATGTATGGAACCCCCGGTGCACGCGCCTTCGTTTATGGTTGTCACATAGCTGCAAGAGGACTTTGGTGCATTTCGCTCGACGTACGGAACGTTCGTGCCACGTTTCGAACGCGTTTGACACGATCAATCGACATGACGCATGATACGAGTCCAGTGCACGGTGGCGGGCCTACAAGAGGTCAAAGGACTGATGGATTGGCCTTAAATGGGGGATGTGTGACATCGTTCGTACCAGACGCATCGCGAGCGTTTGGAACGCCCATGCTTTGATCACCTGCGATCGAGTGGATCTGGCTCGTTGCAATGTAAATCGAATGATTTGTCGCTGGAGGCGTTGCTGCTTGGATTGCTTGACAACCAGTGCGAGTCGCTGGATGCCTTCTTCACGGGCCTGGCGTTCGCTGACGCGAATGGTGCTTCGACTCCATGCACTCCACGCCGCGACCATCACGTCCTTTCGTCGAAGATGCAACAATGTAAACATGCGGTGGGCGTTGTGGCGCGCAATTGCGCCGACAAAGGATGCCCTTTCTTGCTCCATGGCGGCATTTGCACGCGTTAAGGCGGCATTGATGTCGAGAGTCTCCCGGAGACGTTGGTGCATGAGCTCGTGCTCTTGGACACGGTTGTCGAGGGTCTTTTGGAGCGATGCGACGCATACCTGCACGCGTTTCGGCCCGTTCGGGTCAAACAGACATCGCTCCTGCAGCTTTGCCACTTGCTCCTTGTGCTCTTCCTGCATCGCATCCACGCGTTTCTGCAAGCGACGAGATATGTCGTCTTGCTGCTTGAAGCGGTCGCGCCACTCGTCGCGCTCCCGAATGGCCTTGGCGAGGTCCACGGACGTCGAGGCGTCGGTCATGTGAGATTGCCGACTTTGATCCCGCCACTGCATGACTTCCGCTTCCAGCTCCGCATTGCGAAGTTCCAGCTCCCGAACGCGGTCATACAGCGACGTGACGCACTCTGCACTTCGCCACGCACAGTTCAAGTCCATGCCTTCCATGGCGCGCGATCTTCGCCGGGTGTATCCGGATAAATTCCAGGAATCTGTCCAATAAATCCGGATTTTCTGGCCGAAACCGCTACTTGCGTCAATGCGATAGTTTATTATCACTCGAGGTATGATGAAGTTAGCACTACTATGGAACTCAGAAGACGAATGACTTGAAGGCTCATTGCACGCTCAAACGTTTCACCATGTCCGAGGTACGGTACGGTAGTACATGTATAAGCTAGCGGTATGTAGTTTGGTTGAAGTGGGCGCGAATGCGCATTTCGAATCCGGATAAAATTCGTTTCAGCGTAACCGAACGACAATGGGCAATTTGAATGGATACGAGATTGTGGTTCGTGTAATTGCACAGCTCTCAAATGACCACTCTCAACAATTCCGTCAAACTGGCGGCGGCCATTCATGACGTACTAAACAACAAGAGTGTGCGTTGTGTAGCAAGTTGCCTTGTCAAGTGGTGCATCCTTGGACATGTATATAATATATATATATATATATTTATCTGCGATGGTCCATTTGCTTTGTTCTAACGTCCACGTGTTTCACCACACGATTACGGTCAACGAACTGGCCAATCAGAATGTACTTCAACCTCGACTTCATGGAATCTCTCGCGGAAAACCTCTGGAAACGTATTGCATGTCCTCTCGGAATGTATTTTCACAGGTATATAAACCGTCATCCTTGTGGGGTCACTTTGAAAGTTGCCACGGTATAGATAGATACAGTAGCGTCACCATGTTCGTGACCCGCAAACTCCAAGCGCTTAAGGCGACTCAACTGTCTCAAGGATACAAGGCTTTCAGTGCGCTCGCTGGCCTTGACGTACGTACATCGAGAAGACAGGACAAGTCTTCATGCTGCGCGTATACGATAGGCAAGCAAAACCATCATCCACCAGACCACGCACCCCAAGGTATGATGTATCTCCATGATTCAAATCTTGTTAGTGATACTCGTCGAACGTAGGCTAAAACCCCCAAGGAAAAGCTCACATTTGGCTCGACGTTCTCGGACCATTTGCTTGAAGTGGATTGGGACAAGACCTCCGGCTGGGGCGCGCCGCTTATTCGGTATACACATCGACATCCCCTCCTCTTGCATCTAAGAGTTGTGTCATGCAGCCCGTACGGTCCCCTCGCGATCGACCCTGCTGCCAGTTCGTTGCATTATGCGCTGCAGGTAAACCTCACGTCGTATCGACATGGCATGACGAAGTTGTGCAGTGTTTCGAAGGCATGAAGGCGTACATTGACGACAAGGGCAAGATTCGTCTATTCCGTCCAGAATTGAACATGAAGCGCATGAACAGCTCCATGGAACGCCTCTTCCTCCCTGTACGATACCACACCACCAGCATCCATCATCGTCCTATTCTGACATTATAACTACCCGTAGACTTTCGATTCCGATGAGTTGATCGAATGCCTCAAGTACAACTGCAACGCTAGCTAGCTACCCACCCCCATGTCATTCGTTGTACATAACAACCCCCCCTTGGTAGGAAATTGATTCTCCTGGACCAGTCGTGGATTCCCCAAGGCGATGGGTACTCGCTGTACATCCGCCCGACTGGCGTCAGCACCCACGTACGTCGATACAATTTATATCGCAATATCGTGTTACTAACATGGAAGTACTAGCCCTTTATCGGCGTCGGAGCGTCCAGCAAGGCCAAGGTGTATGTGATCTTGTCTCCCGTGGGTCCTTACTACCCTGGTATAAAACTACAACTAGTACTACTAGTAGTATTAATTCTAATGTGTTTGGGGGGTCCTTTTAGAGGGATTCAACCCCGTGAAGCTGTTCGCCGACGACAAATACGTCCGAGCGTGGCCTGGTGGCACGGGCAACACCAAAGTGGGCGGGTACGTTCGTTGTATATGGGAGAATATTGGTTTGATTGAAGTATTTTTATAGACATATTGTTAATATATTGAATTATTAATATATTGAAATAATAATAATAATAATATATTCTCTGTGGCAGCAACTACGGCCCCACGATCATGCCTCAAATGGAAGCGGCCAAGAAGGGCTACTCTCAAGTACTTGCAACTTTGCCAACAGAACGATATATATATATATATGGGATATCCTCATCGCAAGTGATAGATTTTGTGGTTGTTTGGCGAAGAGCACCTTGTCACTGAAGTACGTATTTATATAAATATATATAGAGGGCTTGACCGGTGTTTATATATATATATATATATTGGATTCTAGTGCCTGGACTATGGCATTTTTATTCATATGATGGTTTGATTGTGTAGGCCGGCACGATGAACTTGTTTGTGTACTGGATCAACGAACAAGGCGAGAAGGAGCTGGTCACGGCGCCGCTCACCCGCGGGGACATTTTGCCGGGGGTGACGCGCCAGTCGATTTTGGAGCTGGCTCGGGGCTGGGGCGAGTTCAAGGTCACGGAGACCACGATCACGATGCCGTCGATTGTCAAGGCCGAGCAGGAAGGCCGCCTCCTTGAGGTTTTTGGGTCTGGCACGGCCGCCGTGATTTCTCCCGTCAAGTTGATCAACTACAACGGAAAGGTATGTACTAGTTAAAAATAGTCGTAGTTAGTATATACTAGGATGGATTGGAGTACTAGTTGAAACGGGGATCCTAATAGGACGTAAACGTGCCGTTGGATGCGCCCGATGGCAAGTCGGGCCAATTGACCAAGCGCATTTGGAACGAAATGACCGACATTCAGGTAAAATGCATGCTTTTTGAGGAAATTATAAGATATGAACGATCTAACCATTCAAATAGTATGGCCGCGTGGAACACCCGTGGTCTGTTGTGATCAATTAAGACGCTTAACTGTAATAGAATGTGCCACAATCGATTACCTAGTATTTGATTTCTAGAAATATTAAATATAATACTGCAAATAGGGCAACAACTACCGTATATATTATCCATGGTCAAAATAACCAATATTATTATTCGTACTCGGTAAACCAGTAACCAACCACTGTATTTCAGTATACAAGGAGTATGATTATTAACACATTTAGTTGTTTTGACGCTTTTTTATTAGTATTTGTCGAAGATCTGCCCGGGTTGGATTGGCTACCTATTTGGACCAATCAGAGCCGCGATATCCCGTAGCAGAAAATTACTCCACACAAGAAGTGCAACATCAGCTCCCTCACTCATTTCTTCGCCAAAGCCATGGCAACGTCCGTGCTCCATTCCGTCGAGCTTCTGCGATGTATATGTATATACCAATTGGGTATACATCACGACATGATCCCTTTCTGCCAACTCAAGCCGCGGGTCGAAAGCTATACCATCTACCCCTCGGAATTCGAGGAAGTGGACGTCGTTCTCACTCGATGGTACGCGCATCATGGCATCGGCCGATTGAATGTGCTTCTGCAGTGCATGGAGCGCATGCGTTTGGTGGTGTTTGTGCATGCAGTGCTGTATGGACGGCAAGACGTCCTGGACATTATACATGACCGGCTGCAGTTTGTGCACTTGGACCAGAACGCCGAGGCTTGCGGCAAGCCAAAGCTCGTGTACAAATGGAAGGACTCGTTCGTGCTGGCGGCGCATCACGGACACGTGCAGTCGCTGCAATACCTTCACAAGAACCACTTCAAACGCACGAGCGACACGAGCGTGTGGTTCGTCGCGGCCGCGAATGGCCACGTGGGCATTCTCAAGTACCTCCACGACCACGACGTGGAAGGATGGCGGCACTCGATCATGGAGGAAGCGATCAAGCACGGGCAACTGGAGGTCGTCCGGTGGATCTACGACAACAAGTCGGACATGCAGTCGTTGGCGGTGGTCAACCAGGCCCTCGGGGTGGCCTTGGAACATCGCCAGTTGGGCGTGGCCAAGTACCTCAACCAGCTCTGGCATGCCAAGATGCATCGGTAGTTAGCTCTTGGTGTATTCCCAACGAGTTCGACGTATAATTGGACTTGTATTTATGCGACCACCATTCACCACGTTACTACATTGTAAAGGACTCACTCGTGTGTCGGCGGCTACTTCGACTGACCAACGAGCTCACTGAGGTGGAGCAACGCCGTAACCCATGAGCTTCTTCCCCAATTTTGTTTGCAAAGTAGCTTGATAGTTCACACAATCTGGTGTCACCATAGGCGGTCTGCCGACTCATATAATAATGCTGTAGATATTGCAGTTACACCAGAGCAGTCAGACGTAACAATAACAACAACTACCCGACCATGTTCACTTGCATAGTTATTTCGTCGGTGTCTCGCAGTCTCCTTTGTGTAGCTTCCACGCTGCCTTTTGGCACTCGCGCGAGCAGTAGTACGCCGCCAAGCACCGCACACAGCGCAGCAGCTTGGCATGCTGTTGGTGGCAACTATCACAGACGCTGCCCTTGGCGTGGCGTTGCCAGTACGCGTCGTCGGCGGCGTCCACCTCCCACGACCTTTGCATGGCATCCGGCACGTACACCTCCCACTTCTCGGTGTGCACCATGAGGTTGGTCGTCGGCACGTTGAACTGGTCCATGACCTCGCCTACGTTGTCACATGTGAGACGACAAAGCAGAGCAGGTCGAATGGCATACTCAATGCGTCGGTATGAGCTGTGTCCTTGAATTCGCACACGAAATGCGTGGCCGCGTGGAACCCGCGGGCGCCCATGCTTGCATGCAGCTCGCGGCCAAGTCCAAATGCACTGAGTCCGCGAATGCGCTCGTCTTCGTCCGACTCTGGTGGAGGTAAACATGCAGAATCGCCGACGAGGAAGAAGTACAGTCCCGAGGACGGAAACGACGTCGCCGCCAATGTGTCGTCGAGCGTCCCCATCTCGGACGGACCGATGAAGCAAAACGTCACGTGTGGCGAACTGGACTCGTCTCCTTCGCGAACGAAGTGAAAGTTCATATGACCCGCAGCAGCTTCCACCGCCTCGAACAACATGTCGCTTGGAGTGAGCGAGCGGCACGCAACCCGCAACGCTTCGCCGTCGAAAGCGCCGTTCAGCCACGTGCCTGCCATGTACAAGAAGCGAAGGCAGACTCCAGTCAGCCTATCCACCTTGGACCCGAACTCGCTGTGCTTCCACGCGTAGTCATAGCGCATCATGACGCCGGCGTCATGCAATCGTTGTCGCAACACGGCCACTCCATCGTCGCTCATCGAGTCGACCACAATTGTGTTATCACGTTATCCGGATACCTCAAGTTGAAGCCACATACTTCTTGAACGCCTAAAATTAGAATGCGACCATAATGGCAGCATGTTGGTACCGCGTGTCGAAGCTGCGCAGCGAGATCGAAAGCGAGCGACAGCGGCAAGGACGTCTACAGACTTCCATCAGGCGCAAGATTGATACCATGGAGGCATGCAAACTGTCCACTGCATCCACGTCGGTCATTAAGGTCGTCGTCTCTACACCATCTCCATCTTCGAACCACAACGTCCGTGTGCTGTCCAAAGTTCCATCGCCAGATTGGTCCACCCAGTACGAACTAAACAGAGGCGATTGGAGTTCTCCCGTGAAGGTGCACGTGTGTCGCTATCAAAAGACGCCTCCGCCGACAACGTCGCTTCGCCATGTAGTCGCAGCGAAGCGCATCGGCCGGTGGGTCACACTACGCGTCGCCGCGCGCAAAGCCGCGTCCGTCCCACTGCCACGTTCCCCAGCGTACTCCCCCCTTCGCATTAATCCGGACGACCTCCTAGCGCGCATTGCCCAACAGATTCACGACCGCGCCACCTTGAAGCGCCAAAACAAGGCTGCATACATCATTCAACGATTTTTTACGCTCGTACTGGACCGTCGATCCACCACTGTACTGTCATGCGACATGGTTATTACGTGGTTATTGCTGACTGGGATATGTAGCTGGGGCAGCATCGGAGCCATCGCATCTTGCTTCATCAAGAGGCGAGGCGACGACAAGTGCTGGAACAGGCCGCCATGGACAACGCCGTGCGGCTCATCCAAGCCGCCTATCGCGGCAGCTCCGCTCGACGAAGGGTACTCCATGCCCTTTCACGCCTAGTATTGACCAACACATGTTGCCGTTCAGTTTACGTGGAAACAAAGCCATGTCAAGGGACATTTCATGCATGTGCTCATCCTCGAAGCCGAGTGGACGACGCGCCCCGGGACGGCGATTTCGGTCCTGCTGCAGTTGGCGGCCGCGTACTGGTCATACTTTGACACGGACGTGTACGAGCCACCGCAGCGCGCGCTGCTGCTGCGCCTGCATCTCCTGTGCGCGACCAAAGCCATCACGTACGGATACACTCCGTTGTCCGACAATGGCGGCGCGGCGGAGTGGTGGCTAAACATGGGGCGGAGGTTCCTCTTGCTTTGGCAGCGCAATATGGACGAGCCAGCGTTGTTGCAGGATGCATTGGCGGCGTTCGACAATGCGTTGCGCATGGTTTCAGAAGCTGACGTGGACCCAGAGGTAGCTGATACGACCTGGTCGATTCTTTGACGAGCAAGAGTGGAATAGGTGTTGTGTGACATCGTGCATGTGTCCTTTGCCCTTGGATTGTATTGCCACTTACTCAAACGGTGTCAGCATGTCGCGTTGGAGCTATGGGGACATAATAATCATCTCGACCGGAAACGAAGGCTGTGGCTATGGGAAGGCCAGGCGTATTTCCACCTTGGCGTACGTGTGATTGAATCGTTGTGGCGAATCGTTCCCACGGCCGCAATAGGAGTACAAGGACGCGGCCGTTCGATTCAAAGCGGTTCTCAACCACCCATCCGCCACCACAGCATGCATGCCCTACAATGTGTTGGATCTGTGGCTGATCTTGGGTCGATGTGCTGCACTCGACTACGACACCGCCAGCTCCCAGCTCTACTACACCACGATACTCCGCCACCTCTACGCCACGGACGACATTCTGCGACGAGGGTTGACCTGGGAAGACGCTGCGAACGATACAACGCTGCACCTAAGTGCAGGGTCCAAGTTTGCGTTGCATCGAGACTTTCCATTGGCCAAAGATTTGTTGAGCTATGGAAAGCACCTCAATGCGGCATATACAACTCCCGACCACGATAGATGGTGGACCGAATGCCATCGGCATACGTCCAGCTTGGACACGCGCGCCAGCCGCGCCGTGTGGGAAGCCCAGAAGCGCATTCCACTCACTCGACTGCGGGAGCGTCTCGGGGTTGTGCTTTAACGCAAGTCAAGTGGAAGTCGTAATATCGAGGTCGGGGCAGTAGTAGTACTAGTAGTAGGTCTAGTAGTATGTCTAGCTTATTTGCGCAACAGGTTGAACGCGGCGACGTATTGGATGGCCGTGTGTTTGTGGCTGTACTCGTCGCCGAGTTTGAGTTTGTGGAACAGTCCGAGAACGTTCGCAATGGGTTTCTTCACCGGACTCGCCGCGTCCGGCGCGGTGTCGGCGAGGATGGTCATGAACTCGTCCAGCAGTTTGTCCTGATTGGCGTCGCCCACGGCCGAGCACGGCATGTACTGAACTTCGACGATGAGTCCCGTGGGGGTGTTGGCGCGGCATACAAACGTGCAGATGCTCACGAGGAAGTCGCCAAATGAAAATTGCATGCCCTACAACATGTCCATGACGATGGTCCGGAGACCCTTGATGTGTACCTCGAACTTGCCGTCAGACTTGGGTAAGTAGATCTCGACTTGCTGTAAGATATGTGAGCCGTCCAGCCCACATTCTAGCAGACAGCATTCGTCCAGCGGTCCGTCGAGGCCATTGTCGCTCGACGGAAGCCCCTTCTCCAACTTAATCCCCAACGACGCGTCAGTGCGCTCGTTGCCCAGAACGGCATAGATGAGGTCATCGTTGTGAGACATGCGCAGCAAGTACATGCGCTGGTTCGCGTAGCCTTCGAGAAGCACGCGACGTGACAGCATGCGACAATGGACGACGAACCGACCCACTTTCCTCGCGCCCATTTCCTCGATCTTCTTCATCAGAGCTTGGTACCGCACGGGAATGTTACTGTCGGCGTAGGTAAATACTCTATCTCATCCACATGAGAGCTCCGGTATCCATAACGATATTGATACCTCGTGATGCCTGTCATGATGTCCTTGAATCCTTCGGCCTGCCAGTGCGATGAATGAATACTTATCCGGACTTCCGGAAAAACAAGATTATTTATTTTGTCGGATAGTTCAAAATAGTTGTCGATAATTATGAAAATCTTGATTTGATAGGATGGATATTATGGAAAGTTATTGTATCACTTGTATTTACAGTTAGTATGAAATGATTCTAGTATTTATTTTAGTCTGTTTGTGGGGCGTGGAATGTGGGAATGGGCCGGTGAAACCAACCAATCACTGACGAGGAATGTTTGCGATGGCCAATCACACGCTGGTCCTTCTCTTCCTATTAGAAGATCTTTTGAGTTCCAAGATGACTATCAAATTTGCCAGCAACCCCGATGAAAGGATTTGCCGCGCTTGTGGGCGCCGCCGCGTGCCTTGCCAACTTGGCCATGGGAGACATTTCGTGGAACCTGAAGATGGGAAACCATAGCATGGCATTCAATGGGATGTTGGACGAAGCCCCCGTGGAAGAAGGCTTCTGCGACACCACCAAGCAATTGAGCGGGTACTTCAAGATCGACGGGTCCAAGAGCAAGAACTACTTCTACTGGTTCTTTGAATCGCGCAACGCGCCGTCCACGGACCCGTTTGTGATCTGGCTCACGGGTGGACCCGGGTGTAGCTCGATCTTGGCGCTCTTGGGCGAGAACGGTCCATGCACTGTAAACGACGACCTGACGCTCAAGCGCAACCCGTTCTCATGGAACGAAAAGTCGAACATCATGTGGATCGATCAGCCTGCCGGCGTAGGGTTCAGCTACGGGGACACGAGCGAATACGACACGGACGAAACCATGGTCGGCAACGACATGTATCACTTTTTGCAAGAGTTCTTCCAAGTGCATCCTGAATACGCCCAAAACGACTTCTACGTGTTTGGCGAGAGTTATGCTGGTCATTACGTGCCTGCTGTGGCCCACCGCATTTACATCGGCAACCAAAAAGACGACGGCAACCCCAAGATCAACCTCAAGGGCATCGGTATCGGCAACGGCCTCACCGCCCCGGAAGTCCAGTACAATTGGTATCCCGAAATGGCGCACAACAACACGTACGGCGTACAAGCCATCTCGGACGAGATCTACGCGACGGAGAAGGCGGCGCTGCCCGCGTGCATCAAGATGATTGAGCTGTGCCAGAAGACCAACGTAGCGTGCCTCGTCGCCCAAGTGTACTGCAATGCTGCCCTCGTCACGCCGTACCAACTGTCCGGGTTGAACGTGTACGACATCCGCGAAAAATGCGAGCACTTGCCCATGTGCTACGACTTTAGCTCGATCGAAAAGTTCCTGCGCCTGCCGTCGACTCTGGAAGCGCTCCACGTGAGCCCCAAGAGCTCCAAGTGGGAATCGTGCAACATGGTCGTGCATGCTGCGTTCAGCTACGACTGGATGAAGAACTTTGACGGATTGGTGACGCCCATGGTCGAAAACGGCATCGACGTGCTCGTGTACGCTGGCGACGCCGACTTCATTGTCAACTGGATGGGCTGCAAGGCGTGGACCGTGGCGCTGGACTGGAAGTACCAGTCGCAATTTGCGCAAATCGAAGACGTGGACTGGGTCGTCAAGGGCAAAAAGGCCGGCAAGGTGCGCAGTCTCCAAGGCCTGACGTTCTTGCAAGTGTTTGAAGCGGGCCACATGGTGCCCATGAACCAGCCGGAAAACGCGCTGTACATGCTCGAGGAATTCACCAAGTCGAAGAACTCGTTTGCCGCGCGACATGATTTGACGACGACCCACGACGAGACGGCGTTGGATCTGTTGGTCGTGGACGACGACGACATCCAAGTCGACTTTGTTTTCTCGCCTTAATTTCGCTTTGAATGAGTTTATGTTGCACTCTCCATGTCGCTTGCATTGTCGTCTTCGGGCGACGATATATCGTCCACTACACAAGGAATCACATGAGCTATAAACGGGAGTTCGAGGTACTACTCACGGTGGTCCTCGATGATGGGGCTTGTGGTGTGCAGAAGGATGCGCGTTTCGTCAACGTACGCCATGTGTTCATGGCCGAGGCGGAGGAAATAGGTCGTGTATTTCCCACTGACTTTGGACTACAGACATAATTGCACAAATAGTAGGTGATATATATATATGTACCATTTCAGTGATGTATTGGCGATATACGTTGAAGTACAGCAGCCCCTCGACATGCGCCCGCGTGTATTTCTTGGCTTTGCCATGTCCAAAGCCGGCAATCTTGGCCGACAGCATCGCCTTTTGTTTTCCTGGTAGCTTTTTGCCCAAGAACAACAGCGCCACTTGAATCAATGTGGGCTGGACTCCCAACTGGGTGCAGTGTTTTACTACACATATATCCATTTTTCATGAATCTAATGTCCTGGTACAGTATGTAGTACCTATGTCCCACAGCGCAAGGCAGTCGTCTGTGATGTCCATGGTGTCGACAGCCTGCCCTTGGCACGTATCGCACGTTTGCTGGCACATGGCGTCGGTCCATGCTTCCCCGAAATGCTCGAGTAGCATTTGCCGACGACACAGTGTCTACATCAGTCTTACACCGTTGTACAAACACACAAGGAGCTAGCTTACTGTGTTCTCGCACAGGTCCATGACGTGGCGGAGGTTTTGAAAGTGTACTTGCCGCGACTCGGTTCCACTGGGTAACATTTTCTTGCGACGCGACTATATATTGCATCCACAGTGTCACAGTGCAAACTCGTAGGAATGCCATCGTTTACGTAATCCTTGTACGAGTAGTACACGACGCATTCTGCATGCAGTCCATCCCGTCCCGCGCGTCCAGATTCCTACCGAATACGCCACGTCATCTACAGCATATTGTGTGTTCAGTAGTATGTACTTGGTAGAAATGCGTGATGGATTGCGGCAGGCTGTGGTGGATGACGTAGCGCACGTCTGGCTTGTTGATCCCCATGCCAAATGCCATCGTGGCCACGATGAGCTTGATTCTGCCGCTGCTCCATGCTTGGTGGCGGTACGATTTCTCGTCCGCGTCCAATTCCGAGTGGTAGAACGCGACCCAGTGCTGCGACGGGTCTCTTCCCGTGAGGTCCTCCACGAGCTTTTCACACTCGTTTCTCGCCAAACTATATATATCGATATATGGTTCTCATCGGAGAGATAGATCATTGCCCATGGCGTACCAATAAATAATCCCCGACTGGTCTTGCCGACACAGGACAAACTCCTTCAAGTCTTGTGCGAACGTTGTGGTTTTCAGCCGACACGAGTACGATAGATTGGGCCTGCATATTACTTTGAGATCGCCGAGGTATCTCAATCAAATGACACACGAAGTCGTGGCTGGTACCGATTGAAGCTGGTCTTTTCAAGGTGGGGAGTCACCAAACCCAACGAAGTAGCAATGCTTTGCACTGTCTTGTCACTGGCGGTGGCCGTCAACGCCGTGATGGGGACCTAAAAAACATGAGAGATTCACAACCAGGGGGGTGTTGCGATTGAACAAACTCCTGGATGTCGACGGCGTAGTTGGCCCAGTTCCATGTAGTCTTTTCGAAAATCGTGGCCCCATTGACAGATGCAATGTGCCTCGTCCACGACAAAACGCGACAGCTTGTGTTCTCGCGACAGTTGGAGCATCGCCCGCTTCAACAGTTTACAAGATGACAGCTTTTCAGGCGTGATGTACAGCAGTTGGATGGAAGGTTTCGACGATGCCAAGAGGGTGGAATAGATGGCATTTTGTTCGTCGCGGGGTATTACGCCCGTGAGCATGGTGGCGGGAATGCCGAGGGCCTTGAGATGCTGCACTTGGTCTTCAATTAGCGATAACAGGGGGGATATCACAATCGTGAGCCCTGGATCCATGCACGCCGGGAGTTGGTAACATAAACTCTTTCCCGCTCCCGTTGGCATGAGTACAAACACGTCTTGACCACGACCTGCTGCCTACGTCTACCATGACGTTCCAAATCGACAGAAAGTACAGTACCATGACTACTTCTTCCTGTCCAGGCCGAAATAGGTCGAGACCAAATCGCTTTTGAAGGATAACCGCCACCTCCTCTCGAGCATATCCACTCCATGCGTGCGTTTCGATGCTGCTGGTTCGTTGCTTAACGAACCTAGGCTGCAAATCATGAATCGTTGACACTTTAACGCGCTGTCGCTCGCGCGAGATTGGAGGCTCGTCAACTTGGGTTAGATCCATGCATTCCGTTAGTTCATGCTTCATTGCGAAGGTAGTTCCCCGTCGGAACTGGCATCGTGCTTCTTGCCATGTTTTCTTGCTCACATGTCCGTCATTCATCGGCGGCACCACTGCAAGACTATGTATTGCCCCGCGCTTTTTGAAAATTGAAGCTCTCTATCCGGACATACCAGAGTAGCCGGAAAACATTTTGCATAACGTTACCAACAATTAGTGTGGAAAGCGTGAAATTTGCATGGAATTGTCATTTTGCCCTTTTGTCGATTCCGCATACTTACTTTATTCGAGGTTCGGACATTTATTATTAATTTAACGTTTTTTACTCCAGTCGATCAAACCCAAATTCATCGCAGTCACCATTGTCGTAGTTGCAGGCGGCGTTGAAGCACGATAGTTGACACTCGTGGTCGCCAACTAAATGGGGATAACATAGAGGGGCGCACGGACTCGCACAAGAAGCTTGGAACGTCTTGATGTAGGCTTGACGAATGGTCTCATCGGTGGTGTCGGGGACACGGGGGTCGTCCAGGGGGTTGTCACACAAAAGCAGCGTGCGACGCTGGTCGTTGAGCAAATTCCACGGCGCTTTTGTAAACTCGTTCCCCGACACGTCGACGATACTGAGCTTTGGCATGTCTTGCAACCGAGTTGGCAACGTCGTCAACGCATTGTGATACAGAAACAGCTTGTTCACGTCCATGCTTTGTAGGACGTCCGGCGACAGCATCGAGAGGCTGACATTGGCCAAGCATAGCCGTGTCACCGACGTCCATGATGTTGGAAGCTCAAACGCGTCGCGTAGTGGGAGGTTGGACACAGTCATAGAGGTTAACGTAGCCGGGAGGTTTTCGAGCAAAATCGACGGGAGCGTCCGTAGCGGCATGTATCGAAAAGCCACGAAGTTTACTGCTGGGGGCAGCGACGCTTGGTCTGGCCACGTCGTGGTGTTGGTGAACTTGACGCCAAAGTAATACAAAGCGGGGAATTGGTGCAGCGTCGCATTGCGGACGCCACTTGGAAGGTCACAGCGGCTGATGAGGATAGCAAACAAGGTCGGTCCGAGGAGGCTGGCGTCCAGTGCCTTGTCCACGTCGTTGACGTTTAGTGTCGCGCAATTCACATGCGCGTAGAGGCATTGGCATGTCGTGTCCCATAGAGGTGTAGTGAACGCTTGGCAAGTGGTCGGGCACGGCTGGCGGTACCAATTCGTGTGAGCAAGCGACACCAACAGCACGGCGCCCCAGAGGGAGCTGCCCACAATGTACAGTCTGACGTAACGGTTCAATCTCAACAAGGCTTGGGGGGTTTGCATCGAGGGCTGCTTCGTAAGCGGGCTACCGCGTCTTTGGGTTTTGGTGGCGATGCGCAACGAATGCATGAGCCGCCACAGCGACACAATCGAGCCCAATTGAATCCCGCACTTTGCAACCCAATCACCCACGGACGTAACCAGGTTGTACCGGGCGTACTTGACTTCCCGCACGAGGAAGAGTGGGTTTCGGGCTAGGTTTGGGTCCAGCCACACGTACCGCACGAGGGGAATAACAATCCCAAATATATGCACGACGCTAGACGTGACAAAGCTGCACACGCTGGACGTCCAGTTAACCATGACGATCTTGGTGGCCGTGTGCCGCGTGGCAAAGAACAGCGGTGTGACCATAGCATGAAGAGCTACAAACCCCACGTACGTGGCCACGACGACGTGGTTGACCAGCTGCTGCGAAATCGCAAACGCTTCGTAGCTCTGGCAGGTCAGTTCGATCACGTTGTACAAGATCATAAACCCATCGCTGCCGACCCAACGAAAGAGTGTGGCCCTAACTAGTCCAGACGAAGTTAACACAGCGGGGCTGCTGCGAGATGTTTGCCGAGGATAAAGGCAGTGCTGCACAAGTAGCGCCATGTGCAGCCCGGTCAGCACCATGTACGCGACTATGGTGCTCGGTATGGCGATCACGCGGGTCGCGAGTTTCTCGGCCGCGTCCATCTTATACATGATGGCTATCTGGGCGACCAAATACAGTGCCGACACGATGTGTTTGATCACGACGAAGGAAAAGATGCATCGCCGCAGCCACGGCCAACTGGTGATGCTCACGGAGGAGTGCTCAGTATACGCAGCGTCCGACGGCGCTACTGCCATTTGCATGAGGTTGGGGACAGTTGGGAATATGATTACGGTTGGTTGGGTATAAATAACCTTTTCAACACACTGTGTGTAGTGAGTCCACCCCCGCACATCTTACTTATCTGTAGACGAGATGGACCAACCTACATACATTGGTATCAACTTATTTATAGCGAAGTCAAGGTTCATGCAGCTGACTGATGTCGACAATACGATGATGAAATGATAACGCGTTGTAAGCTCAAGGTTATCACTAGAGCACCAGAGTGCGTCGTGGCAGCCAGTGTTGTTGGTGGATAACCTACGTGTGATGTAGGAATCTGGTAGCAGCTCGCAGGTCGGGAGCCACGTCGCACTGTGTGGCCAAGAGGGGTACGTTTGGATTCTTCATTGATTGATACATGCCAAAGTGGGTGGAACATCCGTCCGACTTGAGTTGTGGTGGCTTGGGCCGCTTTGTAGGCGGAGGCAGCTGCTTGTGATTATGACTGGAGACATACACCAAGCCAAAACGCGTCGTTGAATAACGTCGAAACACGGAGCTACATAGTGGCGTCGACTTCGTCGTGAGCAGCCACCGTCCGTGTCCAACAGGTCGAGCGACGCGTGGCAGCTACCGCCCCCCCACTGGTGCCTTATCACGTACAGGCATCGAACGCAAGTTCCAACCTGCACTGACACGCGGTCTGCCCTAGATCGTAATAACGCTCTGAGCTTGTCCACACCGAGTGGGTCACTGTTGCATGAAATGGTGCGCGGCCGCTTGCTTTTTCGCACGGCCAAGCAAGCGGCCGCGTCAGACCAAAAATCGTTTTACAAGAATTCAGTGACGCTTCGGCCAACATGGATCTCCAGTGTCAACTACATAACCAAGCGTCGCCTTGCATGTAAATCACCGCGTCTCGGATCATTTGTTGGAAGGGGGTTCACCGCCCTCAACTCTGCCGACGTACGTCCTTGATGGTTGCATAACACAACAAAACCACTGTCCAAGAGGAACAACCACGTGCATGAGTTGGCGCCACCAAAATATCGTTCGCTCGATAGTGCTGGATGGCCACAGTGAATCGTCCGACAAAGGTCGACTTCTGTCTTCAAATTGGACGGATCAGTTCGACTCTATGAACTTGATATTTGCGAGAGCTGGCAAGTCAGGTCTCATCGTTGTGACCCCCATGCCATCGCGGACCGGGCGGAGAACGCATCCCTGTCGATGTACGAGCCGTGTATCGCTCGAACTGGCAATGGTGCCCCCCTACTGTAGTTTCGTATGAACGATGCATAACAACAGCCGCAGTGGTCGTGTTGAGGTGGAACAATTGCAGTGACTCCCCTTCTTCATCTAGACAACCTTACCAGGAAGGATGCAGTCTCATCTCACATGAAACCAATGATTGAGTGGTATTTACAGTTAGTCGACGTGGTGCATCGTCAAATACCCTTCGGAAACCCCGCCTATGTCAACACCTGCCGGCAGATGGGGCACTGGAGGTCGGCTTCGCATGCCACTGGTCAACGGATGTATTCAGCTCTAGCAGACGCTTCACCAGGTGTTCAAGGCACGCCGCACCGCCATGACGACGACCTTCGAGAGAACCCCCCTTTCACATGTGGATTCAACAAGAGCATGAGTTTTGTTATGAACGCCTGCCTACTAACCTTTTTTAGATTTTTGGCGAAAAACGAGATAATTGGCATAGTGTTGAATTCTCCAAATCTTGGATCCAGACAGATAATTCTATATTTTTGCCGATTTCTTAGAAATTGCCAAAACATCGAACATTTTAGCATTTTCATTGACATCCAGACTCACCCTTAATCTTTTGCACGAAAGTGCATTTTACAAAATTCCAACACCGAAGACGCTAACGCCGTGTGCCAACGAGAGAGCGGTTGGAACGCCAGTCCAAGTGTCGGCGAAGCGCGTGCTTCTGACGGATAACCAACGCGATCGTCGTACCGCCAAGTGGGTCACAATGAAGACCGATGTCACAGTTCCGGATCCACGAGGCCATACAACGCCACTGGTTAAAAAATAACTCAGACCCGAACCCACAAGAGGCCAACGACGTCGCTATGCGTCAAGGAAACAGAAAAGGCCCGTCGCGCCTTTGCTTTGGACCACCCTTGTTTTCTGTTCAAGAGATCAAGATGGCTGGCCCTGCTTTGGTTAGCTCTAGCGTTACATTGTCATAACGCTACCAATTCACTTTTCAATTTGCCAACTACTGCAACTTCCTCTGCGCACGCACGTTTACGTCTGGTAACACTCAACGTTCGTCCACGGCCTATGTCTTCATTCTCCACCTCCATTACGCCAGCTCATCAACTGCTTCTCGACCGCATGTACCTGATGTTCGGCGAACAAGACACTGCAGCCTTTGACGGCGGTCTTCCCCCTGAGAACCAAGCTCGTCTCGTGGAGTTCATCGGTCGACTTATCCACCAAGCCGTCACGGACGCCGTCACTTCCCTGACTGCGGTTTATGCGGCTCTCGAATGCCCGATGCCCACCATGATAGCCCATTGTGGTACCTTTAAAAAGTCACTCGAGCTTGACGTTCCTGCTCCATACCTCTCAAGAGCAAAAACCCTTTCGTCTAAAGTCCATAAAAATCGAGGTCACGACATTTGGCGTAGCGAGTCTGACAAACTCCCCCGCTGGATCCTCTAAGTTTAGACGACTGCGTACGCACAGCGTATCGTGGATGTCGACAGTCAAGTTGCATTCGCGATGTCGCACTTGAAGGGTCGTGTCGAAGACTGTGCGTTTTCCAAACGCCTCATGGACCCCTGGTGCTTATCCTCCCTCAATAACTTCATGAATGAAATGAAGTCCACGTTCATGCCTCCCAATAGCTATTTTTTCTATCGCACCAAGTGTCTTGAATCCAAACAAGGAAAGCGCTCCCTGTAAGAGTGCATCCACGACCTTCTCTTCTTAACAGCGAACATCAACGATGAAGAATCGTTCCCTGAAGCGATTTGTGTCACTGTATTCATGTCCTGGTTGAACCAAGGCCCAGTGCCGACTCAAATCTTCCGCGAATATCCCACCACGTTCGAAGCCGCTGATTGAATCGAGCTCTAAAAGTCGTTTTCATCGACGCTCGTCCACGGGCGCACGAGTCCCTCCGAATCGAAGTTTCAGTGGTAGCTCATGCAATTGAAGACCGCAAATGTTTTAACTGCGGTCGGGTGGGTCATCTGTGTCGGGCTTGGCGTTCCCCCCGCCATCTAAATTCCGACCGCCAGCGTCCCCAGCACCCCCCCTCTGGCTCCCGCAACTGCATTTCGCGCGGTCCATCGCGTACCCAGTCCCGTTCTTTCCAGAACCCCGATGGGGCGGAAATCTGTCGTTCCCAATAGGCGCGAGGCGGCCTAATGGGGATGTACTGGGTCCATTGGAACTGTGTGGCGCGCCAGACTCACTGTTCTGATCGATTGTGGAGCGTCTAACAACTACGCTAGCCGCTCTGTCCTCCCCCGATCGAACAACTCCGATCGGGTCTGGTGAATATGGCTGACGGTCACTCACGTCTCAACCCCGCGTTGTGACTGAACTCGCCATCCAGTTCGATGATTTCGACTCCTTCGAATCCTTCTTCATGATCGATCTCGATGAGCAATGGGATCTCATCTTGGGTGTGTCGTGGTTGGAATCTCACCAACCCTGGATTGACTGGCAAGCCAAGACCATTAACAAGGTGACTTAGCATCACAACCAACAACCCTGGATTCGCGTGCTGCCGACAAGTCCCCTCTTTCGACTCCCCTAGCCAACCTTGCCATTGTGGCGATTTGTAATGAACTCGCCCCTTGTCCCGCCTCGCCACGTTTTCTGGCCCCAACACAGCTTGGTTCGCAAGTCTCGACTCTGGTGTCGACTTCTGTTCTCGACGCAGATTCGCCCTTTGCCATCGCCGTCCCTAGCCCGCCTTCGTCACAGACAATCGCCGTTGATACACTTGTTTGTGAAGCGTGCAACCTGGACGAGTTGCGTCGGACATCATCCGAGATCCTGGTATTGCCGGAGATGAGTTTCAACGCGTTTGCCGCGTCCCTCTGTGCCCAAGAGATCCGAGATATCGCTATGATATCCATTGACGAGGAATTGGATCTCCTCTCGACATCCACGGCGGACAATTCGGGTTCTATCACCACCAGCGAAATCCAAGACGTGGGATTTCCTCCATACGAACCCGTATTTCGATCTCCTCCGCGAGTTTGAGGACGACTTCCCGACGAAGTTCCCAATCGACTCCCATCCACAAAGGAGTACGACACGAGATTGACCTCTTACCGGGCACGAAGTACTGTTTCACGCGGCAGTGACCGCTTCCCCGAGAGTAGATGTCATCGACATGTTCTTTGCGGCGCGCAAGGCCGCCGGACATGTCCACGAAAGTATTTCACAGCACAGTAGACCTACCTTCGTGGACGAAATCCGTGTTCTCGGTGACTTGGTGGGTGTACGTGGCTGTCGGGGCTGACCCCGACAGGATTCAGGCCATCGTGGACTGACCCGCCCCATCCTCCGTCAACGACCTTCGGCGGTGGTTAGGCTTAGCTACCTACCTTCACAAATACTCTACAAATACTCGGCAACTTCGCCGACCTCGCCCAGCCGTTGATTCGTCTTTTGGTCAAAGTCGCTCCTTGGGTGTGGGAGGACTCCTGTCAATCAACCTTCGATGCCCTCCGCCTGCAAAGCGCTCCCAGTCTGGTGCTTCCAGACTTTGGGCGTCCATTTTCGGTTGTGTGCGATGCATTTAAGTTCGCGATTGGATGTAGCCTGATGCAAGCCGACGCGGACGGTCATATCAAAGCCGCCAACTCCTTCCGGTGGAACGCTCTTACCCCGTTCACGACCTCGAACTTCTGTCGATGAAGTACGCCCTCACCAAATTCTGCATCTACCTGATTGGTAGGAAGCCCTTCGTTATGTAGACTGATCACGCCTCCCTCCACACGGCGATCAACTCGCCGCACCTCTCGCAGAGAATGGAACGATGGCTTGCGTTCTTCGCTGAGTTTACCTTCACCGTCCAATAAAAACCCGGTCAGGAGAACATCCTTGCCGACGCCCTCTCTCGGCGCCCCAACCTCACCCTCAACACTGCCGGGTTCCTCAATTCCGACCTCCAGAACCGCATCAGTTTACGCCTTGGATTCTACGTGTTCCGCGCTTTTGTCGGCATTAACGGCGCCTGCTTCATAAAAGCCAGACCGTTATGTGTCATTACTCCATCGCTATTTCATCCGCGATGGTCTCTTGTACTTCACCCCGTTTCGCGGCGACAAACCTCGCAATGTTATACCCATACCGCGCAAATTCAAGAATTCCACCCACGATGGGCGAATTTGACGATCGTCAGTTGCCAACGACTAACGGATATCAACCACACGCTAGTTGATTTGCATCTTTCTATATTCGCGTTTGAGTGTGGGAGGGTATCACATACGATCGGGATCCACGTGGCCGTACCACGCCACAGGTTGAAGACAAACTCAGATGGAAGGCCTGTCTTCGTGTAAAAGACGTCAGGCATAGTTGTCCGTCGGTCGAGTTGATGTCGTCGCGAGGATGCCAGCGTAAATTCGCATGCTGCGTTAATCTCATGCCGTGTCAACACTAGTATTTCACATCTATTACGCATAGACTACTACGAAGTACTGTTTTAGCTTATTGTCAAAGGGCATTCCCCGAGTCACGAAGCAACATCATGGATGAACCAACAACACATACAATGATATGGATTTAGTAGCAGATGGTCTACAGGCTGAGCCCTTCACTAAGGGACCAACACATTTTTTTCGCTGCGTGGCATCGCATACCCGTAATCATCACCGTCGCAGAAAATAATACTAGTACAGTTCGCGCCACATGAATAGACCCACCCCATTTTTGGTCGTTCACGTTTGACACAAACTATTCTACACTTCAGGCCAAGGCACATCTTCCTACCTATCAATAGGCAAAGCGATTGATGTACAATTTAACATTCTACGAGTTGTAGTTCACAATTTATCGACAAATTTTGACGAAGCGATTGATGTACAATTTAACATTCTACGAGCTGTAGTTCATAATTTATGGACAGCGTCAAAATTTCACCCGCGCCAGAAGATTAGAGTCTAAGGTTTTGGCCAATTCCCGACCAGGCAGCCTTGATGGCGGTGATGCGGGCTGGAATGCTCTGATACTAGAGAGGTTTAGCAACTCATCTTTACATTACCCTCATCCTCAAACATTCGACAAATTCGGCGACAAGGATAATGAAAAAATATTATTCGTTTCGCAACTCTTTCGCCATCCTTGTCATCACATTAATCCGGATAAGCACGGATACATTCGTTGGATGCTGGTGTTGCCATATCGGTACCGTGACCATGTCAATCACACAGCGTAACCTCATGCAGCTTGTCCCCTTCGCCAAGACTCCGCGCCAACGAGCGACCTTGCTTGCACTAATGGCTACCTATGTCATGGAACGACCTCTCATCCCCGAAATACGTTTCTCGCTCGAGACGACAACTGACGTCACTGCTATCCTGGACTATCGTTTTGACATCGCTGGTATCAAGCAGTTGGGCTTTGTTCTTGGTTTTCCTGCAGTGATCATCACGCAGAACCGCGTCCGAGTGCACCGGGACGAGACCATGAGTGTGTTGTTGGGTCGGTTGGTGTTCCCCGTTCGGTTCCACACTATGACTAAAACCTTTGGATGATCGCGTTCCGCCTTGTGTGTGACATTTCATGCACATCAACGAGTTGTACGCGCAGTGGGGGACTTTGCTGTATTTCAACCAAAATCTCGTTGCCAAGAACATTGATCGGTACTGCACTGCTGTCACCTCCAAAGGGGCGCCACTTTCAAGCGTGTTTGGCTTCATCGACGGCACCAAAGTCCAAACATACCGCATCACAGCGATGGGAGATGGCTCTAACCTACAAAATGTTTTACAGCGGGCAGAAGCGCAACCACTGCCACAACTATCAGGGAGTCACTGCCCCTGACGGTATCTGCGTGCACGTTTTTGGCCCGGTCGAAGGTCGGCGCTACGATGCGACCATGCTGCGTGAGAGCGGGTACAAGTACCTGGGGGGCGCCGAAACGTGTTTTAGGGGAAATCGATGTATGGCGATCCAGCGTATGGAATTGTGCCTTACTTGATTTCGGGATTAAAGGGCATTGATCTCAGCAACGAAAAAGAGCAGTTCAACAAGTGGATGAGCCACGTTCGACAATCAGTGGAATGGAACTTCAAGCTGGTAAAGACGCTCTGGGCATACATTTCCTTTAAAATGTTATCGAAAGTCCGACTCTCCCCTGTGGCTAAGGTAGTTGATATTGCAATGCTGCTAACCAATTATCATTGCTGCTATTTCCGTGGAAACCATATTACCGAATTTTTTAACTTGGCGCCTCCAACCTTACGCCAATACCTCGACACGTTACAGATAATTGAAATCTAATATAATTTCAATCCTTGTTAATTATTAGTCGAAAAGTCGACTAATAATCAATGATTGCTCTGATGAAATTGTTCAGCCATTGATTCCTGCTTCTGGCGAAGTTGTTCTGCCAAAAGCTGGCGGTCCAAACGACGTTCATTCACTTCACTTTCAAACTTTTTACGTTGAAACTCAAGGTCAGCTTGGACTTGCTTATGCATGAGCGTAAAAACAGTCATGAATTTACCTCCACCTGCGACAGTGTCGTCACCGTCTTTGTCCCGTTTTCGTTTTCCCAAGGATTCGAGAGCTTCGGCACGAATTTGGCTCCCCATCGCTTCCATTTTCTAATATAGCTAAAGGAATAGCCATTCTAAAAGGAGCATCATGCGCATGTAATATCACATTTTTATGAGCATTTGTTTCACTTAAAAAAGTAAAGAAAATTAATCTAGTAGAATAAAAAGCTGTAAAACAAGCTCCTATTGAATTTGTGCCCAAGTTATTGTAGCACCTGAAGTTATGTTCCGCCGCGTGTCGATTTGCTTCGGCGCGCCGCGCTTCGGTGCCCTTCACGTCATCGTACGCCGCCAACAGGTCGCCTAGGAGGACCACCTTCTCACCAACGTCCTCTGCAACACGGACGCTTGTTGGGACTAGTTGTTGTCCTTTCGATGGGCATCGAGAAGGAGTATGAAATGGTTACATGCTTTCTTGGCATCGATGTCCGTGCGTCTGAATTCATCGGCTGTGTTCAATCCCGACGCTACTTCAGCCCAACGCTCCATGACTTGGCCACGTCGTGCTTGAAACGGCATTTCCAGCGTGACTTGCTGAAGTAGCATGATGTCTTCCTCTTCGGTGAAATTGCGTCGCTTGGTCGGGGTGGCCATGGTTGGGTTGATGTTAGTGAAAATGGTATGTGAGGACAATGATGGTTGTCCTCACAATCCTTCAAATCCAATGATTTGGAATAACGTTTCGCAGTAGTTTTGACAGGCACACTTCCGCTTTTGGCAGAAACACTTGAGGGTAATGATAAAGATGAGTTGCTAAACCTCTCTACTGTCGCACGTTTGTGTAAACTTGACGTGCCAGTGTACCCCACAAGTTTTCTATCGGATTCAAATCCCGAGAGAGTGATGGGTGATCAAAAAGGGTGACATTTTCGTCCTTCAAAAATGCTGTAGTACTGTATACTTCGAAGTATGAATTGAAGCTCCATCTTGCATAAAAACAAAGTCTGGAGCATAATGTTCATGTGCAAATGGAAACTGATAATGTCCAAGAGTATTACGATAATATACTGAATTCTGGTTGCCTGTCAGAAATGCTAATTCACTCAAACCAGAAGCCGAAATTGCACCCCAAACCATCACTCCACCTCCTCTGTTCCTGCGGGAAAAATAGGTATCCGGTTCCTTCGGAAAGTCGTGCCAGTAATAGTAGAGACCGTCAGGGCCATCCAAGTTGAATCGTTTCTGGTCCGACCATATAATTTCGGGATAAATGGTGGATCCTACAGATACTTCGTCGCATGCTCCAACCCAACAATCTTGTGGCTTTTCATGAGCATGGGCATGCATTTATGCTTGACGTACTCCATATTCACTGAGCCTTGAAGCCTGCGCTGACACGTTCGCAACGAGGCCTCGATAACCAGGCTTTTCGCGAGGCGTTTTGCCGATAATCAGGTTTGTCGCGAGGCTTTTTGCCGACAACCCGGTCTTGCATGCCTATCGAATGAGGCGCCGAAGTTCCCGCCCAATCAGTTTTGCCGTTTTTGGCGCTTGAAGTTGCTTCCATAGGCCTCACGCTGGTCGATTACCATCCATATGGCCTTCGTGGACCTTCCGACGTGCTCTGCAATGGCACGGTGAGTGAAACCATGGTCTCGGTGCGCCAAAACCGTGCTGACTTCAACAACGGTCAGAAGCGGTCCACGACCCATCCTTACTGAGGTTTAGCGAGGTTTTGTGTTTCTAGTAGTTGTGAAGGTTATGTACTAGGTCCTAGATATCTTGGATATGCGTGTATTTTTACCTGAAGCGCGGTTGGGTCTATTCAACTGGCGTGGTGTCAATTCAGGTTTGAGGTGATTTTGAACGCCACAAAGCCCGGATGGCGGCAAATCGTATGTCAAAATATTCCGCCAATCATAAGCTATCGTTTGTTTCATTTAGTTTTTACGACACTGTGATAGGCCAAGAGTTGCGCCTCAAAAACTGTATGGGTCTATTTATGTGGCGCATTCCTGCAGCAGTACTTACTGCAGCAACAGGTATTATTAATAATACAAACAGACGTGTAATAGGCTCCCGATCGAATTGGTGACTTACTGCCAAATTACAAGTTCCCTTCCAAAACATACTTGCACAATTTGCAAATATGACACCATTATGCAACATACCAACCAATTTGGAAGCTACTTGATTTATGAATGAAATATTGCCAAAATTCCAAAAGACTCTCAAACATAGTAAACGACAATCATGCTGACAATATACCAACTAACTAACCAAGCAGGTCCTTTACACCGAACTTTGGAGAGCACAAATTTCAACAATATTATTGGCCAGCAACTGCAATGAAATTCCCGCCAACATGAATGGTGACGACATAAGGCTAATCAAAAGAGCTCACAGTCCACTTCATTTGCACACTTTGCATCCTGTTGTCAATGCGCGTCACTTCCATCATCGAATCCCTGCAAGAGCAGCATGCTGTGGACCAAATTAACTTGGCCGAATGCCTCCGCATGCATGGGGACACCATCGACCAGCACGACGACTTAAGCGAGTCCGCGCATCCCATCATCGACGCCATCCTGGAAGACTCGGGATGTGATGGTTTTAAAACCATGTGCAACTTCACCAGTGCCGCAGAGTGCCCTGACAACGCGCTGGACTGCTGGCTGCGGCAAGAAGTCACCAACCAGTCCGAAGGATGCATTTTTTATGACATTAACGGTCCTAAAGCACTATCAGTCGTGAGAGATGCACGCAACGCACTTCAAGTTCAAGGCCCCCACGTTCCAAAAGCTCATCACCAAGGTGATCGCAGTCGTCGAGCCCATCTTTTTCCGGCACTTCATCAAGATGCCAAGCATGACCGACCTACGCAACAAAGATGTCGTCTTCGCTAACTACACCTACGCCCTCTACGCGACGGATGTCAAATTCAAACCAGCTGAGCGCCGAAGGGCCGCTTCAACGAGCAGCGTCACTATTTTAGTGGCAAGCACAAGCTGTACGGGTTGAAGGTTGAAGCATCGGTGTCACCCGAACGCCTGTGCGTAGACATGAGCGACCATTGTCCAGGGTCAGTGAACGACCTGACCATGTTCATGGACCGCTTGACCGTGCACCGCACGAGCTTGGCCAAGATGGAGACCGAGATGGCTATAAACGATGTCGGGGAACAGTTTGACGACCACCGCGGCTACTGGGCTTGCTTGGTCGACAAAGGCTACGTCGGCATCATGCATCATACTCGGGGAATCTATCCAAAGAAGAAGCCTACCGGCGGGGCTTTGGACACCGACGACCTCAACCGAAACAAACGCGTGTCCTCGGACAGAGTCGTGGTTGAGAACTACTTTGGTCGCGTGTGTCAGCTGTGGAAGGTGTCGTACGCAACGTTTACCTGGGGCCACGACATATTCGACGGGATCCTGCGGTTGACCTTTGCGTTGACCAACTATCATGTAACCTTGATGCCCCTTCGTGCGAACGACCGTGTCACGTACCGCTCAGTCCTTGCTCGTTACCAATCCATGTCCAAGGCGTACATCGACAGGCGCAACGAAACTCAACGGCGCTCCCGTCGCCGTCGTGGGGAACGAGACCTCATGGGGAGTGCGATTGGACGCCGCATGTCTTCGTTGAATGATTCGCCATACTCTCGCCGCCTTCCATCGCAAAACAACTCTCCAACCTTGCGCTAGGTACCTCCTATGAGTCGCATGCATTTAAATGTGCATTTAAAAATATTAATACAAAACATGTTGACTTGAATAAAGTATGGTACATAAAATATTTAAATAAATACTGTACTCGAATTGTATTTTGTGTAGTTTGGTTCCACCTGCTTCGTTGTTTCCATATTGTCGTACTTTGGCGGTATTTTGGAAATGAGGTGGTGGCTGATCAGGTCAATACATCCAAATCAGCAGGGATTACATTTTCGAAATGTGATCTCGGCTGATTAATACGTCGCTGACCAACCGAAACCAACACGTACTTCCAGAGATAAGACCTATCTTCCGAAAAAAGTTACCAATTGATTTAGAAACCTAATGATTAAATATGGGGGATGATCAGGTAGCTTTTTTCCAAACGCGATCATCGAAGCAGTTCTTGACACGCATCTCGCTGTACGACGGACCCTTCCACCGCCAAGCGTTGCAAGCATTTCTGCAGGTCTTTCCATTCGCGCAACCGTGCTTTGACCATGGCGTCCGAATTGGACAAGTGCATGAGACCAACGACAACGTACTGCGTTTGGATGTTGGACCCGTGCATCAATGTCGACAGCAGAATGGCGTGGGTTTGATCCGACAGCAGCACCTTCCACGCCACGTCGTCGATGCCTTCCTGTCGTCCCCGTTGAACCAACGCACGGGCGAGAAACGATAGCACTGCCGCGGCAATGTCCTTGTGTTCTGCCAGGGCCGAGGGCTTTCCCAGCACGTCCACCATGGCCGCCAAGCCGCCCGCCGCCGTGATTTTGGCGGCCTGCTTGGACCGCTGCGCCATACCAAAGAGCATTTCCAAGGCCGACGTCGACCCGTGGTCCAACTTTCGGGCGGCTTGGAGCAGCTCTGGCACGTTCGCGGCGGCGGACTCGGACAAGGTGAGTTTCCGGTTGGCTTCATCTGCCACTTTTGGGGCCTCCGCTCCCGTGGAATGCCGGCGACGGTGCTTAGTAGTCGAATCTTCCACAAGAGTCAGTTGGTCGATGGCGACCGACGTGACGATGCTCTTTCGCCGGGGCACCTTGTCGATGGCTGGTCGAGGAGACATTGGCGGGTGCAGCGTTGGCGCGTACAGATCTGCGCTAAAGTCCTGAAACTTGATGAACCCACCGCCTGTCATGGCGGCCACGTAGATGGGAAGGACCATGAAGGACGACGGCGCCGAATCTGCGACCGCTAAGGCGACTTCGTACTCGAGGAGGAGGTTGTCGGCGGTGTGGTCCACCGACTCATCGCGACACTTGGCAAGGCCAGCGGTCGAGAGCAGCGCGACGAAGAGGCGGCTTTGGGTGAGACCGCGCAGGAACCCTTCTTTCCAAGGCTCGCCAGTCTTGAGGCTCATCCGGTCGAGAAATGGATGGAGGTTGCGCGTCTTCAAATGGAGGTAGAGTTTCTCCGCGACCGCCTTCTCGCTGGCCACGCGGTAGTTGATAAAGCAGTCGTACGTTGATATACCATCACATTGAGACGGTGCGATGGCGTTGCAAATGGTGTCGAGAACTGTAGTGAGGTCGTCTGGATCGATCAAGTGCACGCCTTGGTACGCCAAGAGCCGGCCCAGCAGAATGCTCGGTGGTTGAGTCACATGGGTTGGTATGGACGGACCCAACGTTGGAAAGCGAGGTGCATTGGAGGGCGGAGTGTTCACAGGTTGTTTCAGCTTCGAAAGATGCATGCCCAACAGCTTACGGTGCGATTTGCTCAGGATGCCTACGTCCATGAGCAGTGCGTCGAGGTCGCTGTCGGTCAAGATGGCGAGTATGCTGCCGTCGATTCCGTTATGAACAAAGAGGTCAGCATATCCCTTGTAGGCATCTCCCAGCTGCGTGACCTGGCTCGCCACATCCTGCGCGCTCAGCGTCTGCAAGGACGCACCTGCTCCCATCGGTGGTGACAAGTCGGGCTCGATGGAGAACTGAAACTCCCCGACTAAGACTAAGCCTGACGGTTTCATCATAGTTCGAATTTCGAAGTAAATGGGAGCGAAGTCTTGTTGGGTACTTCTAGTACAGTACTACGAAAGTCAGGCAACATGGCGGCGAGAGTGCGGTTGATTGACATTGGCGCGAACTTGGCGGACCCAATGTTCGTGGGGCTTTACCGAGGAAAGCAAAAGCATGTGGTACTAGTTAATGCAAGGTGCACACATGTATCCTTCATGACGACCCAGACTTCGTAGAACGACTTCGAGCACATGCTGCAGCGCGCGTTCACGTCGCAGGTCGAGAAAATCATCATCACCGGGGGATCCCTGTCCGAGAGCAAGGAAGCGCTAGCATTGGCTCGCACGCATGATCGACTGCACTGCACTGTGGGCGTACGTAATGGTCTTCATGCATCCGTACACGTCATCCCATCTATAGGTCCATCCCACTCGATGCAGCGAATTCATCGCCGACCCTGACGGGTACATGCAAGGTTTGCATGATTTGATTCAAGACGGCAAGTCCGACCGCAAGGTACATCTCTTCGCATCCTTCCATGTGAAACGAAGACGACACACGACGCTGATTTCCCTCATCAGGTGGTGGCGGTGGGCGAGTTTGGGTTGGACTACGACCGACTGGAATTCTGCGATCGCACCACGCAACAGCTGTACTTTGAAAAGCAGTTTGAGCTCGCACAAGTGTCCAACTTGCCCTTGTTCCTGCACAACCGCAACACGGGCGCCGACTTCTACGGTACCAGGCGGCGACTTCCATCTCCATGTTTCCTATGTTTCCCATGTCCGTAGACATGATCTCGCGGCACCGCGACTCGTTCCGCGACGGTGTCGTCCATTCGTTCACGGGGTCCGCCGCCGAAGCCAAGCAACTGGTGGACCTCGACCTCTTCATCGGCATCAACGGATGCTCGCTCAAGACACAGGACAACCTGGACGTCGTAAAGTCTATTCCCATTGACCGCATCATGCTCGAGACAGGTACCCATCCATGGAATCTATAGTAGCTGCATGGAATACTGACTCGAACGAACATGACGTTGGTAGATGCGCCGTGGTGCGACGTCCGGCCCACGCACGCGAGCTTCGCGCACGTCCGCACAGTGTTCCAGTCGAACAAACCCGACAAGTTCCAGCTCGGAAGGGGCGTCAAGGGACGCAACGAGCCCAACACCATCATGTACATCCTTATGTATGTACATGTATAATGACATGGGAATGTCTATGTAGCCAAGTGCTCGAAGTTGTGAGCGCTATCCACGGACTGGACCCACAGGACGTGGCCAAGACGGTGTATGACAACACCTGCCGCGTATTCTTTCCCGCTGAATGCCATGATTGACAGATACTACTAGTTCGAAGGAGGATATGATATCCTGCTAAACATAATATTGGACGAAAGGAGGATATTATATCCTGCTAAACATGATATATGACTAATGTGGTGACGAAAGGAGGATGTTATATCCTGCTAAAAAAGATATATGACTAATGTGAGGATATTATATCCTGCTAAAAATGATATACGACTAATGTGTGATAAGAAATGAGGAAATGATTTCCTGCTAAACATGATAACTACCCAGAGAAAGAGGGGTTGCAATGCAATCATATTGACCAGTATGTAAGCGGGGAGTTATTACGCCCAGCTGCGGGATGAGCGGGGACTGCGGAGCAGCTGCTTGATGTACACGACCTGCAGCAACACACACACGACATACACGATGCTCTCGATCGTCCCCGCCAGGGAAACGCGGTCGTTCGTGCTCTTCTCCGCTACAAATGACTCCATCAAGTCTGTATATATATGCAGACACGCCGCCGCTAGCTCAACGTACTCTTCATGTGACGATCCACGCGCAGCTGCATCAAGCGCTGTTCCGACTCGAGTTCGCCGAGTCGAATGTCCAAGTGCGACGCGTACTTGGCCAGGATACTCACGTGTTCTAGTCGTTGGAGGTGGTTAGTATAAGTATGTGGTTACTAGTTAGTCGACGGTTTACCTTTTTCCACGGGGTGCTGCGACTGCAGCGTGTTCGTGACGTGGGTTACGAGCTTGGCTTGGTGGTCGTTGTTAGTAAAACACACTTCAAACAGACCCGTGACGTCGGGGTGCACTTCGTACGTCCCTTCCGCGTCGCCGTACCGCTGAAACACAGTGTTCGTGTACGGGTCCTTGATGTCCACGTCGATCGCAGAGCTCGCCGTAGACACGATGTATGCTCCCCCGACGGTATCCCCCAAGGACTTGATGTCTTCGTAGAAGCACATCGTCTCGCGGGGTTCGATGAAGAACGTCAACCCTTCCGACGGGTCAAAGTCGAAGCGACTGAGCTTCTCGTCTTCGTCGTCCACGTCCGCGTCCGACAGGGGCGGCGCTTCCTTGCCCAACACTCCCATGCCTTTGGCAGCATCCTCCTCTCCCGCGTACGGATTGAAGTCATCCTGCACCTTGGTGGTTTCGCCATAGCGAGGGACGTTGGGGTCTTGGTGCTGGTATTCATCGGGGGCAAAGGTTTCTCGTGTGGTCGCTGCTACCGTTGCTACCGTCGACGTCGATGTCGATACAGGCAGAGTCGTCGTCGTCGCCTTAACTACAACTTCCGTAGCGCCCTTTGATTGACCCGGTAGCTCTCCAGTCTGCGCATGTGCCATGGACACAAGGACGGCCACCACGACGAGAACGTGCGGCAATCGCATGTTGGCTGGAATCTGACACAGTTGTCGAAATGAAGTCGTTGCATCCGTATAATCCGGATAATTCAAATATCGCGCAAATATTCACAACTTGTGTTTTTGTTCACATGGTGTATTCACTGACTAGCTCGTCGATGTTGAAGCCTTGCTCTTGCCCGCCGCCCCCTACTGGCATGGACGGCATGAGCGATGTATCTGTGGCGACGGTGGTCCGCCAGATGTTGTGGAGGTCGGTGTTGTGGAGGTCAAACAACGACGACGCATCGAGTTCTAAGATCGCTGACGGATCATATTCGTCGGCGGGCGTCATGCTCCAGTCCTTTGCCAACGATCCAAGGTGCGCGAGGAGATTTGTCTCGTCGAGACATGCGGACGCAGCCGTCGTAGACGACGCTTCGTCGTCTGCGAGGGAGTCGCATTGACTGCCGAGGTTGTCCAATGTCTGGACAACGTCGCTCACTCGTTGCCCGGACGACGCCGAATCATGCGTCAGCGCGTCCCGGGCTTCGTACATCGACTTGAGGCGGGTGCATGTGTCTGCATACTCGGAGGACACCGCCGCCGAGGACGTCGCGGCACTGGAGGAGGTAGCGTTTCCGTCCATCCCGGTTGCTTGCCACCTGTTGTACTTGGCATGTTCGGCCGACAGCGGCTGCACTTCCAGCAGCAACAGACACAACTCGACGAGATCGACGTTAGGCAGGACGGAGATCCAGCTGCGGGGCTCCACGCCCGTGGTGAGGAACGTCGACACGTTGTACATGCCTTCGCCGGCCCACAGATCATGCAGGCCCTGGCGCAGATTGCGCGCCTGCGCTTCCGACTTGCGGCGATTCTTCCAAATCGTGAGCGCCGTGCGGAGGATGTTAGGGAAGTAGTGGCGGTTGAGGCCTCGCTTGTGGTAGCGCGGGTGACAAAAGTACGCGAGCAGGTACAGGCCATCGCCGACCTTATCGAGGACGCTCCAGATCTCGTTGATCGGCGGCGTCATCTGCGCAAACTGCTTGGTGGACAGTTTGTTTGGCGATGGGGACGAGCACAAGTTAAGCAGGAGCGCGTTGATCGATACAAAGCCGGCGTAGCAGTCGGCGATGGACACGTCCGCGGCATGGAAGAGGTCGAAGAGGGTCTTGATGGGGCGGAAGAGTACAAGCAAGCTGCGCAAGTTATTCCAAAACTCTGGGCGGCATGTGTAGTTGACGAGTTGGGGCGACGGCAGGAACGGGCAATTTGATCGAAATGCTTGGGTGATTGTGGGCTTGATCACGCTTTCATTGATGTGGATCGAGTACAGGGATAAGATGCAGTCCGACAAGTTTGTGGCGGAGAACTGAACCAGTCGGCACCGGTGGACGTTCATCTGGGCCGCTGTGTCGTGCAGCAAAAGCATCACGTCGGGCGACTGGCGAAAGTACGATAGAATCGACCCCGCGACCATAAACACATGGTTGATATCGGGGATCTTCATCCACTCGCGAAGGAGGTAGTTGGTCAGCTGGGCCATGCACCGGACGGGGAGGATCCACGGATATGCGGCGGACACCTCGTCCGCTGCCTGCAGCAAGTCCGCGTCGTCGTCCGTACACACGCCGATGAACCGCTCGGGGGACACCTCCATGAGCACGGGCGTGAGCACGTGGTTGCCTAGGCGCTGCAGCGACTCGTCGTCGTTCGGGAAGGACACGATACTCCAGATGATGCTCACGCGGTTCTGGTTGGTCAGGTTGATGTGGATAATGCGCTGGTTGGACGCGTCGCGCCGCCCTGACGGTGTCAGCGTGATGCGGTGGAAGCCGCTGGCCACGACGTCCTTGAGCTTGGCCATCTCGGCGGCGTACTGCTGCACGACGAGTGTCCGCAGGTCGTCGCCGGACACGGGCTTGTACGAAGAGTTGATGCCTCGCAACCAGTCGCGAAAGTGCTTGTTGTCGGCAATGTCGATGGGAATGTTGTTGCACACAAACGCTTTGACCATCAAGATCTTCTCAAGGGGATCGCTTTGTCCCATGCTGCCCATGGCGCCGTTTCCTTTGCCTTTAACATGATGATGGGCCATGCCATGCTTCAACGCGTCGCGATGGTGCATCATGATGGCGGACGTAAGACCTAGTGGGGACATGACGCCACCGCTACCGTCCAGGTGGGTCTTCGAGGATCCATCTTCGCCATCTTTGTCTCGCTTTCGACGTTTGATCGGAGGCCCAAGACCTTCAGCAACAATGCCCAAACTACGAAGCTTCACGGGGACCTCGCCTGGGCAGTCGGTGGCGATGTGCGACTTCATCTGAGACAAGTCAGCATACTTCCATTGCCGAATGCAGTAGTTGCACTTGGCAGCTCGGACGCGGCTGATACCATGACGATCCCCCCGCGTGAAGTGGTCCCATACCGGGTCGGAGCGCGGTCCAGATCGGCCATCATTCGACGAGTCCATCGGAAGGGAGTTTGAATTCGATTTGAATGGAGGCGTATTGTATTGTACGCCGTTCACTCGACCGTACAGTCCTCCTACAGTACATTCGCTCGAATTATAAAAATAAGTTTAAATCTTGCATAGATTTAATAAGCTAATCGACTTGAAATATATATTATTAGTATTCACACTTCAGCCTAGCGCATTTAATAAACCAAGATTTAATTGTATACTGTAAATATGTATTCCCTGCCATGAGATAAAAAAAGAACATGGGTAATTTTACATTCCGTACATTTGCCACGTATCCGAAGTATCTCGTTTCGCGCCATTGATACCAAAGGGTCGTCAAGATGGGAAGAGCTTTGCGAGGTGCGAAGACACCTCACCAAGCCCCTTCTGAAGAAGAGCGTCGACGATAGGGGACAAGGACGTCTGTGGGTGGTACTCTGCCGATTCAAACTCAACTGGGGGGTGCAGAACGAGGCGTCCTGGGGGCAGCCATGTGACCGTCGAAGCAATCCACTTGGCCAACAGGTGTGTGTTCTTGGGTCGCAGCCACACCATTTGATGGACTTGCAAGCACGACATGATTGCAATTGTCGGACACGCGACAGTTAGGCAGTCAATTCTGTCAGAGTTGATGCAAACATGCCTGGTCATGTGAACGTGGACGCTGTCCTTGCCGAATCGAACCACCACGAACTCGACAGCACCGCGCACTCGTCCGCGACGTACCTGACCACAATTATTATTGTGTATGAATAGTTATGGAGCTACCTCACGGTACGCCACAGCATGGTTGGTGTCAGCCTTCCTCCATGGAACCTCTTCTGCCAGCCGTGCCCACAAACCTCGTCGCATATCATACGCATTCCGCACGCGATGAACCAATGCTGTATTCATGTGCGACGCTAACATTGATGTGACGCGGAATAGCACTTGTATTCCTGCCACAGGACGAGATGACGTCGCCTCGTCCAGTCGACACGCGACATGGACAACGATGTGGCCTTTCGTGATTGACATCGTCTTGGCCATGGCAATATCCATCGCCAGTCGCTCGGTCGCCTCCGCTTCGTGCATAAGTTTACTCTCGGCATTCATCTTGTCATGTTCGTTGAGTTGCAACCGCATCGTTTGCTTGAGCAGCGCCACGGAGCGTTTCATCTGGTCCGACTGGATCTTGGCGTCGAAGAGTGCCATGGCTTTCCAGTGCCGACGCATGCCCGCATCTGCCGCCGCCATGGCGACCCCCTCCTCCCGTTCGCGGGCTATCCGAGCCTCCTGGCAATGCAGCAGGTTGCGCACGCCTCGTAATTCGTCCGCCTGACGCGATTGCATCTCGTGCTTGCATCGCATGCGGTCCATTCGGCGCTCTCGAATGCACACGGCCCGCGCTTCGACCACGCTCGCCTCGGTCAGTTCCTTCTCCATCATGGACCAAAACGTATGGCGTTGCTTGGTCCGGCACTGCTGTCCCTCGATGGTTCGCCGACCGCTTACGTCTTCAATCTCTGCGATACTGGCCAGTCCTTGCGTAAAATGAAACGGAGGCGTCGCTACAATTCACATGTTGCCCTTGTCGAGAAAATATATATGAGGATATGTTTTGTTGTACATTGATACAACCACCGGTGGCCGTGATGAATACTTTGAATATCCGCGTCCGACGTGGCGTACAAATGCCCGCCAGCCACTTGCACTTCTTCAGCACCCCCAAACAATTGATGGATGGCTAAGGAATCTAGCGCACGCTTCAACCGCCGTCGTAACAAGCACATCCATGTTAAGCGACACGATAGACCCCGCCAGTGACTCTGCGCATGGTGAGAACCGCAAGGACTTCGCGAAGATTTTGGCAATATATATAAATACCTGGATACAAATGGCCATGGCGTGCTCCCGCAGGCTACGTGCGTGTGCCAAGGCTCGGTCGTGCAGCATGGCTCGGATGTTCTCGGCCAAGGACACCTCGGCGGCGGCTTCGATGTCCCGACGCAACTTGCGGCGGTAGGCGCGCTGGATTTGGATAGCTCGATGCGTCATTCGTTTCATGTGCACGTCGTGGGCGTTGAGTAGGACAATGTTGGCCTAGAAGAGTTTGTGGCATGGGACTTTTTTCAAATTGAAGAGTTCGAGGAAATATGCTGCTTTGTACCTGCCACAGATGCAGCCCCGAGTGCAATTTGATCTTGCGCCACCGAAACCCGAACTTTCGAAAGGCAAACTCGAGCATGTACAACTGCTGGGACAATTTCAACGACGCGTCGACCTTGGCACTTTCGAAGATGATTTCCTTCTCCACGGGCACACATGCGTCCAATCGAAGCAAGCTTGGCTTCAAGTGCCGACGCAAACTGCTCTCGAGTTGGGCGTGGTACAGTTGCGAGGTGGCAACTTCGTGGACGTCGTCGCTGATGGGATCGTTATACTTGTGACTGCGAGCACTCTTGTTGTGCTGATGCTCCTGTTTGACTTTTCGACTCACCTCGTCTCGAATACGCCGCACCACAGACTTGGTCTGGCGCTGCGTTGGAGTCGCCGCCTGGCGCGGAAACTCCATTTTCAAGTGTCGCTTGGTTGAGTGTTTCCGGGTTGAGTGTTTCCGGATAGATAACCTCCACAATTGCATACATAAGGACATGAAATATCAACTCGAACTCATGTTTGTAAAGATAGGTACAGGGGTACTAGTATATATAGAGAGTACCACTGTACTAGTAGTACTATTATTAATTTTGTATAATAGTACGTGATTTCATAATCCGGATGTCCGGATGAGACCGATAGCACGGCGGCAAACTGCAGGAGTTCGAATATCAGCGTTCGATGGCGGTCGGTGTCTTCCTCCGTGCAGACGCTGTGGATGGGAAGGTTGGCCTCCGAAGAGCATCCAACACATGCATTCGATTGGAGCCAAGTGCCATGTCACCCGGGGTCGCCAGCATCAATTTCGATGCTGTTGTGGAAGCGCCGAATCCAACCGATGAATTATTCCATCAAGTCGTGAAGCCGTGCCTGCCAATCGTGTGCGGCGGGCGGGACGTGTCTGTGATTGCAGCCGGGTGTAGCGCATCCGGCAAGTCGCACATGATGCGTGGCGGTACGTCGACTGTGGGGATGGTGGAACGATGCCTTGAAGCCATGTTCGACCTCGTCCATGATGCTTCAAAGCAAGACGCCTCGAGGCTCACTTACATTGAGATGGGCTGCTTGTGGGTGCAAGATACAAGCGATACCAACGCAGCGACTGCGCTTCAAGCGGTTCGGACATTAAACGACGCGTTGCAACTGTATGAGGCGCACCAGCGAGCCATGGTCGCTACCAATGCGCACAGCGCCGTGCTTTGTCGTGTCCACTCTTCCTACCAACACACTGTCGTGGTGGGTTCCTTGGCTCTGGTTGATGTCAATGGCGCCTCTTCCATGGTTGCGCTGCCATGTGACCCCCCTTCGTCGACTGCCAACAACTTGGAATTGGTCATCCCCCACAGCTCAGCGTTGACTTGGTGGCACAGCACCTACATGGGCTCTTCGTACGTTCCATGTCTACTCCTTGGCCTTCGCACGCACGCATCATGCCAGCAGCAAGTATGTAGCGGACATGTACTAGTTGTGAACTTTATCCTGGCCTATTTGCAGGTGATTCAATCGTTGTTGTACGCTTGCCGAGTCAAAGATATAGCGACGAGGCAAAAGCCCTGTGTCGTGACGCTCAAGGCAGATACTGGGCGGACATCACCTCTGTCCAAAGTACGACCGCCTCCCCCTTGACTATAAACTACGTACTTGGAAAGTGAGCACTGAACGTTTTACTCTATAGATCATGATGCACTTGACACGATCTGCCACACCCGAATCCCCATGCTCACCCGCATCCAAACGCTTCTTAAACAAGTATTTGCCTCACGTAAGCACACGTCACGTGGGAAGAACCACCAAACATGAGATTTCTAGGTGATTTGTGCCAATCCAAGCGCATTGGCCATGGATAGAAGGTGCATGTGGCCCCCAGAGATGCTGAATACAACATTTCAGCCTGACCACACATCGCCATTGTCCCCTGTGATGACCACGTCATCCGACGACAGCGACGACGAGTCTGAACAGGTCGTGACGACATCTCAGCTCCCAACTAAGCGCTCTCTGGACGCAGCCCTCAAGGCTCTGGCGGCGGAGAAGGCATTGACACTGCGCTGTGCCGTGCGCATCTCCCAACTGAACGACATGATCAAGTTTCAGCGCGCCGCGCAAGAAAAAGCCGACGCGGACGCGCGGGCGGCCGACAAACGACTGGCGGACAGCGAGCACAAGTTGAAACTCGTGCAATTGATGGCCAATCAAGTGCAAACGGATGTGACAGCGCTCAAACAGCGGCAGGACGTGGTCCCATCCCTCTATCCAAGTGAACACAACACCCTGACGATGTCGCAATTTTCGTCTCGGCTGACCAAAGTGATTGACGAAACCAAACAAGTGGTGGCCATGAAGGACCAGTACATTGCCCAGCTGGAGCAAAAAGTCCAGGACGGCGCGGCGCTTCTGGCGACCGCGGAGGCGGCTGCCGAGAACGAACGGGCCGCTCGAGTCTCCACCGCCTCGGAATTGGAGGTCACGGCCGCGCAGCTGTACGAGGCGCGGCGCCAACTGGCCGACCAAGTGGCTGAGAACAGCTCGCTCACGTCGGCGATTGAAGCCTCAAAGCTCGAGGCGGCGGCGAGGATGCAACAAGTCCAAGCGCAGCACCGCCGAGCCGTCCACGTCTTGGAGGAAAAGGTGGCAGAGCAGAGCCAGGTGGTGCATCGCTTGAAGCGCCAGTGCGACGAAGTCGTGGCTGCCGAAGGGATCCGGTGGCAAGCAAAGATAGATGCACTGCGTTCGGAACAGGCGGACAAGGAGCAGAGTCGGGCTGCGGACAAGGAGCAGACGGAGACGCTCATGGCACAACATGCAGCGGCCCTTGATGCCCTGACCAACGATGTAGCTAGTTGGGAAACGAAATACCGCGACGTCGTACAGATGAAAGAGGTCGTACAGAGCCATTTGGAGACTGTGCGACTCGAGTGTGCCCAATTGCAAACGAAAGTTGCGACACTGCAAGAAGCGTCGGCCGCTCGATTCTTGCGGGACATGACTAATACAAAGGAGACTGTGGACCAGGGAACACAGCATGATGATGCAGGGGAAGAAGCCCCGCCAACGCGTGGCGGACAAGATACCGCCGCGGATGCCATGATTCAGTCCATGATCGCAGAGGTCGAGCAGGCGCGGAAGCGGGACGCGCACCTGTCGCATGCATTGGCCATGGCCAACCGACATGAACATGAGGCTAACGTGCGGCTTAGCCACGTGCAGGGCGACTTGCACTCGTGTCGGCGCGAGAATCTCGAGTTGCTCTGGGTGTTGCACAAACGCGAGCATTCGTTGCGCGTGTTGGAGCAACGCCATGCGTTCGTCATGGATCGTAGCAACCCATCGTTGTCCTAGTAGTAGTACACTAGTAGTAGTACTAGTAGTAATCCACATCAAGCCATGTAACAATAATTAATACAAACGTGTGTCAAATATTGTGCTTTCGAGTGAAATTTCGTGTTTTCTCGTTGGAATTTAAATCGATTTGATTGGCTACCTCAGATGAGCTCAAAATTATTAGCCAATCAAAACCACCTTCTTAATGAAATTCAACCAATCAGATCGATTGCGGATCGGTTTGGTCGGCGCGATTCGATTGCACCCCCTCCCCAAATTTGTATCAAATCGACAATACTAAGCTTACTGTAGTATGTATCAACCACCGCAAATCATTTCGACTGCTAGAGTACGTATCTCCGCGGAAGCACGTAGAGGAGTCATCCGCAGAGACGATGCAGAGGTGTCGAGTTTCCCGGACGACATGGGCTTTGGACGAGCGCATGGGGTGCGCGGCCAGTCGAAGGCATTTGATGAATGTGAAATGCACTATTATGAATTATTTCTATATATTGAGCGAACATAGAGTTTTCCGTCGCTAATCTGGCACCCTCCATCATGCTCAAGCCGTGGTTCACAGACGAAGGGTGGCGCATGTCGGCGGTGCCATATCTGGAAGGAACCCTCGCATTCGTGTGTATCGTTCATGTGTTCGAGACTTACTTGGACTACCGGTACGACCGACACACTTCTCTTCTCTGCCCTTTCATCCCATCGTAACATGGTTTGCTTGTTAGCCAACACAAGAAACTGCACGAGACAACGTTGCCGGACAAGTTGAGCCGTGCGATTCGCCATGTCGACGAGCAAAACCAGGCCAAACCCAACAACGATCACGTCCAAGACGACAACAATGACCACGACAGCAACAAGTCGTCGCTGTTGGCGCAAACTACCGCCAAGTTTGAAACTAGTCGCCTGTACAGCCTCGACAAGAGTACGTTCAAGTTCGTCCACGACTCCTTCCACTTCGTCGACGGACTCGCCATGCTCTTGCTCGGGTACATGCCGTTCATGTGGCAAACTAGCCGCCGTGTCCTCGCGTCTTGGGGCTATTACGACCCCATGGCCAACGAAATCCCCTTGTCGCTTGTGTTTGTGACGCTCACGGCAGCGCGGGACATGCTTCTCAGTCTTCCGTTCGACCTGTACGCTACGTTTGTGGTGGAGGAGCGTCACGGGTTCAACAAGCAGTCCCTCGGGCTGTTTTTTCTGGACAAGGTCAAGAGCACGCTGCTGACTGTCGCGATCGGGTTCCCTGTGCTGTCGGCGGTGCTGTGGATCGTCCGATGGGGCGGCGACCTCTTTGTCGTGTACGTGTGGACGTTTACGTTTGTGGTGACGCTGATCTTGATGACGATCGTGCCGACGTGGATCATGCCGCTGTTCAACTCGTTCAACTCGTTAGAGTCGGGCTCGCTAAGAGACGCAATCGAAGCGCTGGCAGCGTCCGTTGCTTTCCCTCTGACCAAACTCTTTGTGTGCGACGGGTCCAAGCGGTCAAGTCACAGCAACGCGTACTTGTTTGGGTTCTTCAACAACAAGCGCATTGTGTTGTTCGACACGTTGCTCACCCAAGCCAGCAACGCCGAGGTCGTGGCTGTCGTGGGCCACGAACTCGGCCACTGGAAGCTGTGGCACACGGTGCAGAATCTCGTCGTCCAGCAAGTGTACATTGGCGCCATGTTTGCCGTGTTTGCCAGGTTTGATCGTACAATCGCGTCATTACGGCGGTTTGTCGATTATATAAGTGTGTGGTAGATGCATGCACGACCGCGACTTGTTTGCCAGCTTTGGCTTTGATTCGCAATCCGTGGACCTTCCGGTTGTCATCAGCCTCACGCTGTTCACGTCCACCGTGTGGGCACCCGTGGACAAGCTGCTCCAGTACGTCGTCACCGCCAACACCCGCGCCAACGAGTTCCAAGCTGATGCGTTCGCTGTGGATTTGGGCCATGGCGAACCGCTGCAGTCGGCGCTGACCAAAATCTCGCTGGAAAACTTGGCCAATATGAACCCCGATACTTTGTACAGCGCCTACCACTACAGCCACCCGCCGCTCGTCGAGCGCTTAGCGGCGATCTCCAAGCGGATGCAAGACCGGCGCAAACACGAATAATAGTACATAACTAGTATTACTTCTACCTTTGTTCCAACTTTTACCGTGAGACATACTAGCTTTACTACAGAAGTACTGTAGTAATATAGTTACGCGTACATGGCGTTACAGACGTGTGGAAACTACTATTAATAGTAGTTACTAGTAATATTCTAGTGCAGATACACAGGTATATTGGGAACTCAAGTGTCCACGGGCGATAAGCTCGCCCAGTAGTGTACACACCTCGCCGAGGCTGCTACAATAAGATGGTTCTCAGCTACCTAATACGAGACTTGATATGGGCCGAAATTGTACTATTAATAGTAGTACTACTACTAGTAACGTTAACGTTATTGGTATATTAATAATAGTAATAGTTTTCTAAAACTATTACTATCGCCACGGCATTAAAATGCCGCATGCGGCAAATCCGGATAATGGATCCGGATGCACAGTATTTTTAGGTTGCGGTTTCGCATGGCATTTCGTTTCGAGACCCTCAGGTGAAAACGCGGAGGGGAAAAGGCGCTGTGGGGAGCAGTGCCGCCATCCGACGCAGAGATGCCGTCTGTGGAAGAGAAGGGGTCGGTGATGCCACTGCCAGACTCTGTCAGGGACGAGAAGGCGACTGCGATGACAGAGGAGACAAGTGCATCGATCCCGGAGGACCTCGCTGTGGTTGCCACATCGCCCTTTGCTCCTCCATCAGACCATGTGCTGGGGACTGCAGAGGTGAGTAACATGCGCATGGAGTCCATGTCGTCGTCCACTCGGACCAATAGCGACCGGTCCAAGACGTTTCGAAGTCGGCTTCGGATGAGAATTGTCGACCACCCCGAGGGTTCGCGCATCGGACGAGTGTACCACACCGTGTTTCTGTTCGTCGTCGTGTGCAACCTCGTCAGCCTCATGCTAGAGACACTGGACGGCCCCAACCACGGCAGCTCGGATCCCGTGTACCCCATGCTTCCGTTCGCCAAGTCGTACGTGATATCCGACATGTTCTTCACAGGCATCTTCACCGTCGATTTGATGGTCAAGTGTGCAATTGCCAAATCCCAAAAGAAGGTACCCACGTTGACGTGGTTTGTGGCCATTTCTATGCATTCCTCCATGTAGTTTTGGACGTCCGTCGTGACCATCATGGACGTTCTGGCCGTGCTGCCGCTCTACATCTTAGTCGCCAAGGCAGGAGGAACCCTCAAGTTGACCAACTCAGAGTCCCCACTTCCCAGCGACCAGTACATCAAGTTGCTGCGACTCTTTCGCATCATTCGAGTCGTGAACATGCTCAAGGTATACCACAACACGACCAGTCACTTGGTCTGTCCAACCTTTGAAAGTTCCACAAGCATGGAATGAGACGGACTCTCTAACTCCATGTGGCTGCAGAACAAGTCGGGCATGCGCATTCTGTACTTGACAGTCAAGGGAAGCCTCGCGCCGCTTACCATCACGGTAAAACATCGGTTTTCGCCACAAAATATCCTTATGGGAGTGTCGTAGCTGTTTTTCCTCATCACGTTCATCATGCTGTTTGCCACGATTTTGTATTACGCGCAACCGTGCTACAACGTCAGCACGTGTGTATTTACCGACATTTTCAACGCCGGGTATTTCGCCATGGTCACGTACGAGACATGTATAAATATTCAAAACAAACCTTAACGACGACTCGAACAGCGTCGCCACGGTGGGCTATGGAGACCAAGTCGTCGACTTGAACAACGTCATTGCAGTACTTGTCACATGTGTCATGATGATTTTTGGCGCGCTCTTCTTGGCCATGCCGCTCGCAATCATCGGGATCAAGTACGAAATGCTCTGGACTAAACACGAAGCCGACCGCAAGTCGATAAGTCGGGCCGAGAGCTTCCGCCTCACGGGCAAACCGCCGCCGCAGGTATTGCAAATCGAGTCGATGCGACTGGCGCCCATGGCGAATGTGGTCAACATGCAGTTCGTTGACCTGTGCGAAGTCACGTCGTACCTGTCCCGTGACTGCGCCACGTTTGTGTCGTTCATGGTATTCCAACTGGTCATTTTTGAAACCACAGGTCGAGATTACTAGTGTTGATAGAATGCCGACGCGTTGCTCCACGGCCCGGCCGACCGCAACCGCGACGACGCCACGTCACAGCTCATCGATACCCTCCTTCGCGCGATCAAGGCCCACAAAGACATGTCCAAGACAATCAAGGCCCTCGTGCCTCGCGAACTGCTCCAACCCAACTCTATAGCCAAGCTGCCCAAACTGTCAGAGTCGTCACCATCTCGCCACGCCACGTTTAAACAGTCGATCATTTCACGGTATCAATACATGATAATATGAACTCGTCCAAGCAGCAGCATTTCCAACGCTCGTGCGTAGCGCCAAGCGCGCGATGAGCGGGGCGGCTCACCCCGACGACGCGGCGCAGCACACTCTAGACGCTACGATCCCGTTCCGCCGCCGGCTGTTCCTTCTCCTCGAGCGACCGCACTCGTCTCGTCAAGCCAACTACTTGAACAAGTTCTTCCTCGTCACGGTCATCATGAGCATGCTGCTCTTCTACGCCGAGACCACGCCCGAGCTCCAGGCGTACGGCATGCACACGGAGTTGTGCCACCGCGCACTCGAGTCGTACTGTACGCAGTCGTCCCGATCACAGGCGACGGATCCCGGCTGCTTCGTGCACGTGAACCCTAACGTGTCGACGTCGATGCTCCTGGACTTCCACTGCGACGACAGCGCGACCCCCGATGCGTCCAACGTGTCCCCATGTGTGGGCGTCGGATGGAACTACGGGTCCAACGACACGGCCATCGTGTGCGCGTCTAGCTTTGTGGACAAGGACAAGATCTGCAAGCTGCGCCAGTGTCTGTCTGGCCACGTGCCAATGTTCGACATGTCCACCAAGTGGATCTACTTGGAGTTGTACTTTGGATTTGTGTTTACGGCCGAGTGGCTCCTGCGATTTTACGCGGCGCGGCACCGCCTCGCGTTTGTCCGGAGCTTTGGCACGTGGATCGACACGTTGGCCATCATGCCATTTTATGCCGAGGTACGACTAACATGCTTGATATATACTAGGTGATTTTTACCTATTTTGTTACGTACAAACAAATAATACAAATTCAATATTTGAGGTATATATTATTGAATTTGTAGTATTTGTTTGTTTATTTACTATACGTATATGAATTTGGTTTATTCATGTATTTATCTATATATGTATGTATATATATGAATTTGGTTTATTATTTGTTTATATATATTTTTTTATCGATTTTATTTATTATATCTATCTATTTATATATATTGATTGAATTTGGTTTGTATATATAATGGAGCTGTGTTTTATATTTGTTTACATTTGGCGTAGCTCATCACGGGCCTTGTGGGTGGCGTGACCCCGATGTTTGCAATCGTGCCGACGTTCCCCACGTTTCTGTCAGTGCTGCCCATGACCAAGACGTTGCGCATCTTTAAGCTAGCCAGGGTACGCATCCACCAGGATTATTGCAAAGTTTTTATTTCCCGTGGAACTGGATCTACTACTGTAGTAATTTGATCCATCATTATGTATAGCACTTCAAGGCGACAATGGTGCTGGCTCGTACAGCGGAATTGACGTATCAACGTCTGCTGATTCCGGTATAATACATATATTTGTCGTTGTGGTTCTGAAGGACAAACGATGAACAATGATGGATTTTGTGGTTGTAGCTGTTTTTTCTATTTTTGGGGTGCGTGTCGGCGGGGGCAATATTCTACGAGATCGAGCGGGGCACGCAATGCCTGGCCAAGCAACCTTGCAAGTGGTGGAACTTGAACATCATGACCAGAGAGATGGGGGACCCGTACCCGTACGGCAAGCGCATTCAGGTCCAGGTCGACAAGATCACAATCGTCACCGACATGTTACGGTCCTCGTGGATGTCCATCGTCACGTACGTCGTCCTTTTTATTATTGTCGTCACCATGGATGACAATGCATGCGCGTAGGTTCACGTCGGTCGGGTACGGAGACATGCGCCCCCGCACCCCCGTGGGCAAAATCGCCGACATCATGGCGATGGTGCTCGGGTCATTCTACACGGCTATGCCGCTGTCGTTGATCGGCGGCCAATTCTACGCGTGTTACGAGCAGTTTCTCAAGGACTCGTCCCGCCGCCTCGTCGGGTCCAACGCCACCAACCTGACCATCGACGACGTGATTGCCAACAAGCAGCGGCAGCGGTCGGTCTTCGGGGTCGTGGACATGCCCCTCCTAAACCAGTTTGTCGCCATCAACCGCCTCCTCAATGAAGTGATTCTGAACGCGTGTCGGCTCAATGCCATGGCGTGCCAGTCGGCGAGGCTAGGCAACACAAGACCCCCCCTCCCCCCGCTTCTCGACTCGGTGCTTCAAAACGCTGAGAGGACTGTGCAGTCTCCGCGCCGGTTCAGCTCGTCGTCCCGCCCAAGCTCCCGGTCCGCTGCCAACGTTGTCGATGCCGCCGCGGCCATCCGTGCGATGGAAAAGAAGGTCCAGACAGTCGAAGCCCTCGTGTGCAACATCACCGAGGCGTGCGCACTGGCCCAGACGATCATCCTCAGCTTCTCCATCATCGTCGAGAAGATCGTGCTCGAAGCCGACGACGTTCAGGGCGAGTCAGAAGCACCATCGCCGCCCCGACGGGATGGGCAGCGGGGCGAAGGCGTGTACAGTGCCGCGATAACATCCACGGTGCCCCCCCAGCCCAATTACAGTCCGGAAGACATATCAATCGTCGATGGCCCCACTTAACACAATTTATACATCGAAATGTGTATATTGTAGACGCACCCCCATACACATTGCAGACTGTAAACCAATTGGAACCACAGTGCACAATGTAACACTGACAATTAGTGATGTTCAACACTAAACACGCCATGAGACGCCTACTGACTACCATTCACTAAAGAACTCAGTACCTCCACTAAGGTATCGGTATACCTATGCACACCACAGAGGGGGTGAGTTTGCGATGGGTCAAACCGACGCGCGACCCAATTGCTCTGCACGCTGCAAAACGAAGCCATATTAACGTTATAGAGATTTTGCATGTCGTCCGTGGACTATGCCTACACTATTGAAACATACGTTTGACAAAAGCAGAGTTCGAACTGCCAGACCTAATTGAAACACCTACAAGAACTTATTATTCAACCCTGGAATGGGCCAATTGTAGGGTCACCTGTAACTACACCTAAAACCAACCAGCCATTCCAAATCGTGAGACGACCACCATGCCCACGCCCGTCAAGACCCGCTTCTCGGATACCGAGGACATATTGATCTTGCGGGAGGTCAACGCCAGACTCCCATTCAATGCAAAAAGAGGTTCCGTCATGCTGGCGTGGAACGCTGTGGCCGACGCTGTGTCGACGAACCACGACTTTGCTTGGCCTGGCTTCGACGGCAAACGAGCCCTGAACAGATTCACTCTGCTGATGGAAGGCCACTGTGCGAACAACGACGTGTCGGCACGTGCATCAGGGATCGATGAAGACCACGACGAGAAGACCCAGCTGTTGGACGAGTTGTTGGCGGTGTATGAAGACTCCAAGGCACAAGACAAAGCGCGCCTTGTTGCAGCCCAAGAAGAAGCCGATCGCATCGAGAATATGGGCGCTACCATACGCGAGGAGGCACTCCAGTCGTTGGGCAAACAGAAGGCGGGACCGACAGATCCTGATGGTTCCAGCGCTGGTGGCGGTGGTGGTTGCAGTGTCGTCATGAAGATGATGAAAATGATGCAAGATGACAGCGCTGCTGACCTCACGTTCCGACAGCATCAGTACGAAACGGATCGGAAGGAGCGGGAAGCTGTGCGTGCCATTGAGTACGAGGAAGTTCAATGTGAGAGAGAGATGTATAGGGATCAAATGCACATGCAGCATGACACCTTAGTGGTGGTTCAACGTCAAAATACTGGCTAATTTGGTTTCCACCAAAGTAACAGCAATGACAGTTTGTCAAAAGCATGACAACACTAACTACTCTTGCCACTGGAGACAATAGAATTTTGGACAACCCTTTGAATGTAATGAAAGACCAAAGTGTTTTCACAACTTTGAAATTCCACTTCACAGACTGGCGAACTCGAATCATCGACTTGTTAAATTCCTTTTCGGAATTGTTAAGCTCATTGCCTTTAATTCCAGACACCAAAAACTGGGACACGCCGTATGCAGGGTCGCCGTAGATGCATTTCTCCGAAAAGATGTGTGAGTTCCGGGAAAGGAACTCGAGCAGCCCGCTCTCACGGAGCTACGTCGTGTGGTGGCGCCGTCCTTCCACCGGCCCGAAAAAATGAATGCAAAGGCCATCGGGGGCAGTGACGGCTTGGTAGTTCAGACAATGCATCCGCTTGTGGCCACTGTAGATCTCCTTCTGCAAATTGTCCCCGTTTCCCGTTGGTCCGATCCGACACACTTGCAGCTTCGTGCCGTCGATACACCCAAACACACGACTAGTTGGGGCGCCACGCGAGTTGATGGCGGCGCAGTATCGGTGAATGTTTTTTGCCACAAGGTTGGTGTTGAAGTACAGCAATGGATTCCACCGGTCGTACAACTCGTTCAAAAACGTGGAGGAAAACATCACACAGCACAGATCGTGATCGCCCAAAGGTCTGCGCCATGTCGAAAAACCGGGTTGGAAAAGCCATACGGGAGAGGACGATGCATAAAGCTTCATCTCTCAACACGCGGTTACGGCTAGCAGTAATAACCACCGCAGGGAGGCCGAGGAGGAA